TATTATCATTTCAAAAGTTTAAGAGAGTATTTACAAAAATATAAAAATGTCATGTCATTAAAAAGAAAAATTAAAATATTAGTATAAATAGTATAGGGTATCTAACATTTACATAAAAAGAATATTTTACATTTAGACATAAAGCCTGATAATGTTTTGGTATATATAATTCTTAAATTTCTAGATAAGTAAAAAAGGTAATGTTAAAATTTGTGATTTTGGAGAAGCTCATCACCCTTTATATCCATTTTAAAGAGAGGGTATTAAATACTCGGTGCCCTTTACTGCACCAGAAATTTTAAGAAATAATGAAGTAACAAATAAAGCAGATGTATTTTCATTTGGTGTGCTGGCTTACGAATTATTATTTGGAAAATTGCCAATAGTATACAATTCATATCATCAAATAGGCTTATATGTCTAAGAAGGATTACATAGCTTAATTTAAGGTTTCTAACTTTAATGTCGAATCAGATTACAGAATTTTTTCAGGCCCTAGAAAAATAGAATAGGATATGCTATATATAATTTTGCATTGTAAGATTACTTATATTCTAGGCCTTTGTCCAAATAAAGATGATAGATTTGATATCAATACAATTTATGAAAATTTAAAAAATCAAAATCTTAAAATTAAGAATTATTAGATTTGACAAAATAATTAGAGCATTTTAAAATATTTTAATATATTGCGGAAATTCAAATTAATATAATTATGGATTCTTCATTTCAAAAAAGTTACGTTGAATTAAAATGTAGAGATCATTTTATCATATTCTTATCTTGATCCTCAGAGCTTCGAGAAATCTTTTAAAAATAAGAACATATTAAAAAAACTATGTCAATTAATACTGAAGGATGAAATAGAATCTAAAAATTTTTTAGTAAAATTGGATGTATTCACATGAAATCTTTTGTTATTTGAGATTCAAAACCATCTTAATTTTTAAATAATTGCTTTCCTGAGTCTCAAATTATTTTGAAATTCTAAGACGGGCTTGCTAAAGTGGACTAAAATTTGGATAATTTCAAATAAGAAACCTTTCGAAGAGTAGAAACTATGTTGAATTTTAATTACGAATCTTTGAAAATAAGAATTTTAATTATTTATATGATTAATAAAGATCACCTACACATTAACAACTTATATAAGATTGATCAATTCTTCACACTAAGTAAAGTATTAATAAAATTTAGGCTTCATGAGATGAACAAAACAATAAATCCTCTTCTAAATTTACTTTTCAATATGAAACCACAAAGAAAATTCCAAAATGCTTTAAATCTGAACTCTATCATTTTAGCTAATTAGATGCCTAAAAAAGCTAAATATTTTCTAATGAATAGTTGATCCTCTGCTCAATAAAGGTTGGTAATATTCAAATAAGAGGCATAGACAAGAAGATTCCCATATTTATATATTATTTTAAATGTGGAAATGATAACCAGAAAAATTATCATTTAAAGATTTTTCCTAAAAGTTTCACAATAATTATTGTTATACTGTTTGAAGTTGGATGAACAAGTATTAACTCTAAACTAAAACTTATTGTTTATGTAAACAGTTCACTTTTTGGATTATTTATTATATTGATCGTGAACAAGTGTAGCCATGTAGAATGATTCATGAATTCTACCTCATACTATCAAAAAAACTATACATATAGTATGTCTTAACTGAGATAATACCCTTGGTATTTTCGGTTTTGCTTACATTCAAATGACTAAATAGGGAAATAGGAAGTAAATTAATTGAATCTGAGTTATTAAATATGCATTATGTATATTATGTTTATTTTCGTTATTTAAATTTGAATGAAGCAACCACTACAAAGTCGATTAATAATCCAGGATGCAAGAAGAAAAAGTTTAAGTGCTATAGCTTTTCTAGACCCATCGCCAAAGTAAATCACTATAAGGAAGGCACCTATAGAAGCATTCAAAAATAAGGAAAATATTAATATAAATGAAACATAAAAGAACAAAACTCCTCAAAATGCTAATATAGAAGATATTAGAAGATAAATTAACTAACCTATTAAGAGAACAACTCAATAATAAAAAACCAAATAAAAAACCAAATAAACATTGTCTGTGAAGAATAAATACAAATCAATGATAACCAAGTTAGAATTTTCGCTGAATTTACCCTCAGGTTATTGTACTAAAAGGAATAAGAATATCGGATAAATCCATTATTTTTTGATCATCAAACAAGCACAACACCAATTATGAGATCCATCTTATTTGATTGGATTAGTGAAGTTTGCAAAGAATTCACTTTAAAAAGAGAGACCTTTCCTCTTTGCGTTCACAATTTAGACAGATATATTTCAAAAATTAAAATCTCTAAATAAGAACTATAATTACTAGGTTTAGCAAGTCTATCTATTGCATGTAAAACAGAAGTAATTTATTAGTCGATCATAGGAAATCTATCCTCCAAAAATTAATGATTTCTCTTAAGCCAGTAATTATAGCTTCACAGAATAACAAATCATTGAGAAAGAATAACATATGCTCACTTAACAAAAATGGTTGATAAATCCTCCTACACTTTACCTTTGGATTTATCTCAATTGGACATCTATTATCCTTAACCAAAACTGTAGATTAAATAACCTACACAAAATTCGTACACATTATTTCGACATTATATAACCTTGCTTGATTGTGCAATCTTAGATATTAAATTATATTAATTTTCAAATAGAGAGATTGTTGCATCTCTTCTTTATTTGGTTTTACTGAAATAATTTAGTGGAAGCACTTATTAAAGAATAGTTGAAAATAAACTCTAAGAAAGAGATCTTTTAGATTTTCAACATATTTATACACCGTTTATTGAATTAGTTTTTGGATTCTAATTAACTTAATTGGCCAAATGCATCAAATACTTAACCAAACTTTTGACACTTGATATTATTGTTGATTAGCATGGATAATTCAAAGTTAATGCAGAAAGGGAATTCGAAGAAGCTTATGAGAATTTTTTATCAATTTAAACACACAATCCAGCTAATCTTTAATTCATTAGATAATGATTGATTTAATATACTTTAATAGTTGTTTATAATCAAATTAATATATATATACTCATCAAACTTAATAAAAATATTCCTATTATCAGATGTAGTACAAATTCCTATTATTATATTGGTTTACTTTATTCAACCAGAGGTTTTTTGATCAAAGAAAGAAAGGTTTTTACATTGGGTATAGGTTTACAAGGTCTGCTGTCTTATATTTTTTTAATAAGTATTTCTTGTTCTTTAACTTTATATTAAGCTAAACTATATTTCTAAAAAATTACATAAACAACCGAAATGGCAAGCTTCCTTTTATTCCTTAAACAGATCTAAAAGTTCTTCATTAAACTTTAATTAATCTAGGCTACTCTATGCACAAAATTATGCTGTTTCTTTTATCTGTTTTCAGACGCTCCAATTTAAGGTTTTAGTATTTTTTCGTTTATATTGTTATCCTTTTGTGCTGATTCAAATTTATCTTGCATTCTTGTTGATATTTCCTCTTCTTTTTTAGATTCTGATAAATTTTAAGCTTATTGAGAATGATATCGAAGATGCTCAAATCTTTTATTTGTAGATAATAGACTTGGTTATTGAGATCTAGATTTTTTCATTTTTCTTCTTTCTTCTTATATATTCAATAGGGGTTATTGACATCTTTTAATAATGAGTTTTTGAAGTTTGTTGATTGCTAAGCTCCAATGGTATCTTAGAACCATCAACTTAAATTTGTTCGAGGGTTTTAATTATGTTTAATGTTTAATTAACAACAATTCATTTTATCTAATAGTAATCTGGCTTGAGATTTCATTATTACTTTAATTTTATAAATGGATTTAGTAAATTAAGCATTTAAAAAGTGATACTCTCAAGATTAATGCTACTTTTTTTTATAATAAAAACTAACTATTGTAGAAGTCATTCCTCTCTAAAAATAGATTATACCAACACTTATTTCTAGAAATCAAGTCCAATATCTAGTTTCAACCTATAAATATCTGTCTTAATTAAATAAATTCTAAACATTTGAATTTCTGTGTATTAAGGTACTCATATATATGTATATATAATTGTTTTCTATATTGCCATCGAATATTTTAATTCAGATAATAATGAATGTCTATTTTTTATAGATAATTGATTATTTCTACAATATATATTTTCTAACATATCCTTATTACTTTTGAAAAGCTGATCTATTGATTTACCCTTTTTGACCTACTAAAATACTACTTTAGAAAGATATACCAGACAGATCGAATAAAAATAGATATTTTCCTCCTCTGAGGGTGTGGCTATTGACAATATAAATTATGTATCTTTATTCAGGATAGAATAGAAATCAAAAAAGAAGATTAATCCTATATGTCTAACTTTAATATTTATAAAAAGGAGAATTAAAATATTTATAAAAATACTATAAATAATTTTCCTGTCCATTCATAGATCGAATAGAATCTTAATAAATTTCTAATTATTTTTGATATAAATTGGTGATTGGCTAAAGTAATTTACTGGATTAAAGTAATTTCTGACAAACTTCTTAGGCTTAACTCTATTCAAAATTTGTCATATTGTTCCTTAGAATTTTGGTATTCTTTCGATCGATGATAAGATATAATAGTTAAATATTTATATGGGAAATGAAATTTATCAATAAATTCTTTTTATTTAGGTTTTCAAGGAGTGAAACTTAATTAAATATCAAATTTTAATTAATATACAGATTAATTTGAATATATATGTAATTAATTTATTGTGATTATTATAACATTTTATTATTATTATTATTTTATTAATATTATAATGGGGGTATGCACATCAAAAAAAAAAGTGGATGAGAACATTTAAATAGTACCCTATAAGTAAAACAAATGAATGATTGATTTTGATAGAGTTTGTATAACTGCGTTCATTTGGAATAAAGAAAGTCATAATTTATTTGATTTTGAGAGTAATTAGGCTGCTAAAAAGGAAATAGAATTAGATTTTTCAGGTAGTTATGAGTCAAATAATTAGCAACACTTTCAATGGTTGACAACTAAATTATCGCATTAACAGATAATGTATAAAATTCTCACAATTATAAAACAGGAATATGTAAATAAATAGATCCAATTACTCAGAGTTGATTGCGAATAAGAATATATGATGTTGTCTGGAATGAATCAAAAATCAGATCAAAGAGTATGGGCTATTTTATGCAATAGGCCAGATTTTGAATCATTAAATGTACATTTATAAACTATAAAGGAATGGGAACTTTAAAAAGGAGATATGATCAAATTAGGAAGAATGAAATTGTAGCTTCTAGAAATAAATTATGTCATTGATGCACTCCAATAATAAAAAGAATAAGCAGAAAATGATGATGAATTATAATCTAAGGATTTAGAACTTGAAGCTAGTTAATGTAGAATTTGTTTCTCTAAAAGTGGTTCTCCGTCTAACCCGCTTTTTAGTCCTTGCAAATGTAACCTTCATCATTATTTCGATTAGGTATTGGCTCTATGAAATATGTCCATCTTAATTGTCTATAAATTTGGATTCAGTAATCAATCAAAATTAAAAACCAATAATCATCCATTCAATATATATGGAAGAAAATGGAATGTGAAATCTGTAAAATGCAACTTTAAAGTACTTACACTTATTAAGGCTAAATATTTTGTATCATGCAAATACAAAAACCAGTCGTCCCTTATATGATATGGAAAATAACCTCTGATGATAAATCCAAAGAAGGAATCATTCAAGTTATGGAATTGCTCGATAAATCTGAAATTAAAATTGGGAGAGTCCCCGATTGTGACATTAAATTAAAGGACATTTCTGTCTCAAGAAGCCATGCTATTATTAAAGTGATTAAGTCAGAAGACAATCGATATAAATTAGTTTTGTAAGATAACAACTCTAAATTCGGAACTCTGTTATATGCATAATCAGATAAATTGCTAAAATATGAATTATAATCTCCATAAAAAGTTCTCTATTAAATAGGTCGAGTTCTCCTTTACGTTCAACTAAAAGAAAAAGGCAAATTTTATAACAAACAGTACTCCAAATCATCTATTTTAGATTTACCTGTTACAGACACCCAAATCAAATTCAAGTCTTCCCCAAAAAAAGCATTAATGAATAAGCTACTATTGTTCCAAATCTTGAAAAAGACAAAGACAATCAACTATCATTCTAAACAAATAATGAATTAAATCAGGATGACATAGTTATTAATGTTAAATAAATATGATCATCTGTTGACTATTATATTATTGTATAATTTACATTATATGCTATTGATCTTTTTAAAAATTAAAAACAATGCATTTATATCCAAAAAGTAATTCGATCTTAATAAAAAATAGAAGAGCAAACTTTTTGAGTTAAACTGAAATCCTTAAAATCTTAAAAATTGGGAGATTTAGTGTAATTTATAAAATAATAAACTCTAAGTATTCCTAATTTATAGTATACATAGTTTGGTTTGTAAAGATGCTAACCAAAATAAGAGAATAATCTTATAAATAAATTAATTCTTAATCTCTGAGTTTGCTTGATCGACGATAATCTAAATAAATTTAACTATATATATATATGTTAGGATAGTGAGAATAGTTGTAAATAGTTATATAATGTAAAAAACTATTATCAAATTCTTTTATGCATTTTTACTAAAGAATGAATATCATCTAAGACTCTTAATTTATTTTGTGTTGTAACTTGATCTTATTTAATTTAAAAATCTTATTTTTATTTAACCGATCTTTCATTTTCATATATCTTAACTTTTTCTTCTATCTAGAAAAATAATGAGTATTCTTACTTATTTTACTGTGTATTGACTTTATTCTATTTATTGTTTATATTTAGAAGATTTTTGTGTTAATTTAATTATTTCCTCATCTTAATGCTTTATTTTTTACTTATATTCATTTTCCCTTGTTTTAAATTATATGATTTCTTCTTTAGAGGAAGACAATGATTTTACTAGATGATCAATCTTAATTTCAATTTCATCCATAGTTAAATCATTTTCATGCTATCTTAATTGTAACATATTCTCTAGATCTCTACATTATTATTAAAACATTCTTAACTATTCTTATAAACTTAGAACTTAATGTTTAAACTAAAAATCTTAAAATATATTACTTATTCAATAGTTCGAAAATCTTATCTTGTCATAAGTTCAAGCTCTTCAGCTTTTAACTTTTTTTATTGTAAAACAGATTTTTGATCAGAGAGCTCTTACGTTAAATCTTAGATTTTATTTTCTGCACTCACTAATTTAACTTATAAATTTTCAATTAAAGTGTTCATTTCACTATTAATATCTTGTATTTGTTTTAAATCTTTCTAATACACAATACTATTTTTCTCTTCATTTTCTAATAATCTTTAAAAGTCTTAGATTCTTGTATGTAAATTGTCTATTAAAGCCTTTTATTCAATAATTTTTTATTTTTTTTTTTCTAAAAGATTGCTTTGCTGAGATAATCTTTTTTCAATCTCTACTTCTTAATTTTATAATAAGCGTTATTAATTTTTTTCAGCTTTTGCAAGTTAAACTTAAGTGACTTCTTATTTTTCATTAGCTTGATCTAATTAAGATTTTAAATAATTTAGCTGTTGATTCAAACCCTCAATTTATTGTTATTGGTCATAATCTCTATATCGTACATCTTAAAACAACTATTCAAAATATCTAATCTGCTCATTTTATGGGCTAAATCATTTTTAGATTGCTCTAATTCTACTTCCAATCCTCTATTTTATTATTCTTAATTCTTTCTAAATAATGTTAATATTTTTAGATTACATTTCATTTGAAAATTCTTCACATAACTATTATACTCTTTCAAGTTCTTTACCGAAACTTTATCCTTACTATTCAAATACTGTTTCTCCTTATTTCAATTAATCTCTCAATGAGGCTAATTTTTATTTTTTAACTTGCAATTTTTATCGAAGAACATGATTTTGCTATTACAATTCTTCTAGATATTTTTCTTGACTGTCCACTTTAACTTTAACCTCTTTAGTGATGTAGTCGCCCCTATTTAATTGATCTTGAAATAATCTATTTTCAGATTCTAAAGCTTTAATTTATTTTTCTTTAATCTATAACTTATTTTCTAATTCTTTGTTGATATTCATATAGTCCTTTAAGGTAATCTAATTAATTTGAAATTGAAGATACTTTTAATTCCTGGTTTAATATTCTAATCCTTTCATATTTTTCCTTTTCTTGTAGCTCCTTTGCATTCAATGTATCTCGCAATCTGCTAATCTACTCTAAAGAACCGCTTTATCTACGTCTTTCTTTCGAAGAATCCTCACTAAATGAAGAAAAAAAGTTTACTCATCATCTTTAATCCTACTTGGTCTAGATCTTCCAGTATAATAGGTTGCAGGCTACTGAGGAGTTGGTTCATATTGCATAATTTAATCAATCTATTATGTCGTTTTTTTGTATCGATCTATAAGTTTGTTCACGTTTCTCTCTAATCGGTTATCCATTATTTAAATTCAAAATTATTATAAATCAGGTTAACTTTATTTTCTTATTTCTTACGAATCAATCATTTTCAAATCTGGATCATCATTTTGGACATCTTAGAAAGGGTTTTACTCTTCTTCCCCTTTCAATTGTTCTCCACCATTGGGTAATTCTTAATGTTCATTTTTGATATGTTCTTGATTTTTCTATTTATTTTTGGATTCCCGTTTGATTGAAAACTTTTTTTTATCATCTTCGTCTTCATCCTCGTTTAAATTAACTAATTCTGATTCTTATCTGTTGTGAATACTAATAATTTGACTTTAAGATTATCTAACATTTTTTGGTAATTCATTGTTGAAATCATTAATTTAGGGTTATTCATCCTCATCTTCTTCTTCATTCCCATTGATATCAAAAGGAGAATGAATTTATTAGAGAAGAATCCTTCGTTGCTTATTTTGTTTAGTTATGAGAGCATAGAAATGATCAATTTCTAACTTACTTAATGTAATTTCAACTTATTACAAGACTTCTAAATAAATCTAATTATTGCAATAATTTACATCAATATTAATATACCCATTTGTATATGTATCTGGATATTTCTTTATTAGAATATCTGAAATTTCATTTTTCTTCTTCATAATTTACTAATTGATACTATTTAATTGTTGTGTAGTCAATATTTAATAATTTTCCAGGAGAGTTTTAAATATACATCTAACATATGCACTAGTAGTGGTTTCAGTTTCATTGTCAACATCAGCTAAATAAATGGCTGCCATTTCAATTTATTCAATTGTTTAGAGACCGAAGATTCTATTTGACAAATTTTTCTTAAGTTGATGTTAAGTTAAATTTTCATGAGTTAAGAGATATTATTCTACTTATTATAAGGAGATCTTTAATCCAATAAGATTCAATTTGACTTACCGAGCAATAGCCAAAATCTCATTTTTCTCAACATTGATAATCTTCTTCTTTTACAATTCTTTTTCCTCTTGTTACTAAACTTGTTCTTCAGGTGTTAGGGTCCATTACTCTTTATTAGGATTGTTCTTTTAGATTAGTACTTTTGAATTTTCTCTTAATCATATTCTCTTTATAATATTTCATATGATCTCTTTTAATCAGATAATTTCTTCTAGGTTATCTATTTATTCTTGATTTTCAGCTTGCATTTTCTGCATCATATTTTCCAAGTATTTGTTCTTCTACCTCTCATTTCTTAAATCTACAAGTGCTTGATCAAAATCTAACTATAACTATTCTTCAACCTTTTTGTTGTCCTTCTATTGCGGTCTTTCAAGAAATAATGTATCTTTTTTCTTTAATTCCGCTATCTCCAAAAGTAATTAAGCGTTGAGGTTCTTCAAATATTTATACTTATTTAATATTGAATTGTATCTTACCTTCATCTTATTATATTAACTCTAAATTTAATTAAATTTAATACTTAAGCTTGGTTTACTGATTATTCTTGCTATTAGATCATTTGAGCCAGTTTCATATTATCTTCACTCAATGACATGCACAAGTTTTCAACATTGTTTTTATTTAAAGGATTTTATAGTTATTCAATATATTATTGCTATTCTGCTAACTTTTATTGTAATTTGATATTTTCATCCTAAAATTGAGACCATAAAGTACCTCTAGTCTAGTGATTTTTTCTAAGAAGCCCATTTTTAATCGTGAATTACTTTTGGTGGGCGTTCCCTCATCTTTTGAGATTGATTGCACTTCTCTTTTAAAATATTAAATTTATGATTGGAACTATCTCAATACTAACTTTAATTGATTGTTCTCCTATTTCAATCTCTGGATTTCCTCATCTAAGCTTTCCTCATCATGGATAATATATTTTGCTCTCAATTTATTTGCCTCCACATTATCTAGGGTTCTGTTCCTGGAATATAGGTTTTATCTGTGTAATTTCTTCTGTGAATGCACTTATAATGATTTTTATGTCTGAGAAATCGATAGCATCTTTTTTATAATTAATAATAAAATGCAATCATTAATCTAAGTTTTTCAGCAGAAAATATCCTTGTCTGCTTCATTTGTTAAATAATCTACTCCATAAATATTATTTGGCATAAGTCTACTTTCTTGTTTATACCTTTTAAATAAATAATAAAAAGAGGAAAGCCAAGTTGAACCTGAAAAGACTGAAAAAAAATTAAAAAAAAAAGCATCCAGCCAAAAAAATCTGGATGAGAATAAGCCACAATATGTTGATGTGATACAAGATCTGGTATGAATAGTTTAATTTAAAAGAAAAAAAGCTAAAAGAAATTAAACAAAAAAATTAATAAGCAATTCGATGATTCAATTGACAACACAGAAGAAAACATACCAAGATCACCTGATTATAGTGTGGTTTCTGAAATAGATTAGAAATACTTTTTAGAGCTAATTCAAAATTAAAAAAAAACTAAAAGAGCATACCAAACTGATTGCGAATCAACACCTGTAGTATCATTAAGAGGGTAATTTTCATGAAAGACTTTTTAGATTCAGGAGAAATTAGCAATTAATAGGAGAAGAAGAGAAAAAAGGGGAAGATAGATTGTTTTATATTCTGAAATAACGTGTCATCGAATAAGAGGAGAAGGAAAATGAAATTGATGAAGACGATTATTGAAATAATTAGTCAACAGTATGATTAAAATCAAACAAACAAAATATCATCACCTTCTCAGGGAATTTTCCACCCGATTGCATGTCTCGTTTAATAATCTGATCATTGTTCTTTCAGTTTCATCTCTTTATATTTGTTCTTCAGCCAATTACAAGTTTAAATTATTGCTTATCTCTTAAATCATAGCCTTCATTTTGTTCTGAGATTCTTATCTCTAATGCTTTTCTTAATTCAATGTTTCCTACACTGAAAATAGTTATTCTCTTCTACCTACAAACCCTTGATATAGAATTTCTCTATTAATTATAATTTTATCATACCTCTCTTCTCATTCCTTACATCCACACTCAAATTTTGAATTCTATTCTCAATCTCATTTCTGTAATGCGATTCAGTCTCTTTTCTATACTATTGTTATTTAGACTACTCTAATCTCATTTTATAAGATTTTTCATCCATTAATTTTGTTAATCTTTTCTCAAATAACTTACGACGAACTTTATCCTTTAAATAGTCTATTATACACTACTTTCTTGTTCTTTTAGAGTATTTTAACGAAAGTTTTTAGAATTAGTCTATTAATAAATTTTATTTTATTTTTCATTCTTGATTATTTAATCATTTCTTAACGTTTCTTCTATTTTATTCAATTAATCTTATAATGATTGTAACCTACTAAGATCATTATTATGAGCAATCTGAACCTTTTAATTTATCGAATTCAATTTTGCTTCATATGTTGCTTTTTTAGTGTTCTATCCTCATCTATTGATAATTAAGAGAGTTTTTCGTTCAATTGAATTACTCGAGAATTATTTGGAGATACTACTTGTGTATTTTTATAGTATATTGAAGTTCCATAAACAAAGGACACAATCATAGAAGAATTTCTGAGTTTTTATCTATTTGGGGAAAAATATATTGAGCTATTTAACATATAATTAATAAAATATAATAAATAAAATGAATAGAACTCCTCATATGGATTAATTGATCTCCAAAATCTATAGATAACGTAAAAATGTAAGTCTAATATGTTAACAAAAAGTAAACTCCAAATGATTATTCTAGAGAGATGTACTCTCATCCAAATAGCCATTAAACATCTAACAAAGACCTTTTGAATTTGACTAGCAAATAAAAATTAAATAAATCGTGTAACTACAATTCGAATTTACATCAACGACTCCAATCCAAAGCAGGAGGAGATATAAAATAAAAATTATTAGATGAAAGTAAATGTATGTAATTACTTTCACAGTTTTAAGAGGATCACATTCTAACATTTCAACTAGTTATTTAATCAGTACACTAAAAGAAAAAGTTAGTGAAAAGATCAATTAAAAAGTTTAAAAATACAACACTTGCTAAGAAGCCTCATCATTCACCGTGCCTGAAAAAGAACTCTCCCCAAAACCTATGTTTAAAATTCTTGAAAACTTTCTCTTTGCTGAATGTTAAAACCTCAAAAACCAAGTTTCACTTAACTCATTTCAAGAACTACTTGATAAAATGGAAATAAAAGAGCAATCTTTAAAAATCTCAATTTTTGCAGATTTAAAAAAGCTTTTCATTATCTTAGCTTAATCTATTCGAAATGATGTTCAAACGTACAAGAAAGAAATCGAATCTCTTCTTCGATAAAATAATTCGTTGAAATCCCAAATCCAAGAAATGAATTCTCAGTTGGATAAATTCAAATCTGTTATTGAAGATTAACAGAAATAAATCAAAATTAAAAGCGAAGAAAACTTTATTTCAATCATGAATACATTAAGATCTCATGGAGTTGACCCTCGAAAAATGTTGAAAAAATGTTAAGATAATGTCGAAACCTGTAAACTCAAATAAGAACAATCTGAATTCATAGATGAATCCTAAAAATATAGCTCAGATGATTCTATTCCATTTGGTAATTATTGCTTATTACTTTAGTCGATCCGCAAACAATAATAAAAAATGAAAAAAAAGTAATTGGACTAGCTCTAAATTTAAATCCCTTAAAAGATCCAAAAAAAGCCCCTATTGGATATTAAGATGAATTTATGGCTAATATTAATGAATTCAGCGAAAGTTGGAGATAATAAGCATTAGCTGAAAAAAGATTTTGACTTTTTATTTTATTTTTTTATATTGATTAAGTAAGATATAGATTAGACATACCTTGAAGAGATTGTTAAATGATTGATTATCTAATATTGTTACTAATTATGACAATTGTTTTCAAAAAATTGAATTTCATCATAGAATACACATATATTATTATTACGTCAACCCCAATCCACATGAATATTCAATATAAATAAAATCAAATTACTCAAAAAAAGACAGAAAATGCGACCTAACAAACCCTCATAAGATGCCTTTGATGAAGTGCAAGGATCCTATTCAATGGACGATCAATTTAATGTATAAGAAGGGTATAGAAATTCATATGATGAAATTCCGGCAAATTAACTTAGGTACTCTGTTTATAACATAGTATAGTGGAGATGAAGCATTAGAAAAGAGTTTTATGCAATCAACAGGTCAATCATCTATATGGCAAAAAAAGGCATAAAAAACTTCGATTCCAATGACATCTGTAATTGTAATGAAGAGTATGGTTGGAGTGGGAATTCTAGGAATAGTATTAAATTGATTTTAAATTAGCCTTATGTAGCATCAAATTTTGGGGCTATTCTAACAATAATAATTTTGATGATCATCTTTTGTTTGGGAATCCTATCATCGAGTCTATTGTTAAAATCTAAGAATCTTTCAAAAAGAAGTAATTTTTCAACAATCGGGTTTTATATCTTTAAGCATAAATGGATTATTATAGTAGTGAATGTAATGATAATATTATCAAATTTGGGAGTATGTTTAAGCGAATTAATGTAATTAATCGTATATATTTTTAGTATTTTTGGAGACACAGCAAGCAATCTTATAAATTATTTTACTGATAGAACTACAGATGATCAACCATTCTATCTGAAAAGACCAGTTTTTCTAACAGTAATAAGTATATTATTGCTTCCTTTTCTACTTGTTAAATCTATTGAGAAGTTGAGATTTGTAAGTTTATTTGCTATTCTATCAATCAGTTCATTTTCATGTCTGGTAGTCTATAATTTTTTCAGAATTGATTAAACTAATAGTGAATTCTCATGGTGGATTCCTGATAATTTCAATATTAAGAGAGCTTTAGCATCTATGCCAACTTTGATATTAGCATTTAATTGGCAATTTAATCTATTTCCAATTTATAAAGGGATGGCATAACCAACTGATTAGAATTTAGTCACATCAACAATTCTTGGATTTTGTTAGGGATCTTTCCTATATTTGATAGTAGGATTGCTAGGATATGCAACTTATGGAACAAATGTAATAAATCTCAATAAATTATAGATTCAACCAAACTTTTTATTAAGTATTGATGAAGAGGACGTTGGCGCAACTTTATTTGTTATTTTGAATTTAACCTTTGTGTTTTCTACAACTCTTACATTGCCGGTGATATTTTTTGGAGGAAGAAACAATTTTATTTAAATGATCAAACAATTCACAGTAATGATTTTTATTAAATGTAGGAAAATAAAAAAGTGAACATTTCGGCCAAAAAGAAACTATTAGATAACTAATAAACTGAGTAGTATTACAAAGATTTGTTGTAATTCAAAAAGAAATCTTAAGCTATTCGATTTTATGGGATCAGTATTGGATTGTTTATTTTATTGGCTATTGGAGCAGTTTTCATAAAAAATTTAGGAACTGTCTACAATTTATTAGGATCCGTAGCATGCAATGCAATTTAATTAGGACTACCTACATTATTCTATGTATTTTTGGTAAAACAAGTGAAGAAAATGAAATTTCGAAGTTATTCAAATAAATTATTTTATGTTTTTGTGTGTGTTCTTTTAGGTGTAAGCATAATTTTAACATTCTTATGTGTGACCTGTGAATTTATTTAACCAGAAAAAGAGGTTGCTGATGATTGATATTTGTATAACTATTTATAAATAATAAGAAAATTAAAGGAAGTATTTTAATAAATAAAATAAATAATGGATTAAAATTCCGCCAATCGAGATGAGAACTCAGTCTAGGCAAAACTCAGAAGGAGAAGAAACGATTCAAATAATAGAGACTATTCTTGTGGTTGTGGAAAAAGCTATTTAAGTTATGCAGCCCTGTATACTCATTTAAAGTATGATGTAAATACGATCGAAAGATAGAAACATGATTCTAAGGCTCCTGATGGAACTTAATTGCCCAATAATGCAAATTAAAGACCAGGAAGAGGTAGACCAAGAAGAGTAACTTAAATATAATATACTATGAGCAAGATGATTAAGATAGAAAAAGTGCTAAATCTGATGAAGGATAATCAGAAAGTGGAAATGAACCTGATGATATTCTGGAAGAGCTTTTAACTTTTTTGGATAGTTTAGGTAGTTTTAGATAAACTGAAAAACTGTCTAGCGATGTTGATATTTAGGCTTTTCTTCTTTCAAATTTTCCTTAAACTGTCTTTTCAAATTATCAAGAATATTAGGGAATATTTGATTTATTAAAAGATATTACAGATGAAAAAGTACTCAATGTTTTAATTAAAAGATTAAAGTTTAAGATATTGATCAAATTGCTAATGAACCTTTTGATAAGGATAAGTCTTTGCGTAAAACAAATATTACTAAGATATTGGCATATTTCTTGATATAAATAGGTCCAAAGTTAAATGCTGAAGCATATAGAGAAGTAAGTAATTTTACTAGATATTTTAATAGATGTGTATATTCATCATATGTTTTTAAAAATGTTTGAATACGTTGGGTTATTTCGCACTCTAAAAATACTACTAGGATTAAAAGAATGGAGATAATAAATAATTGGATATCAAAGAGGGTGATATTTTTTAAAATATATTTAGAGGTCTCACAAAACTAGGAGTTCTGTGATGTTCAAAATGGAGAGCATATGCTATTAATTTCAAATGAATTTATTTTAACATCTTTACCTTAATCTTATTCAGGATTAGAGAAGGTCGAAAAGAGTTTCAAAATATTTGGTAGTTGTGCTGAAAAATTAAAAAATGCTGTGTATGTTACATAGCATTTCTCGTATTGGTTATATTCTTTAAAATTTACAAATTCAAGATTAGATTTTTATACTGAGGATGATTGATCATTTTTAATTATAAATGTGTGTTTAAATATATAGACAGAAATTATTAATTAAATATTAAAATGAGTGAGTTGGAATATGTGAATCTTGAAAAACAATCAAAAGGAAATAAAAACAGAAATAATAATTAATTCAATAGAAGAGGAAGAAGAGGAGATAGAAACTTTTCAAACAGAGGATCTAGGCCTTAATGGAAATAAAGATAAATACAATAAAGATAATAATAATAACAAGTACATCTTTTTGAAAACATTACAGGGATAATAAAGATCAAACAGATTCAGAAGAATACCAACTGGATAAGCTAGAAGATAAAGATTAAATCGAATCTAAAACAGGCCTAGATAATAGGAAAGGGAAAGAGGTAGAGATAGAGTGAGGGAAAGAGTTAGAGATAGAGATGGTGAAAGAGATAGAGAAAGAGAAAGAGAAAGAGAAAGAAATAGGGAAGAATAGAGATATACTAATAGAGATAGGGATAGAGAAGTCAACTCAAAAGGACCTAGACCCAATGTAATTGTCAGAGGGTTAGATCCACACCAAACGGAGACTGGACTTAGAGTATAATATCTTATTTTAACATTTTTAGGAATTCTGTTCTTAATTTGGACCAATGGAGATGTGCAAATTGGAAAGAGACAATTTTGGAAATGTTAGGGTATTATATTTAAATTATTTGAATATAGCCTGAGGGAATTGGTTTGATTAGATTCTTTAAATAAGAAAATGCTGAATTATTTGTTTCAAAAGTTGATGGTGAGGTAGTCAATGTCAATGGAGATGATAAAAGTGTAAGTATTTTATATAATTGGTAGTTGAGAAGACTGTCTGCTAAATTAGTTGGGCAGAATAATAAAAATAATAATGAAAGATAAACTAGTGGAATTCTTAAGATAAGCAGAGGTCCTATTCAAAAGTAATTATCATCTAACATTATTAGATCATGGAGAAGATGAAATGGTGATATATGAATTAATAATATTAAAAACAAATCCTAAATATTTAGCATTAACTATGGTAAATAGCTTTATGGAGAAGTCTTTATAAGGATGTATTGTATTTAGATAATAATAAACATACTCTTTAGACTTTATCTATAAACTACTATCTTCACATATATTATCTATAATTATACACAGTTACGATACGAATAATATGAATACAATCATCTAATTTATTGCATTACTTTTAGGACATCTACCTTTGATTTAGGTTCTCTGATTTTCTTTGGTTCTTGCAAACAATATTTGATCATAAAATATTTTAATGGATCAATCACTATTAAATCTAATAGTAAACTAGGTAGATATTCAATAAACCAATATAAATTATCAAAACTTAGAAACACAATGAGCCAAATAATTATTCCAATACTTGAAATCCAAAGCAAAATTAAACCATATTTCAAATTTTGATGATGACGAACAATGCCTTTTATTGCATAATAATCACTTATTTTGAACAGGAAACAACAGCTTGAAGTAATCCCAATAATAATCCACAAATTGAGATTTGGTAGATAATGAATAAGCACTCCTGACACATCCAAACAAATTAGTTATCTAAAATATGTAGTAAGGGTCATAAAGGTTCTTGATATCCCTTCTTTATGGGAATAAAATATTTTACTAAATTAATGACATTTCTATTTTTATTTTTATTTATACATAAAAATCATTTTGTGGTTTTGGTATTTAATAATTTGGATCGCATTTGATAGCTTCAGCCTTTCCAAAATTACTAAATTGTGAAATTCTTGGTTGATTTTATTAATATTTTTGGTTGCTTGATCTCGGTGTAAAATCACCTACACTGCTCCTATCGCTTTGTATTTACGATAACTTCTTTCCAGGAGTCCTTAAGCTTCTCCTATTTGTAGTCTATGCAGTCTCAATTCCTTCAAAAGTGCCAATTGTAGGTTTTCTCAAAATAGTCTTTCTCAATGTATTAGATCTTTGAGGAGTTCTATTAATTCTTGGAGATTAGACTTATTTTGTGTCAACAGTAAAACGAATCGGAGAATTTTATTCTGTAATATTTCTTTCTCCATTACTATAAAATTAATCCTCTTAATTCAAATTAGGTGAATTATCTCCTGGATTATTAAAAAAATCATCTAATTCGTTGTTTTCAAATCTAGTTAATTGTTGGCTTCTCATTTGGCTCTATATCTTTGATGTAATTGGTAAAATTCCAAAAGTTGTTTCACCTGGTGTCTTATTAATAGGTTGTGGAGATACTGATGCTAGTCTATATGATTTATCTAAAAGATATCCGATCAATATAATCAAGATAATGAATACTGTCCATGATGCTAAATATACTAAAATTATTAAGTTAGTAATCATAATTTATTTTATAATATTTCTTTCAAAAATTCTATCTTGATTCCAATGATACAAAACTTTAAACTTTTGAAAAGTGAATCATTATTAATTAATAGCAATAATGCTCTAATTCTATTTGGAATTATGAATTTTGTATATAAAGGAAGATTATTTATATCTATAATAAAAGCCAGATTTATTTTGATTTATTCTTAACTTTTTTGTTAATTGATCTCTTTTAGTCTGTAATCTCAAATCATATAATCAATAAATCAAATATCTCTAAATTTTTAATTCTTAAGTTATTTTAATAATTATCATTCTACATATATTTTGATTTATTTCAATTGCAATTATAATAAAAATGAGAATAACAAAATTTAAATAGATAATAAACAAAATGAATAAATAGAGTATATTTATATTTTCAAAACGACTCTAGAATTTAGAGTGAAATATATATTTGAGTTTATTTTAAATATTATTGTTGTCATATATTATAACTCTATCTATTTAGTTTTTCTCATCATTTATCTCTACCCATGCATGAGAATAAACTAACTATTCTTTGAAAGACATTTTTATCTTCATGAGAACTTTTAGGAGCAATTTATTATTGTTGGTAGCTTGCTTATGTTTCATCGGAATATGAATATGAGTTTTCTTCGTTTTTTAAATTATTCTGAGATTCCTTAGTAATATATGGATGTTATATTATCTCAGTTAATGTGATTCTTTTGTCAGGTTCAGGAACTAGCATCTTAATAATCAAATCCTTAGCATAGGGGTCAGCCATAGTAAAAGAGGGTTCAGTGAAATTTAGAATTTGTTCAATCATTTCATCTTCAGTGCCTATAGAATTTATTAGATTATGAATACCAGAAAGGATTGGTTTTTTTTCTAGCAACCAATATAGGAGACAACCTAAACTCCAAATATCAACAGAATAGGATTGTGGATAATTCCTTAAAATTTCAGGTGCCATGAATTCATAGGTACCAGAAAAGTTACTTATGACATCCTTTTAAGTAGCCAAACCAAAATCGCATAATTTAACATTATTTTTGTCACTTAACAATACATTAGTTGGTTTGATGTCTCTATGGATTATTCCTTTATTGTGGAGATATTGTAATGCATTGCATAATTGAATTATTATCTATTTTGGATTAACTTATGTAGTAGTGGTCAAATGACCATTTTCTAAAAACATAGAAATTATATGAATACTTGCATATTCTTAAATCAAATATAAATGATCGTCTTTCTCTAAGAATTATAATAGTTAAATGATGTATTTGTGCTTTAGTTATTTGTGTATTTTAAGTTCCCTGTAAGCTAGATTTTTATTTATTTTTTTTATCGCAAAATTATATCCATTCAGTTATTTTAAGTACACCATTCCAAAACTACCTTTTCCTATTAGATTCATTTCATCATCCAATTAACTTACAGTTAATCTAGGAACTATTTCAAATAAACCATTGCAAACCAATTAATGATATCCCTCCCTATACAAAATGTAATCACTAAGTACCAATCGAAGTCTCTACATTTAATAGAACAATAGAATGCATTAGAACAATTGTCACAAGTTATCTAGGTGCCACTTATTATAGAGTTGTATTGTATCTGCTCATTGCATTTCGAGTTTTAGCAATTCATGTTTAGGTTTCAGAAAAGGAAAATTTATTAAACTAAAATAACAAATACATTTTAATCGTATTATATGTGTATTAACATAAAATCAATTATAGCTATATGGTACAACAATCTCCTCTTACTAAATAATAAATCACATAATCTTACATGATGTAAGGGAACCAAATCAATCCAATCAGCACTGTTCAATGGAAGCAACCCAATGTTGTATAATTTATACAGCACTACTCCCAACTACAATAATCCAGCAGATAAATAAATCAATTTATATAAAAACAACGATATTCCTCTGTTCTCCAATGATGAAAATGCTTGATCCATTTTCGCAATTGTGGAAATGGCTTACCATAAAAATTACCCAATGATAACAATTGTAAATATGTTCATCATATTTCCTGTCATATACAAAGTGAACATAATCATAAAAATGTTTCCAAATCCTCCCTTAGCAATACCCATGGCTTTCTAAATTGCTTACTAAATGGCCTTACTTTCTCTAAATCATCCCTCAACTCTTATCCCTAACAATCATCAAATGCTTTTTTATAGCCCACAGGATCAGGTAAACTGTTTTCTCGCTTTATTTTGATTTCCCACATATAAAATATATATTCTTATTATATAAAATTATATCATCGTAATTTCGATTATCCAATTTCTACTTTATAGAGTTCCTTATAGATTACTGAAATGGATTTATCAAGAGTGGAAATTAAATGTCCAGAGCCTTAATGAACTATAGGAGCCTAATAGATTATAAGAGATTCTACTTTGCTATTTCTTTCTTTAATTATATTGCATTTCTTTAAGATTTATTTAGAAGTTTCAACAGGGTTGAAAGTCTCTGTTTCATTGCCTTGTTTTGGCTAAGTTCCATTGTCCTCCTGTTTGTTTTAGTTTTCGTATGAGATAGTTTTTTGTCTTTCTTGAGATGTAGGCGGTTTTCTTTTGCTATCCTCTTATGTATGAACCTAAGGAAGTGATCGTGCATGATCCATTATAGATACTTAGTATTTTTATATATATTTACATGGTAGATTATTGTACATAGTTTGAGCAGCCTAAAAATGAGTTTTATTATGTAATGATGGTAGCAAATTCTTTGCTATCAGTCTTGATAAGTATGCCTTCCTTTCTAATGAAGACATGCCTTCTGAAAAATGTTCTATATTGAGAATCTTTTTATTATCAAATTTCATGTTCTCCACTTGAGATTGAGTATGATCTTTCAAAAATTATTCTATTCTTGCTAAGGCAGTTTTATCTCTATATCTAAAAACATCTCTTTTTATGTCTTTAGAAGGATCTCTTTCTCTAAAGCAATATTTTCCTGCCTTTAAATTTGGCAAGAAATCCAAACTGTTATTCTTCTCCTATGCTTCTTGGATTCTATCCTTTTCATGCTTAAATCCTTTAACATATATTTGTGGATCTCCAAGATTCTTTGTAGGATCTTCATCTCTAAATTAATATGCCTCAGGTGGCTTGTACTCATTGCATACGATAGGTTACTCCAACATGTTTATCAGAAAGTTTTCTATTCTTTTCTTATAGTTTTTGGATAATCTTTGATTAAGTTCTGATTTAATATCTCAAAAATACCTTTACGATTCTCCCTTTACTTTATGTACTCCTTTTTGATTTTGTCTATCTCTTTTGTGAATGCCAATTACTTATCGTACTGGTAACTATTAAACATATGACTTAATTTTACTCTCCTTTATAATAATAAATTATATTTATATAAAATAATATATTAGTAGTTATTATATTCTTGTTACAAATTTACAATGCAATTCAAAGTTAATGAATGTTATTTATTCAAAGTAAGAATATCTCCTACAATTTTCATCCTTCAACATAAGATTATATTGTATTTTAATTTATTCAAATTTCCCTATCATAATATTCTTTAAACTGTCTTCCATATGTAGAACAGATAATTTAATTTAAATATATGCTCCAAATAATCTAGAGAATAAAGATTAGATTCAATTAGTTATTTGTTGATTTAAGAATTATTCTATTAGAATTTTCAACTCAAAAGATAAAATTGCGAAAAAGAGAATCTTCTTATATAACTAATATTTAAAAATTACTTCTTTAACATTTATAGTGATTCACTATTCAACCAACTTAAAAATTGAATAATATTGACCTATTCTCTATACTCCAAGATATCATCTCACTAATAGAAGAAATTCAAAATATTGAGATAGTCTTTAAGCTAAAAATATTGTATCTGATAATTGTAATTAATTTATTTAGATGAATTATTCAAAATCATAATTTATTTATATACTAAAATTAATATTTGTGTTTTGTATATATAAATAATTCAAGATTAAAGAAGCATTTACTTCTTCTATCAACTTCCGTATGAAACAAAAAAACTAATTTTAGTTGAAGAATGCAAAAACTTAAAGTATTTATTCGTCTGAATCAACAATTCAAACTCCTTCTAGATAATTATCACCTAAGTCACCATAGATTTAGATTTCATCTGCTTTATCCTATTCGAGTATCACCCCTTAATTATTAAATAGATTTGCCTGTTTAATCTGATGCATTATATTAGGTGAAAATAAAAGAACTTTTAGAAGAAAATTAAAAGTTGATTCATAAAAGCTCCATGCAAGACTTAATCATTAATAGATTATAATAAATAGAAGAATTGGAACCAACACGATCAAGCAGAATTAATACTTTAAACAATACTCGCAACAATAGCAAGAAACAAATCAATAAAATTTAAAACTTCGTTTACACTAGCCAAAAAGAGAGCAAAGATGATAAACTGCTATTCACATTCTACAGTCCAGAACCAAATCAGAAAACCAATGTTTGTAAGCTTCCAAAGGTGTTCTAAGTGATTCCAAAGAAGAGAAAATACTTTATATGACCAATTGTTATTATTTGATAACATCGTTAATTTATAATTTGTATCTGATCTTTAAAATTAAGGATTTATCTTATTTATTACTTTAAACATGGGGATTCTTAGGAAAGCAGTAGAATTAGTATAATTTCATTTTTACATTAATATCATGGTATTTTTATCTTAAATTACTTATCGTTTGATAATTTTATTTTTATTTTTAAATCTCATTAGTTCTCTATATTTTATTAATAAATTCTATATTCAACGGAATAACCACTACCAAAAATCAAAATTCATCTAGAATTTGTCTATTAACATTATAATAGCTTAAATTACAGTAATTCAACAAAGATCCAACATATAATTGAACCATATCTTATACAAAATATTGAGATATATTATCTCAAAAATTACACTTCCCTAACAAGTTAATGATAAATCATTTGTAGTTACGATAATATTTACTGTAAACTCCTTAAATGAGAGCTATCATGAATTTCAAATAAAGTGTTTCTCATTTCAATACTGCTATCCAAAAACATAATCAAAGGAGGAATATAAAAACACAAAATATTTGGGTTAATCCTTTAAAACATATTATTGAAATATGGTTTGACTTTTGTCTTTCAAATAAATGATTAAGAAGTAAGTTAGAGTTGTAATTGAAAAATTAGAAGCTTCTTAGATATCAGAATTTTACAAAGATGATATACAAAATAGAGGTATTATTTAGTTATATGTTTTAGAGCTTGAGAGTTTATAACTATAAATTTTAGAGTAACATGGATGAAGAAGATCAAAATAAGGATTAAATTGATACATAATTATTTTAAATTGCTAATAATTTATGAAAAGTACTCATTATTAGAACTGCTGGGAATTTCATTTAATTGTAAAACAATGTATACTTCCTTACTTATGGCAAGAGGTTATAGATTTATATCAAAGAGAATCAATCAGTATAGATACTGATTTGGAGTTTATAATAAAGTACTGGAATTATTAAATCATAGCTGCTATATCATTTGTTACTTATTAGATTAGATATATAAACACAATATTATATTCAATAACATTCTTTTCATTTTGAGAGTTTTTCATAGACTTATAGATACTTTCTAAGATGAGAGAGTGAATTATTGCATATGTAAATTAACTATTAATATATTAAAGTGCGTACCTAATATTTTTGAATAAAAATTTGAATGAGTTGAAGTAATCTTTGAGTGAAATTCTCTTATTTAAAGTGATAAAGGTTAACTATCATGTGTTGACAATCATCCCTTTGAAGTTAGTGTTCTAACAAGCTCTTTTCTTGAGTATTACAAAATTCTACAATTGTTTTCAAATTAAAGTTCTTCAAAATTCTATAATCTTCCTTTGATTATGGAACATATCCATAACAAATATTTTTATTAAGTTAGAATATCATTTATTTTACTTTTGCTAAATTATCTGAATAGACTAATAAAGCATCTTTATAATATGATTCTAAAAAATAATAACAATACTGTTTACATTCAGATTCTAAATCCAGTTTTTACACAGGACTTGAAAACTCACTTTTGGTCAAGAAGTGATATTAATACTGTATCTAAGGATCAGCTACATCTAAGAGGCAAGTGTATTAAGAAATTCCATCTTTATTTTTCATTCTAATTCTTTTTTAAAATTTGCCCAGAGTTTCAGGAGATCCAGAAATATAGATCAAGCAATTTGATGGATTTAAACACTAAAAGCAAACCTTTCTGTAGTTCCACACATCAATTGTATGTTTAGTAGTTACTCTATTGGGTCCAGATTCCCATAAAACAGTTTAAATACTCTCATATTGAGAAATGAAATATTTATACTCAATTTTATGGTAGGCTATCTCCACTTCCCAAATATCATTCTAAAGATTGATATAATAATTACTTCCGTCCAATTCATTCGGATTGCTTGTTTAGGATTCCATTGCCCCAAATACTTTGAATTCCCAGAAATATACACAGCCTAACCGAATTCAGTTTTGAATTGGATTTTTAAATGAATCATTTTCACCAAAGAGAGTCAATAAATAATTAATTTCAAAGGATTTATTTGAGATGCTTAAGATGCTTTTTATAATACGTAAGAATTTTAATATTAATTAGAAATTTATGATTAAGTAATTTCACTTCAAATAATCAATTACTATCATATATCAGCTTACATACTAGATAAATAGTACTTTTATATAACCCAATATAACTAAAGATTGTAAATTGATTTTTAAGTAAGTAAATCAAATTGTAAAAGTATTATTGATCATATTTAAATAAATGGACTGGGGGGTGCAAATTAACATTTGAGACTAGATGAACATTTTTATTTTTAAACTTGAATTTATTTGTAACATAAAATAAGTAATGTCTAATCAATGCCATTAATTTATATATATTTAATATTAATGTTATTATTTAACCCATTTCAGTGAATACTACTCAATAATATATCATTTTACCCTTCATAATCGCTCAGTTTTATTGTTGTTGTTGTTCCAATCCAAAATTATCTGCTCAATGATGTCTTCAAAATTCTTACTTTCAGCTTTGTCTTACACTCCTTCTAGCCAATTTATATGTTTAAAAACACAGAATTTATTGGAAAATATAACTAATAAAATAATTATTATCCTAAATTGTTTAATGTATATTTCAAATCTCTAATTCTTAGATATAGCTCTTGATTTATGGATTAAGTCTAGTAGTGAAGATCTCAATGCATTCATTAATTATATTTAATTCATTGAATCTGAAAATGTAAAATAAATTATTACTTTATTTATCGTAAATTTTGGTTTGCTCTTAAATCATCATCACAAGTTTTTCTCCAATCTTTGTACTCCTAATTTTTTACAGTTAAAAATTGCTCTTTTGTTTCAATATCATTTTGAAATTCAAGTAATTTCTGCTTCAACTTTTCTGCCTCTGCCTGTAATGAGGCTATTGTAGTGGTAAAAGTTTATAATTCTGAATCATATCTACTTTTTTATAATGAATAAAGTTCCTCCTTTTGTTCATCTCCGGATCTATCAACAGAGAGCAAGTGTTACAATGACTATTTTAATTACTAATTAAATTACTTCAACAAGTTCATCAATTATTTATATGATTTTGGGTACATTATCGTCGCCTGCAGCTGCAATCAGAATTTTGACTAATCCGTGATATGGACTACTCTTATTTAAGGATTCAAGATGCTTGTGTAATTTAGCTCTAACATCACCTACTTACAAAAAGGAACTTTTAAGTTATGATAAAATGGCTTTTGCTTTTTTTAATCCTGATATAAAATCTATGGTTTCTTATTATTTTTATGAGAAATCTTTCTAATTTATATATTTCACATACTTTTTCAACTGATCTTGAAAATTCTGCTCCATTTCTTCGATCTTAAACTCTCTTTTATTAATCAACTTTATCTTTAATTTGATATGCAATGATATTTAATTCTTCTTATTTGAAGGGTAAAGTTCTCTCATTATCAGCTTTTTTATTTGAAGCATTCTCAATTACAGTTTGCAATTCATTAAATCGTTATTCGCAAGATTCCTAACTTTGTTTAATAGCTTATGAATTGTCATCTAGATCAATTTGAGTAGCTTTTTACATGGCCAAAAGTTAATTTACAACTCCATCAACGGATGCACTTAAAATGAATGAAATTTTACTCTTCGCTTTCTAATGTAATTTGCATAGTTGCTATAATAGTTTTTCCAAATTCATAATTTTAGAGTTATGCTAATAATTCATAATCATTTGCTGCTACAACAAAGATGACTGAGAATATCAAGGATAAATTCATATTTAATAATAAATAAAAACGATATAATCTCTAATATTTATATATAATGATCAATTCTTATTTATGATCATGACAAGCATGTGAAAATCAAAAATACATAGAAATCTAAAAAGTTAAATGTAAATTTATTCTTGTATATTAAAAAGAAACTTAAAGTCATTCCTTTCAAACTTGAATGTTGCTGAAGTCAGCACTTTCAACAACTGACAAAGCTTGCTCACTAATTCCAAGTTCTCTAGTGAACTCATTCTTTAAGTTAGTGTAGGTATCGGTTTCTTCAGCATAAGTGTTATTTTCTAATTCAAGTTCAGCAGTGTATTGTTTTCTGTCAGCTTCTCTTTGGTCTCTGAAATCACTTAATTAATCGATTTTTTCTAAAATAATTGATTATTTCATTACCATTTGTTGCAGTCAAATCAACATTAACTCTGTTGATTTATCTCTAGAATTCAGCATACTCAGCATCTAATTATTCAAGGTATTCTTCGTGTTCAGCTTAGGCATCAGCTTCAGCAGCTGTTTAGGCATTGATTGAGTCAACAATAGCATTTCTAAATTCATTAAGAGCACCAACTATTTAACCAATGATTCCTTAGTCTGAGAAGTTTTGGTTTGAAGCCAATGTGATAAGTGCCTTGATCATTGGAGCCATTCTAGATCTTGATTTGATCTTTTATTCAATGTTTTTCAAGGAATTTTAGAATCTCTTGATCTAAAGAAGAGATGGATTTGTTAATGAAGAAAGAAGGGCAAGTGCATCATCAACTGCTGCAGTGGCATCATTCAATTCTGCAATTTAGAATTCGAAATCTTCATGTTCTTATTCTCTTGTAAGAACAGCTTCATCATAATTTTTTCTATTTGCCTCTTAGTTTTCTTAAATTTATTCAATTCTCACTTGGAGTTGTTCTCTTCTGGGGAATAATAAATTATCCAATGTGTCTTATGTATTGTTAACATCTAAGAATGTATCATTAAAATACCGATCACAGCATCTTGAATGTCTTATTCATAACCGATGACTAATGAATTATGTTAATTAGTTCTTTATTAGAAATTGAATTCAAGTTCTTCCAATTCCTCTTCAAGATCATTAATTAACTCTTCAATGGCGTCAATCAACTCTTAGACAGGACCACCAGCCATGGAATGGAGTTCAACTAAATGAAGAAGGGCACTTCCATATGTGCTCTTTTTCAAATCTGTTGTAATTTTAGATAGACTTCTCTCTTGGACTCTAGCTGTGAATGCAATTGCAATCAAGGCAATGAGGAACAATGATTTCATTAAAATAATATATGAAAAATGAACACAAAAAAAATGCTTAGATTACAACAAAAACGACTAGTCTTATTAATTAAATTATCAATTAAAACCACTATCAGATTCCGTATCTGCAGCCAAATACTCACTGTTCCAATTCATTTTCTTCTTCTCTTCCAATTTCAACAGCTTCCTGCTGACCTCTCTGCAAAATTCTAATTGGTATTATTATTATAAAATTTAAAATGGTTGCATTTCAGCTTTATTATTTTTTTTATTGCTTGAAGAAGTAGTCTTTCGTAGTACTTTTATCTCACTCCCTAACTTAATAATAAATAAATAATATATTACCTTGTATTTTCCATTAATCCCACCATTGATCGTTCTTTTACTCAAAGATGGACGACTTAAAGTAGACTCAGTTGTATTCATAAATTTTGCGTTTTCTTTCTATTTGAGTACGTCTTGGAATGACAAATATTGTTGTTCCTATTTAGGTTATTTTACATTCATTATCATTTGTAACCTTTTATCTTTAATTCTAAAATCATTTTATTCAAAAAATGAATTGGAGCATTCTCCTTTAGATTCTTGCTTTATGGTATCAATTTGACGTCTCTTTTCAATGATCTACTCGGATTGCTATTTTTTTAATTGCAATTTTTGCTTTCTTAATGACGACTAACAATTTCTTAATTAAAATTATTCACACCATTTTATCAAACACCTGTAAAATAGAACAGACCTTGATTTCAATTTTAAAAACATTTCTAGAAATTAGAGATCTAATTAATTTGCTTAATTAGTTCTTAATATTAAGAAACCCTTAACTAAATCGTTGCTAAATCTGAAATTTATTAAATATTTATTACTTTTCTATATAATCGTCATTAAAATTATCATGATATTTTTTTGACTCAAATTAAATCATTATACAAAGCATTCTGAGTATTATTTGAAATACGTACACATCCTATGGAGATAGCAGATATGTATTATTTTTTTCAGCATCTTTGATCGCATAGATTTGATGTTCCAATAATTTTGTCAATATCAATAATTATTTGTGTGCTTACAACCGATTACATAATTTCCGGCAAAATTCAATCTATTCACATATCATCTCAACACACATTATTATGTTTTAATTATTACTCAATTGTACAAAGCATTCCTCCAATTTCTTTTGAACATAATTTGGCAAAGTCTATTCAACATAATAAGAGAAGATGCTGCAATTCATTGATTTGTTTGAATTTAAATAAAAATAATAACTAAAATAATCAAGATGTTAATGCTACTATAGTATTCATAAATAATTAAACATGATAAATTTCAAAATATCGATTAACTTAAAGAAACATAAAGATTTTATCTATATTTAAAATAGATTACATTAAGTTCTAAAGTTTAAAATAATTATTTATTTATTCTTTTTTTATATTCAAACTTTTTCTCTAATAGTTTTAAATATATTCCCAAAACCACTTTATTTTTTTGGTTTCTGAGATTATTATTAAACAATTGAGCTGAATGTTATTTATGTTAATCTTTTTTGGATAATATCTTTGTTTTATATTTATTAAGAAAGAATTTATTTCATCATTAAAATTTAGATATTTGATTTTATAATATCTATTCAATTAAGGAGTATTTTTAAAATTTAAGGATTAAAATAGTTAAGTTGATAATAGAAATATTGAATGCGCTTAACAAGTTACTGTATTTTATTCTATCAAAATATTCGTAAATATATTTTTCTTTATATATATAAAATATTTTTAGGTTAAATGAAAATAAATTTTCTTAAATTAATCGATAAATGAAAAAATTAAAGTAATATAGATTTGTAAATATTATTATATATTAATTAATCAATCAGCCTAAGTATTATTGTATCCGTTTCAATATTTTTTAAGTTGACTCTTTACAAGGAACAGATAAGAAATTTTAAGCTGAAGTAGATTTTTAAATTTATTATTAATAAGGTCTAATTTTACCCTTTTTCAGTAGTTCTCTTAGATTATTACTTTACTATTTATCTAAATTCATTAACATAGGAAGGATATCAATATCATTACTAAAATCCTTAGAAAAGCTTGGTTAGGATTAAGGTTGTTTTGGTAGCTTTGTCTTTATTCTTAGTCTACTTGTATTTCGAAATTAGCCACGATATGACATTATTTCTTGGTATTAATTTTTATCAAAAATATTTTATGATTAGGTAGGTCTGTGAGTTTTGAGTTATTGTTGTTGAAAATTCTATATTTTATTAATTTAGACATTGAATTAATACTTAATACTATTGGATTCTACTCGTTTTCTTTTTTATTAATCTATGAGTCTATTATTTAACCAATTGGATTTGATTTACTTCTTATTTAATAGTTATTATTTGAACCAATGGTAACGTTAACATAACATATTTATATCGGTAATTTTAACCCCATACAATTTACATTTGGTTGTTGTAACACATTTGAATTAATATTAATGAGCATCAAATGATTCTTCTCCTAATAAACATCCTTGATTGACCCTAGCCAAAGCATTCTGATCATCATTAATTTAACATTCCCCTAAAACGAGAACATATATGAATGTCAATTGTTACCCCTTTTAATAAATTGTGTTATTAGGATTGTATTTAAATTTTATAAATTTGCTCATCAAAGATTTTACAAGTTAATGCATCTCATTTTCTGATTCAGTAATTTCACTTACAAATCCAGCCTCTAATTATCTATATATTTTCGATTATCTTTAGATTTTGATTTGATTTTCTACATTTTAATAATCACTTAAATTCATTTGAATGATTACACAATCAGATAGTGCAAGAAGCAATGTATTGTGTTTTTTCAATTGAAGATCATTGTTTAAGAGTTCTCCCTCTTTAAATTAATAGGTTTGTCTTGCATTGCAAACGCACTGATTTAATAAATATTAAAAGTATGAATCATTGTGCAGTTTAATTCCTTTTAATAGTTGGTCCATTTCTGCATTTAATGCCTATAGGTATTATGGGGGTAATTGGGGATAACGGTTATGCCTTATGCTATTTGTTCTTTTCAATTCTACTTTTTATGGTAAATCACAAACCTGTGCTCTACGCAATCTAGGTTGATCATTAATTGTAAAAGTTAATAAACCATTCTACTAGTATGCTGCAGTTACTCTTCTGCCTGGTCTTTCAATAAAAATATCAGATTTGTATTATTTCATAAGTATTTTTCTTTTGTCTTCTAATTCACCATCCGACATCTCTTGATACTATTGAATTGAACCAGAATATAGGATCATTATTTTATCTTGTCTATCATTATATTTCCAAATCAATGAACCTTTATAATAAATGAATAAAAAGTACCAGACTCATAATTAGTCAATACTGCATTTTGGGCCATTATACGAAGCAAAGCTTTATAAAGCTTCGCTTTGGTTTGGCTGTGCAAAATATCAAAATATTACAAGCAAATCAACTGATCTTCAATGGCTTAATGTTCTTTACGACATCTTTCTTCTGGGTCCTTCTGTAATAAGTATATTAACATATAATTAATCAAGTAAAGTAATTAATATTATTTAGGAAATAAAACAAATAATTAGTTGATTTCAACCTAAAAAGTTACTCTTAATGGCTAACTATTAATTTATATTCAGTAACTTTTTAAATTGTGTTGAAAGACTTTCTTATAATAAAATTAATTTACATAGTTCAATCCAAATCAACTACGTGTAAATATTATTAACAGCGAATAAAATGTATTCTTTGTGGAATTAATATAGATCCATATAAATTTGAAAATAATTTTTTACTTCTAAATTAAATATTTAATTTAGGATACCTTTATAATGTAATGGCAACCCTAATCTGAGAAGAAAATCGTTGCCATTTCTAATGCATAAGATAAGGTTCAATCTATATCTTCCTTTGAATTTCTTTGGCAAGTTGTTTTTAGTTCACTTATATTTTAGACAGCATATATTTAAATAATGTAGCCTTGTTTAACTACTTCTAATTATTAACCTAAAGATTTAGGTATTTTGCTGTAGGACTTTTAAAATAAGTTTAAGTAATTGTTAAGTGGACTAATTTCTGACCCATTTTTAAATTCATCTTAATTCTCAAGCTGTGATTTTTGATTGTTATCTATTTTATTATGATAATACTAATAAAATTTGAAATAATACTATGTTCAGCCAGTATATTTAAGATAATTTAAATTTAGAGAAATAAATTATAAGGTTTGCCAAATAATTAAAGAATTTAGATCTATTATTTGATAATTTCATTCTTCCTTAATCATTTTAATTAATGAACTTATTATATCATATATTTTGGTTATTTCTTAGTTTTAATAGATTAATTAAATGGATAAATTAATAATGTCATATATTATTGATATTAATTATTCTTTAGAATGATACTGAATTTATTTATAAACAATCTTCAGGTTTTTAGTGAGGATCTCTTAGAATATCTTAAGGAAATAATTAATTGAAAATTTTATAAGAATTTTCTTTTTGAAATACTAGCTATATTTATTATAAAATTAATGATTTCATAATTTGAAGAGAGTTATTTGAAATCTACTACAGTAATATGTAATCATTTAACCAAATCTCATAAGGATGTATTTTCTTGCTAATGAATTTAAGTTCTATTTGGTTATGTCAATATTAATGAATTCAATCTAAATCTTTGACTCTTAATAAATACTATCAAACTTAAGAATAGATTTGATGTATTCAATAATTGAAAATTATGAAACAATAGTGTTTTGTATTTATTTTATGTATGCTTATGAGTTGATATATTTAGGAGAAATCATATAATTATTTATTAATAATTTATTTATGCCTATTGTATAAGGAAAAGCAAAATTGTGGCATCCAACATAGGAGGAACAAGTAGATTATTGATAAATATTAAAAGGATGCATATGATGACAGAATGATTGCCAACATTGAATTGAAATCATTAGACTTTGATGATGAAAACTTTTCCCCAGTGTTTAATAGAAGCAAAAAAGAATTCTTCTTATCTGCAAGTGAAAAATATAAGAAGGATTTGTCAAAAGTAATTATGAATATTAAAAATAACATAGTTGGCCAGACCATTTTAATAATATACTTGCGAAGAGTTCGTTAATAAATACATTTTTATCAAACCAAACCATACTTATTGGAGAGAATGGACAATTACTAAATGGTTGTCAGGATTTGGTTTGGGATATTTGGTTTTGAGAGAAGTATAAAAAAATTTGAATTTAGTTACCACTACGTAATTTTTATGCAAGAGTTTTTGTTATGTGGATCTTCTTGGCCAAATTAAGTGATCACTTTACTTCAATTCTTCCATATCATGGAAAAATGGTGATATCTACAGCACGTGATAGATTTTCTAAGTAAATCATAACAAATATCTTATAGCAAAGATATCAATCAATATCACAATGTTTGCAGTGCATTACACTTCTTGGAAATGCCAACCTTTTAGAATAGAATTTCAGAATCTCTTGCATGGAGAGCCAGACAACCAGCTCATTTATTATATAATGATACAAACTGGTGCTTACACATTCTTAAAAGGTGGCATGGTCGTCCCACTCACATTGCTCATTGGGTATTCCTTTTTTTATATTTAACAGGATGGTACCTTCAATCAACCCTTGGAAAGATTAGCAGACCCATACCACAAAGATGCCCACTTTATCCATTGGATTTGAGTATATGCATACATATAAATACAATTATTATTATTGTCATTATTATTATTATAATGAGTGCTAGTGTTGCAGATGATATATCAGACAGAGAAATGATTGAATTTTCAGAGGATGAACATCTAACCTTCTTTTTCAATATTGACCAAGTAACTAATCCAATCAATTCGAAGGTTTATGGAGAGATCCCAGGAGTTATATAAAATTATGGCACTTTTGCATAATCACTTTAAGTTTGTCGCTAGCTTTCCAATCTCATCATTAAAAACTCTATAGCTGAAGCACAAGAGAGAGTAAGACTCTAATATTACTACTAAAGTTCATTGTCAGAAATATTCCAATTAATGCTATAAATGAAATTGAAGCTGAAACCAAGTTGTTGTTGAATGCTAAATTAAATGATGGGGGAATTGAAGTTGAATCCTGTGATTTAATTGAAGATCAAGAACCAGTATTTTATTATTCAATATTAAGGACCCTATCTTCTGTGATAGATGGAGAAGAAACAGAATTTAAATGATGATTGGTATTTTATATCACAATAAATCAAATAGAAGAGGAAACTCATGAAAATGAACAAAACGAAGAAAAGTTAACAACTGATCCCAATAAGAATATTTCTAAATCCAGACTCTATGATACCAAAAAATAAACTGTCCGACTTCCAACAACACCCTAACCACAACATTAGATTGAATCTAAAATAATTTAAATATTTTAAGAGGAATATGAAGATGAATTTGAAGATAAGTTAAGAAATGCTAAACTGTATGAAATGAAAAAGAAAAATGAAATTGAGTAAAAGAAAAAAGAAGATAAATTACAAAGTTAGGTAATTCTAAATACATTATTTGAGATTGAAAAAAAAGATGGAGGAACACAGAAATACACTTATGATTTTGATGGCAAAATTCTATTGGCCAGAGCTGTTAAAATGGATAAACTGTAACCTACTAATCAAAAATTGAAAGTGGAATTTAAAGAACCTTCAAAGCCTGATCAATAATAATAACCAACAAAAAAAGGTGGAAAGAGAGATTCTACCAAAATTAACAAGCCATTATGTCCTGAATAGGAGATACCAAATAGAGTATATTATTAACACATAAGGTTTTATAAGAACGCAAAGATGCTACAAAAGAAGTCATAGGAGATAAAGCATTAAGAATTGACAAAACATCTCTATTTCCTTATGAAGTCTTCACAATGAACAATGGAGTTAAATTGTACTTTGAGCATAAAATGAAGGAAGGAGTAAGGCATTAAATAAGTGATTCCGCAGAACATTTACAATATAAATTATCTGGCTCAAACCTACTCTCTGGAGATGATGCCTCTTAATTTGCCTCCTAAATTAGATTAACCAGAGCTGAATATTAATTGATAACTGATGCCAAGACTCTCCAAGCAACCAAATCCTAGTTTATGCCTAGTGAAACTATCAATGTTCCAGAACATGATCAATAAAATACTCAATAATCCATTCTATTAAAGAAAAAATTAGGTGAAATTGGAAAATCTGAGTTCCCTTAAGATAATAAATAAGTTTAGTTTAACACTGGATCTAACTAATTACAACCTTTAAAAAAAGAAGTGCCTTCCTAACAAACTTCTCAAACAGAACGAATTCAATTAAAGAATGTCAAAATGATAGAAAATTTAATAGTAACTGCACTACCTGATACTCCTAAATCATCCAAATAGGAAGCTCCTTTACCCTTAATTCCAGATGGAGTTTCAAAGTAATACAATTCTAATCATACTAGGAATCCTATTGATGTTTTCAATTAATAGTTATTAACCTAAAAGGAATGGGGTAAACAAATGGGAGGTAAAACTACTTACTTTCCTCCAGTTAGACAATAAAAAAGATCGCTGGAAACCAAAGCTAAGAAAGGAAGTTTGGAATAAATGTAATATCAATCTATTAATATTGTAAAGGTATAAAATGCCAAGAGAAAGATTAGTAGCTTAGACTGGTAGAACAGCTATGAACTTTTATAAATCCAATTAGGACGGTAAATTATTATATGCTATATAAATAGGATAGAAGAATATCACGAAATCTCTTAGTGAGGGATTGATGTAAACATTTTATACCACTCATTCTAAATTTAGTGATAAACTTAGATAATGATTTTATTATATTATTTATCAATATTGATATAAAACATAGGTTTTCTTTTATATCATAAAACATAGGTTTTCTTTTATATTATAAAACAAATCTGCCATCAAAAATGTTAATGATTAGGTTGCAATATGAGGCTTAATATTTTCATAGACAGATTAAAGAAAAAATCTAAATTATTCTAATACTTCTAACATCATTAATATAATTCCTAAATTTGTGGTTAAGAAAATAGATTTGTTTAGATTTTACAGACGTTAAATTATTAATAATATTGTTATTTAGTATAAAATTACAAATTTGATAATATTCAAGTTATTGAAAATTTTAATAGAATTTAATTAAGAAGATATTCTTTCCTAAATTTATTTTAAAATGAATTTGATATTTTAATTTCTTTAAGATTTTTAGGATAATTAAAGAACGAGATAGTCAATCGGGTAAAATGCTTTATTTATTTATAAAAATCATTTAATTCTTCTTTGTTTGCATTGTCAGTTTAAATCAATTACTTTTTTTAATTGAATGAAGAATTATTTCATTGTTGTTCATGCTATTTCTATCTATTTTATATTTGGCTTTTTATAGGTTATATATTTATTATTCTATACTAAGAATAGCAAAAGTTTATTTTATTTTAGATTCCTATTTTCCTAAATTTAACTTTTAACTTAAGAAACCTTTTATTGCTGATATGATGAGAGAATGTTACAATTTTGGAATTAAATTTTTATTAAGCATTTCTAATCAAGCTTTCCTATTTACACTAATGAGAGGATTTGAATTACCCTTTAAAAAGTAATAATACTACAATCTGATTTCTTGAGCATTTTTCAAAGATTTGAGATGTCTAAAATAAATAAGAATTTGAAAAGCAATATAATTTTTATTATTAAAATAAAATGAATTTGTTATAATTAATTGAAATTGAAAGTAAATTTGAGCATCTTTCTATCATTCCAATTTTCGATGAAATTCTAAAGTACACATTAAGTTTAATAAGTGGTGGAATATAAACTGGAATATTGACAGAATTATACGGTGAGGCAGGTTGTGGTAAGACGCATGTTTGCATGACTTTGATGATTAATACAATAATAAATTATAAAACTTCGAGAGTGATTTATATTAGTACGGCTAAACAATTACAACAAGATCGTTTTAATCAGCTATTATGTAAAATTAGTTATGTTATTGGGAATTAGAATATCGCGTGGGTAAGAAATCTAAAGATAAGTTTACTAATTTATTTAACAAATGTATTATACAACACTTAAATAATACTAAATTTATGGATGAATATATTTATGAACAACTACCTACTTTATTGGAACAATACTAATTCAAATTAATTATTATTGACAATATTACAACCTATTTGCAGGAATTGTAATTAACCTTAAATCAGATGCAAAAAACATCAATACTAAAGAAATTCTCAAACCATTTTAGAAAATTAGCGAAAAAACACAATATCGCTGTGGTTTTTGTTAATAATGTAGTTTCATCAACTTAAAATAACAAATTGTATCCAGCCTTGGGGATAAAGTGGTCCGAGATGATTGATGAGAGAATATAGGTAGAAAAAAAAGGAATGATTCGACATTTTAGAATTGATATATCTCATCGTGTTGCATTAGATGATGCCGCATTCACTATACAGGAAAGTGGAATCTACCCTTAAGTTGATTGATTACAGCTTTATAAACTAAACAAAAAATTAATATATTCTCTTATTTTTAAATATAGATATCGATGCAAGAGAGTTTATGAACTCACTTACATTTTGATATTTTAGCCTGGTTAATAGATATAAGCTAGATTTCAAGTTATTAATTGGTTGAAATTTGAAAACTAAAATATCAAGCTTAACTAATTTTTTAGTAAGAAAATAAAACACATAGTTAATATCTTCAGAATGAAAATACTAATTTTAATATAATTATATATTATGATATGGGTAATCATTATAAATTACATTAAATAAAATTATCCTTTTTTTTAGAGAATATATTGAATAATTTTAATATAGTAATTACATGAGGAATAATTTTGAATTTAGAATACTAATTAAAATGATAAAATAATGAATATGAACATTAATGTATTAATTTATGGAATAATATGTAATAGATTTTCTCAGTCTCTATTTGCTATTAAATTCAAATAATGATCAACTTATTCGTTTGTTAATTTATGGAACTTCTTATCTTATTTGGTCACGATTCCTACTTCAATGTCAGTGGGCTTAAAGTCTTATGAAATGACCTAAGTTATAAAATAGAGTCTACATTTTATAATGTTTATATAGCAAGCATAATGGTTTCATCATAATTTAAATCTGCCTTTTTTTTGATTTGTTTTTCCAAGTAGTTGATTGCTTCTTGTTCTTTGACTCCACTAGCAGTTGCCTTGTATCCACTGTAATGTCCTGATGGGTCGAGTTTATATAACAATGGACCCAATTCATCATCATATTGACACAAGATAGTCTCAACACCATATGATCTCATTTAATAATATTGAGTATTGGTTTATGCTAAATCAGCCATTCTCTTTGATAATACATCAACAGGACAGTAGTAACCTAAAAGCATGACCAATGATGATACCATTTTTTAATCTGAATTCTCCTGCTTCATATCTCATTCTTGTAACAAGAGCTCTTGCATCTGATGGTATGCCTGTAGTCAAAGCACCAATCTTCTCTGAAACATTGAATAGATTTGTGACAGACTTCTCGTCAATTAATTTATCTGGCACTCTTTTTTCTGTAATCAAACAAACTGTGTCTGTGCCTTTGACTCCTATTGATGTCAATCCACTAGTTTTCACGGCTTTGAAAGCATATTCCACCTAGTACAATCTACCCTCAGGTGAAAAGAGTGTGATATAGAATTCATGACCTTAGCTTCCTCTACTCATTTTAATTAAATTATCCTAATCTCGAAAATTAAATAATAATCATTTTTTAGTTTAAGCACCTCCCTTTTTTTGAGATGAGTTAAAAGTGTTTGAATTATAAATGATATTTAAATTTTAAATCTTAATTGATTAGGGCTGTTTGGCTATAGCAAACTATTGTTGACTAAATTAAGAACCAGAAATTTTAATTTTATTTGTATCCGAAACAAACCCTACTTTTGTATCTTTGTACTATGGGATCAATTTGTCAATCGACTGCTAACCTTTAGATTAAACGTAATACCGTTTTCTTCATAGTCGATTATTATTGTTAACCCTATTACTACTATCCTTAATCTTATTGCTGTATATTGTAAGCATAAGCTGTACTTTGCATATTTAATTATTATCCCAAATAATTAGGTACCTTAAAAGATGTCTATTTATGAATAAATCCAATAATACTTTAGTTCTGATCACATTCTATTAATTGGTTGGTGATTGTGCTGTTCTATTTACTCCAGCACTCACTTGTCTTTTCTCTTATTCATTTTGCAAATTCAATTCTTTCATAAATTCAACTGCCTCAGGTAAATCTTCAAAATACTAATGTTTCAAAGCTTGTCTGCAGGTCAATCGCTCTTATGGTTCCATCTTTAACAACCCCTTTACAAAATTGATTGCTCTTTTAGGTAGTTTACATAAATATCTATTCAAATTAATGAACATAATAACCTCTATTCCAAGGTTTCAGGTTTTGAGATTTCAGGAAATTTCATACCTAAAAATCGAGGGTTTTTCGAAAATGTTTCTTACTAACTAGGAGTCAAGGGTCCAAGCATTTTTTATATTAAATATAGCTAATCCATTTCATTCTCTCCAGGAAATAATGGATTGCCATCAGTTAACTCGCACAATAAGCATCCAATAGCCCTTTACATTGTTATTGCACAATAATTACCACATGTCAACCCCTTTATCATAATTAGAATAACTTAGTAATAATTCAGGGGCTCTGTACCATCTTGTTGCTACATAGTCAGTAAGATCCTATGTTTAAGCTGTCAATGACTGAATAGTGATATTTATTTTACTCTGGCAAATCCAAAATCGCATAACTTCAACACATTCGCATTACTTATAAGTAAATTCTCAGGTTTTATATCTCTATGGACTATATCATGCAAATGACAACAGTATATAGCCTTCAGAAGTTGAAAGATAGTTTTTTTTATATACAAAGGCTAAAATTTAATCTAATTCTATACTTCTAAACCAGATGGAGAGGCTTCCAACACTTCCAATAGGTTTCTTTCCACATACTCAAATACTAAATATATTCTTCCCTTTCTAATAATAATAGGCCCAACTCTAAACCTTTTAAATGCCTCCTTTAATTCTACTATATTGACATGTCTCAATAGTCTCAACACTTTTACTTCTCTTTAAATGCTCTTCTTAACAATCTCATTATCTTCTGTTTCCTTAAATTTCTTTATCGCCACTATTATTTAATTCGAATATCTACCAATCTCATTTGTTTCCTTGTTTTTGCATTTCAAAACTACACCATAAGCGCCTTCTCCTACTACTCCTAAAACTTCATATTTATTCATTTATATTATTATTAATTTTTTTATTTAAAGGAAATAATAATGTATTGAATTTTATTTGAGAAACAAGCCTATATCCTATACAATCCAAATTTATCTAATCTCTAATTCTAAAGTGAAAAAGTGTTATCTGTAATCAATAAATTCATTAAGTGTTAAACAACAGTTTCAGAAAAACAATTAATTATGAACCCTTCGTATAAAGTTATTAAAAAAACTAAACATATAATCATAGATATTAAATTTTCATATCACACTATATTTATAAATACGATTTTAACCAAAAACCTAAACAGTATGGTTGACCAAAACTTTTGCCATTTAAGAACGCACTGATGTTTTGATTCAATTATATAGAGAGAATTTCCTATTTAAATTGCTAATTTAAAAAGAACTCAGTTGATTGTAATGAGAAATGTGGAAGTGAATTTATGATATAATTTCAAATGATTGTACATCCGCATGTTTATTTTGTTTCTTGATTCGGTGATTCCATATTATAACTTTTCCAACTTTCTACTTCATGCACTTAAACAAGAGAGTGTTTTTAATCAATCTCATCAATAAATGAAATTCGATGTTTCTTGGATCCTTAAATTATATTACTTTTAAATTTATCTTATCTTTGAATAGCCAATTCTTTTTTTGATCCTTTCATTATACCATTTTTTTTTGTATCCATCAAATTATTAATAATAATATAAATGATCTAATTTTTAATATAAAATCATGAAGGAATTTTAGTTTTATAATTTTTTCGCAACTTCCTTCAAAGTGTTTTACTTCTAGTTTTTATATTTGTGAACTCCGAGTCTAATTTTCTCCAATAATACCACATTTTTAACATGAAAAGCTTTGATATTTTATTATTACTTTAATAAAAATTAATATATATATAAGAATATTCTTAAAGGGTTGATTGAGATTCTTCTATTAATTTTGGAGATCATCTCTCGGCAATAAAAGATAGGAGTAAAATTATATAGCTTATCAATAAATTGCTATAGAGTTAGAGCAAAATCAAGTTTGGTAAACTGTTAAATGCCCATAAGGAATTCTAAAGATAGATTATAATTATTTCCATATTTTCTGTGTAAAGCAAATGAATTCACTTTAAAGATATTAATTTTATAAATTAATAATTAAAATTAAAAATTGTTTGAATTAAAACTATCTAAAAATAATCAAAATTCTTCATACTCTTCTACCTCAAGTAATTAACCACTTTCTCTTTGATCATATTCATAAAATGCTTTCGCGTCTATTAGCATACTAATGATGATGTCTCCTTGACCACAATTTTGCAAATCTGTTAAGGTGATAGCAGTTGAAATCGCTGGTTTAGCCATATCAAATATTTCATCTTTAACATCTTCAACATTAAATCCAAATTTATCCTTATATACTATTGCAAATTTCTACTTTATGCTCCAACTTTTAAATAATTGGCCTGAAAAACATGTTGATGACAAAAGAATCAATGGCTGGTTTGTGATACACATTTAAGATTCTCCAGAAATATTATATTGCTTATTGACTTTTCTTATTTTCCATAGCAAGTACGAAGTCTATTGTAAATAAAAATGATTTAAACCTAAAAATGTTTTGTAATCCATTTCTCCCTCAAATGTTTGATACTCCTCAAACACTCTATCAATAAAGATATCTGTCAATCCCCATGAATACTTAGATAGTTCTTATTTTGATAATAGACCATTATGATCATTATCCAATTTCAAATATCTTTCATAGACTTTTAAAGCTGATTATTTTGAGAACCAATTCTGACCTAGTTCTTCTAAGGTTAGTTTCTCCTGTCTCAATTCGTATAACTCTGCTAGGATGGGAGATGTCAACATGTCTTTAATGTATATTCTGCCTGTTCTTTTGGAGTCCAAAAAGAAAAAGAACTTCCTTACAGCTGTGATCACATAAAAGGGGTAGAAGTTTTGCTAAAGTTTAAAATAACACTTGATCTTACATCTAATTTCTCTAATTAAGGAAATGTGGGTATTAATTCAAAGATATAATTCTCAAGATCCTTTTCTCTTAGATATCCATTTCTATATAAATAAGATTCAATAAATACCCAATAGAATCATACAAACTAATTTATATTCTAGTTTAAAATAGATTAACTTTTCTAACTATTGAATGGAAGAATGCAACAATATCAATTCTACCGTATTCATCCCTGTCAAATTTTAAAAATGTAGATGCACTAAAAAAATGTCTACATTTGATAGGTAATTATGAAGCAATAGTTAAAAATGAATTATAATTAATTCTTTCCTTCTTATCATCAGGTGGAGATATATTATTTTTAAGTTCTGTCCATAATTTCTCTAAATCCTCTTTATCTAAAATTTCTCCAGTTTTATGATTCAAAAATCTTGTTCTTGCTTCTTGTCTAACTCTGAAACTCAATTAATTTTCATTTGTAACTGAGGCCTTTTAGAAAAATTTAGGTATCTTCTTATAACTTGGATCTTCTTCTTATTCCTATTAAATTAGACTGTTAATTAAACTTTTTTTCTTGCCTATTCGATGTAATCGAGAAACAGTTGATCAGTTTCATCATCGATTTCTTATGCAGTTCTCTGTTGTTTGGAGTCAACAAACTTTTTCAAAGTATTCACCCAATCAATACCCTTCTTAGACATAATTATTTGAATTTTTAGTTAATATATAATATTTATTATTGAGGTTTTCATTTAAAAATTTAATCAGAAATGTTTCTCCTTCCTCCCTGGAACTCATATTCATTATTGGATTCAACCACTTGGCCTGATTCAGGATAAACATTTCGATATTTTGGTCCAGTTTATGGTTCATTTTGAACTTCTTGATTATTTATGACCTTCTTCATCCCAAATACAAGACCTATTCAATTTTAGGGGATTGATTTACCATACAACAGAGGAGTTTATTTAGAATTATTATCTTCTACGATCTTCAATTTTTTTGTTATGAATCCTCTATCCAGCATTTCTTAAGGCATTCCTGCTTCTGAACTAAATACACTTGTTGTTTAACTATAATGATTGTATTCCATGTATTCTCTGATTAAATCATTGATTATCATATTTTCTAATTCAAATTCCAAATATACCCATGGAGAGTTTAGGTTTGTCTTCTGGGTCTTCATTCAAAGCGTTGAATATCTCTGCTCTTATTCTCGCTCTCAATTGAGACAAGACTCCTCGTGATTCCAGAGTTTCTTTCAGAGCGTCTTTCATTTCATTTATTGTTGTCATAATTTTAATTAATAATATGAGAAAGCAATTCTCATTCAAGCCCCTATCAACTCACAACGATAATCAAAGTTTATAAACTAAATCAGACTCTATTGGTAGATTTCGCTCAATCATCGCTATTCGTAAAATATAGACCACCTGTTAATTTCTAAAAATTAAACAAGAGTTGGCACTTGAATTTCCTGAAATTCCAATACAATCCAAGAATCAAAGTTAAAAAGCCAAAATCTTCTCAACAAAGCCTCAATTCCATACTGATTTCCCTATCAAAGAAGATCTTAGTTAATTTTCAAAAAAGATTCAATAGACAATCAAGACTAGCTTTAAGAAATGTCGATACCAGAACAAGACTAATTAGACAATTCTTACAAATGAGCTCCCCACTGTCTTTTATTTCAACATAACAATCACATATGAAGAATAGGAAACATCTTATTAACTTATTCGCCGTTTGGGAAACATTTAAAAAACCGAATAGAATAATAGCAAATAATTCAAAGCCAAAAATCTCCTCAAAATTGTAGGGGTCTTCGAAAAATATGACACTAGACCCATTTTCACTTTTAAGGTATTTTTACTATGATTTAAGATTAGAAGTTTTTATAAAATGTACTTACAAAACTAAATCGAATGGAACTATCAACACTTTTATGATCACTACCCAAAATCCTTGTTTCTGGATTCCATTGACAAAAAAAAGAATAAATTAATCTCTCGATCAATATATTAATTTAATACAAAAACAGAATTATTTAAATTACAGTAACAGTTTTGTGGAATTTTAAGCATAGAAACAACAAATAATTAACAAACAAACTTCATGATTGAGAATGACCAAGAAGAGGAAGATCAACTTGATACTAGTGTTAAAATAATTTAATGCAGTAGAAGAATCAAACTTTTCAAATCTCCTCTTCAATGCATAGTGAATAGACTTGATATTGAGACACAAAATTAATTACTGACTGAGTGTGAAGAGCACTCTTTTACATTCCCATAATAACATTCTTAACACTTTAATCGGCATTTGCAATTCAAAGTACCAGATTAAAATTGTATTGCCTTTAGGTTTTACAATAATTATTATGAAATATTAAATGGAATATTTGAAGATACTCATGAAATATTAAATTTGCAAGATAACATCACTATGCTTGAATTTGAAGAGCCTTAAGAAAATCAAAAGCCTAAAATGGTCCAATCAACATAACATCAACAAATTTAACCAAAAAAATTGAATTTTGAGTCTATAATGAAAAAATCAAAACATCAACCTTCTATTACTTAGGAAATATCTCCAAGGAGTGATCACTCACAGATAAGTACAATGAGAACTCCTAGAGAAGGTTAATTATTGCCAGTTCTAATAAAACCTTAACTTGAAAACAATAAAATTAAATTAAGAACCAGTCCTCCATCCTATGATGACAATATTAGCAACTCTAACAATAATCAATAGTATTCTACACATCATTCCAAAACCATTTCGTAAACAGATATGGTCTCCTTAAATACTCCAAGGTCATAACGAACTTCTTTAGCCATAAATTTGTCTCTTAGAACATCAATGACCAAAAATTCCCTTAAGACGAGAACTTTAGTGGTGGAACAATTCAAGAAATCATAGCAGAAAGCCAATCAATTAGCTGGACTATTGATTTAAGAGAATAAATACAATGAAGTACAGTTTAAAATAATTAATTAATAGCTTGTTGAACTATTTAATAGCAACCCTAATCTAAGAATTGACGAAAGAATATCTAATGGGAATACCTATTTGATGTTGGCTGCCCAAGGAGGCAATTTAGACATCTGCGAATTAATACTGTCGAAAGGAGCCTCTGTAAATTTATAAAATGTACAATAATCAATTATAGTTATTTTAGTTACAAGGAGACACTGCTCTGCATAAGGCATTCCAATATGGCAATTTCAGCGTTGCTGATCTTTTAGTATCTTATGGAGCCTAGGTAATGGTAAATGACAAAGGGAAGACTCCTTGGTAAATGTGAATAATTTACTTTTATTCATTATAACATACGATTTACACTTATTTTATGATCTAGACCCCAAAAACAACGATCTCCTGTGGAGTAAGTTAAATTTAAATCTTAAAGTTCAAAATATGGTTGTAATTAAGTTTATAATAAAATTAATAAATGAATCAACAATTTAGAGTGGAATACTTGAGAATCAAACCTTATCGGTACCGTAGATTACCCTCACTTAATGCCACAGGCAGTCAAATTTTCAAGTACAGAGAGAGTTATAGGTTAGTCTCTCTTAGGAAATGGGTACATCGAGAACTAAGAAGAATTTAGTAAAACCGATGCTGGTATACATGCTGATTATTCTCTAAGTAATCTCTATCAAACAAAAAAGAGGATGGCAAGAACTTCTATCATCATTCTACTATCTACAATGTAAAAGAGTTTAAGGAATTGAGCAAACTTCAAGAGTAAGTATATATTATGACATTTAGTTATCAAGAGCCTAATCTCGCTAAATACACAGAATTGTAGACTAAAATTATGGTTGCTGATTTCAAAAAGAAAGTTCATGCATTCCTATAAAAAAACAATTATAAGACTAATTTGATTGGTAGTAAAATAACTTCATCATTACATGAATTGGAATCATTTCAATCAACCAATAATGAAGAATAGCTTAATAAATCTCTTTGCTCTAACAAATATACAATTCGAACTGAATGTAAATAATCTTGATTACTTTAGACAAATCTATGAAAGCAACAGAGATACTAGTAATTAGTAATAATAAGGTTGTCTCAAGATAGATTATCTCCAGTGAATTAATTCAACAAAGACTATTAAAATAAATGGAAAATTTTCTTAAAGATGATAGATTTAACTACGATCTAAAGTACTCAATAAATTTCTATTAGGATGCAAACTATGATAGATCAATATGAAGATATTGTCAATAGGATTAGACAATAGGCATACACAATTAAAATTCCATAGAGTTATGAAATTTAAATGAGTGATTACAATGAGTTTTACTATAAAAAAGAAGAACCAAAAATCCCTTCTTTAAATGATAAATTAGAAATCTTGGCTGACTAGATCATATAAGAAATCTAACAATCAAGAGAATCTACACCATAATTGTAAAATCAAATTAATGAAGAGTAACAGGAGGATATTTCACCATATATTGATGAGATAGTTAAAACGGAACCTGTCTATACAAAAGAAGAAGAAGCCGCAAATGCCAACAATGAATAGCTTGGTCAAAGGAAGATAACACAGAGAAAAGGGAAGCCCAGAAAGAAGTAATAACAATAATAATAACAACAATAATAATAGTAAAATGAAACAACATCTGATAATAACAATCAGAAATCTTAATAGTCTAGCTAATCAGAATTACCTGATGTTTCTACCTCTTAGCAATTTCATTATTAAAGAGAAATAAGAGAAAAAAAGAATAGTTAATAAAATACACAACCAATTTAAGCTTAAGAATAAATTATTGAAACTGATCCTCATCAATAAAATTAACTACCACAAAATTAGCCTGCTGACTAAAATAGCAATAAAAAACATTCAACAAATGATAAACCAAAAGGCAAGGTTCACTCAAGGAAAGTAACGGGAGATACTGTTTCTTAAAGATAAGTTCCTCTATATTTAGAGGCTCCAAAAGATTAAATTCTAGAGACCTTAAGCGAAAGGTCATAGGATGAGAACTAATAATTTGAAGATGTTTAATCTAAAAAGCAGTAATCTCCAAAAAAAGAGCATTAAGAAACTAATTAAATAGAAAATCAGGAAATTGATATTGTCTAAAATGATTTCGAAGGAATAAATTAGTAAATAGACCAGTCTGAAATAAAACCATTAATTCATCCGATTTCAAACAGTAAACCGCTACGCAATCCTGAATAAAGAGATGCTGTTGATATTTGGGATAATGGTATACCAACAGTCATTAGGCCAATCCCTAGACCTTAACCAACTGTATAGGAGATCCAAACAATTGAACAACAGTAAAAGCAAAATAGTAATACCAATCTATAATAAGCAGAAGATATAGACTTAAATTAAGGAAAAGCCTCAGAAGGTTCAGAAAAATAATAAATTATTAATGAACAATCTTTGAAATCTGATCCAAGTTTGAATACATCAGAAACTAAATCAATAAAAAAAGAAGATTCTCAAACTAAATCCTTGCAATAATAAAATAAGGGCGTTATTACTAAAAAAGTTTAAGAATAAAAAGAAAAAAACTCTGTTAAAATTTCAAAGTAGACTGTTGAATAAAAAGATTAATAAGTAGAAGATAATAGTAATATTGATTACTAATAGATTATCAATGAAAAAATGAAATAAATTGAACAGCAACTTCAAGAACCTTGTCTTGATATCATTGATATCTTATTGGCTTCAGATTTAGTATATAATGTAAATATAGAAAATTATAAAATCTCAAAATCATATAAAAAGAAAGTCAATCATCCAAAATTTATGTTTGAATAGAAGGATGAAGAGGAAGTGTATACTCATTAGTAAATTCTTTATTTAATTTAGGGTAATTTGGAGACACGAATTATAGGAAGTAATACCGAAATTGTAAAATTTAAATAAACAAATTGAGGTTTAAATTGATGATAATGATGACTATATAAGAAGTAATGTTTACACAATAGAAGAAGTAAATGATGAATCTGATAATTGATTATTATGACTAAATATCTAATATATTAATTCGATATCATTTTTAAATATGCTCGTACATATTCCAGATGAATTTATACTTTGGTTTAAACAAGTTTAATATTTTAATGCTTATGCTGAAGTATGCATAAATATACAAAGAATTTTTGATCATCTTTATTAATAATTCCGATTAATTATTACTTTCAGTCTCTTTTGATTGGGAGTTATTGATATCTACTTTAGATTAATCAGAATCTTAATCATCCTCTTCCCTTTGAATTTAATTGTTTGTATTAATTTTTATGGTGTTGTTCCCATCCTTTAATAAAAGGTCCTGCATAATTATTTAATAAATATAATATCATAACAATAATTTAAACAACTTATAAGATAACAAATTTCTTAAGCGATATATATTAGCACTAAATATTCAAATTAATTATATAATCAAGGTAAATATCATGAAAGACTAATAAGTTTCTGAATTTCAGTTATTTTAATTCTATGTTTGGGTAATTAATAAAAAGCATAAACAAATATTATTTGATTAATTTAGATTTATTTCTCAAAATTATATTAAAGTAATAATCTCACAAAAAATATCATTTATATTTTATCCTAATATTGATTCAATCATAGTTTAGGAGAAATAAATTGATATCAATAATAAAATGAAATTGATCAATTATAGTTATTCGATACCTATGATATAATATTATAAATATGCTTATTTCATAATTGATATTCTTTTTTTATAAATATAATCAAAATTAAAATCATATTTTCTTGTAATTTTAATAAATGTAACAACTGGAAACATGAAAAATCAGAAGAATGAATAAAAATAAAAATCCATATTATTTAAAGTTTTATATTTTTTTTAGATTATGTAAAACACATTTAATTTAATATAAAATTTAAGAATTTTTCAAAAAATTTATTTGCTTAAGTGGAGCACATTATATAGCATACCTTAAGAAATTAAGTAAAATATGAGAACCTTAGATTATCTTTAAATTTTATATAGATAAATAATAGTATAAAAAGTTTTACAAAATATATTCAAATAGCATGTTAATATTTGAGAGATCGTACAAAATATAATAAAAAATATAGATATGAATTTACAGCAAGAATAAGAAGATGAAAAGAAAAGATAAGCATTTGAACAGTTAGGAGATAATCCTACTGAAGTTGATATTAAATATGTTAGCTATTTATTGAAAATTCCATTGCTTACAATAAGATAGTGGCTAGATGAAAAAACAGGAGTTGATGTTCAAATTGAAATCCAACCTGAAGAAGAAAAGGATGTGTAGATAATTGGGATAGCATAAAAAAAAAAAATACAATTACAAAGTTTAAAAAATCTCTAAATAAAAGAAGAGGAGCCTTCAGTATAATAGATAACTGAATTTCAGAAAAAAAAAACTAAAATTCCAGAACCAAAAGAAAAGTAAAGATAACGTCGAAGAAAAGTGGCAAATAAGTCATCCACAGCAAGCAAAAAGCTCCAAAAATTTAATTCCAAAAATTAAAATATATTAAATAATCAAACATCACTATAAGATAGTAATAGTAAGAGTTAAAATCAGAAATAATAATCCAATAATAACTAATTAAAATAATTAGATTAGATTTAATAAAATTTGGCTGAAATTGTATAGAATGACATTTAGTAAAATTAATCTTAAAATGATAAACAATAAAATCAAAATATTGCGAAAGATTAATAATAAATTATAAATCAAAATGCTGAAAAGCTACAGTAAAATAAATAACCAGAGTAAGTATCAAAGCCACTCAGAATTTGCATTTAGAATTAGGATCAACTATAAAAATAATCTTAATAAAATAATAATTAAAATCTATAAGCATAATAATTATAAAATTAATTGAATACATCTACTTAAATTGATGTGAATTCAAATGCACAACCTATAAATATGTAGTAATAATAATAATAATAATAAATTAAAAAATAATTTATATCATAGAATAATTAAAAAACTAATACAATATAATAAGCAAATAACTAATCGAAATAACCTCAGAATCAGCTTCAAAATAGCGAAAAATTAAAGCAAATTATTATATTAGATGATGATAATAATATAAGCTAAATCATTAAAAATAAAATTAAACAGGTACAATAACCAAAGTAACAATAACCAAAAGATTAAAATCAGTAAAAGTTGCCTTAAAATGGTAATCCCAATTAAAAATTAAATAATACTGATTCTAATAATTTAAATAAAAAAAATCAGATTTCACAACCAAATTAATAAAATGTTGCATAAACATCAAATGAATAACGCATTATCAATAGTTCTTCTGAAAATTTCATTTAATAATAAAACAAATCACTTGATGTTTAAATGGCAATTCCTTAAAAAGAGTAAAATGTTTAAAATAAACAAAATTTGATTTAAAAAGACGTAGGCAGTAATTCTAATTATTCTTAATAATAATAAGAATTATTAAAATAACATACAGTTTTTGAATCTAATAGTTTTACTAATTAATAATAAGTATAACATTATTTATAATAAATTCCTCATTAATAGGGTGTATAATAACATCTTAGTGATTTTTAGCATAGTTAAAATAGTTAATAAATTTTTGAGTAAAAATAATCAAACTTTAGGTAATAACAAAGCCTAAATTATAATTAAAATGATAATTCTGAAGCACAACGATTTGCAGGTATACCACCATAAGTTCAACCGAATTAATAAACCTCAAACAATCAAAACCTACTCATACAATAAAATAATTAAAATATTGATTATTTGATGACGAAGCAAGCCTCAGCTACTTCTGAATTAAACTTAATTCAATAGCAACTAAATTAGGCCTTGAATCAGCCAAATTAATAAAATTATGATGTTAAGTAATAATTTGGATCTTATGAGATAATATCAATATTGAATTAGCATTCATAAACCTTAACATAAGTAGTTTCAATGTTATCAACAATAGGAAGTTTTTAGTTTTCTTTGATGGAAAGATTAAATCTGGTTTATAATTAAGTCAGCAATAGTTGAGCAATAATATACATATACATATATTTAATTATTAATTATAATAACAACATAATGGTGTATTGTGAGGAGGTGAAGACTGATTTGATTTGAATATGAAAGCTGGCTTATTAAAAAAACATTAATATATTTATTTAGCGAAGATTAAATCATATAAGGAGCATTAAGCAATAGCACTAAAGGTATTTGCTTAATTATAATTTACACTTATTCTTTAAAGTGTATATACAGAAACTGGAAGTAATATCCAGGAATAAGGTCAACTTTGAGATAATATAAATGTTAAGCAATTTAATGTATGATATTTATATGTGTACGTCATGATCAATGTATATTTTTATTTGCTTTTCTTTTGGCTAATCTTGTTTCAACACTCTTATTCTTTTTGATGGAAGGATCGTTCTTGATAGCAAATCTTCTATTTTTTGCGAATCTTTAGTTGCACTTTGATTAGAATTAAATATTACTCCTTTCAATGTTCTATATCTTTGATTGGGGAGCTTTTTAATACCATTTCTGTGATGTTTACGGGCATTATGATGAGAGGTAGCATTCTTTGACTTAGCCATTGATAATTTATTATTTAAAATATTTGTTTAGATATTTCAATATTTTTAAATTCCTAAATTTTTAGTATACACCTATTACTCTATCCATTACGCATCTTTGTAGGCTTGATTCTTTTGTTCTATTGTTCTTTCTAATTCTTTGTAAAGACTTTATATTCTCTTCGTCTTGAAATCATTAGGTTCTGTTTTCAAGGTGCTTATTTTTTCTGATTTCTTTTTGTTTTGCACTTGTTTCTAGTTTGGAATTTATTAAGAATTATCAATATTTAATTTAACTTATTATGCTTATTGTTATGAGACACTTGAATCTGCTTTCAATAAGTGTTATTTGCTCTAAGAAACCAATAAAATAATAAAATACTTGTCGATCATCTTCCCATAGCAGATGCTTCTTCACTCCTTCGATTTTCTTAAGTTATTTGAGAACATTCTGTATTTCATTTTTGAGTTATTGTTCTATATCAGGATCATCGTTATTAATTTTTTCAGCAATTTAGTCCAAATTAGGAGCCTCATAAGAAGTAACATGAACTTCTTTTTTAGTTAATTGTCTTGGAGATATAACTGGAGGAGGAGAGCTAACTTACTTGGTTATGCTCTGTGAATTGGTTAATTCTTTTTCTTGTTAAAAACTTTTGGAATTATTTGATTGATTCATAGGTTGAAGACTCTTTGCGCTTCCATTTTCTTAGAAATTCTGGCCTTCATTAGTTAAGTTAAATGATTATTAATTTGATTAGACTGGGGATTTGCATAAAGAAGAGTATTTTTTTAAAGTATGATATCTGGGTGAGGAGGGACTGATTGATATTTTAGGATTACACGATATGTTTTTAGAATAAGAATTAAAATCTTTGAATCTATTCAACATTTTTAATGGAGTTTGATTGGTAGTTGATTAAATTTGTTATTTATCTTCTAATTGAATTTAAGTATGTTCATCCAATATTTCTTCTGATTCATCTTAATTAAAATTACTGCTTAATTTTGCTAACATATAAGTTTTTAATTAATCTTGGCTATTCTTCTGTGGAGTTCTTTTTTGCAGTTCATGGTTTTTATTGAATTTCAGGATCTTATGGAAGGAATCATAATAATCAATAACACATTTTAGAATATATTCTAGTTTTTCTGTTACTGTTAATGGATCATCAGTTTTAACATTTTGAGTGTAGTATTTCATTGCTTCTTTGATATTGGTCACATTGATTTTCTTCTTCAGGGTGTACTATTGAATATTAGTAAGTATTTAGCAAATTGGTTCATAATTCTTACAAAATTGACTTTGACTTGGCACCCATTCCCTTGTTTACAAGAACAAATAGTCGGTTGATATGGCCTTATCTAGACCTGCAACAGTGCAAAGCAAACCGCATATGCAATTATAGAGTTATTAAGTTGGTTTAAGTATAAAGAAGAAATCCTAATTGAATGATAGAGTTTATTACTTATATTTCTTTGTTTTGGATTGAGTTTAAAGTAACGATGATGTTTTAATGTAGTAATTCTGTGTCTTAAACAAGCTTTTAGTAATCAGTAGTTTAGATTTGATTCAAGGCAATCTAAAGTTTTGTTCTTTCAATGAGTTCTTACATATATAAAATATATTATCATATTAATAATAAAATCAACTAACTTGTATTCCAACTTTACACTCTTTTATTCCTTAATTAATTAATTCAAATGGTTTAATGATATTGCAAGGTTATTTTAAAGGTATTTCGTTAATGCTGTGTTCAGTTTTACAAATTACTTTTCCCTCCCCCAATCCTATGATCTCGTAATTAGTAACTCTCATACCACTTGGAAATTGTGTTTGAGTTCGAAAAATAAGGATGTATTTGCAGGTAATGTAATCTTGAAACTTACACGACCATTTTATTTCTTCACGAATTCAAAATTTGAACTCTAAATTTCTAATGCATTTTCGAAATAAGGAGATAATATAGGCTATTTTATACTAGACAATGGCCATTATGGCAAAGTAGGTTCATCAAATCGATATAACTCTAATTGTTTCATGAGAGAGTTGAATGTGTCATGATTAGGACTATACATTTTAATTGTAAATATAATTGATAATCAAATTATTAGATCGATTATAAATAAGTAAGAGAAAATTCAATAATTCTGATTCCTTGGATATCGCTTCTTTAGCTCCTCGTAATCTATTTAGTAATTGTTTTCAACATGATATTTGTTGTACACCGAATCTATGAATGACTTTTGTTTCTGCTCTCTCTCTCTGATCTTCTCTAATCTACTTAGTTCCTTTATCTCCACATTTCTCAAATGTTTCCCTTCCTTTGGAGGCTAACCAAGGTAAGTGTCTAAATTGAGGGATTATTCATAAATCAATAGTTATTGAAAGAACTCTACTTAAATTCAAATATTACGATGTCTAACTTATGCAAAGGGATTCTGAATTTTCACAATTTCCCAGGCTCTCTCCACTGTAAACCCGTTTTTTTATAACATGTAAGCTATAACGAACACAGGACTGATAGTAACACAATCTTGACAGTGGATCAACACATTCCCATAGGTGATTCCATTTTCAATGAACATGTAGGAATCATAAAAAGCTTTGAATAAATCACCGCAATTTTCTATGTCAATGGGAATCACCTTATGAAATAAAATTTATTCGCTTCCTTAGAATTTGACAGAGCATTTCATTTAAACAGTCAATATGCATTTAATATTGTAGCGAAGATGCAATTTAGTATCTGTTGCAGCATAGATATTGCCAATGTATATTCCGCTTTTTCCTTCTTTGGGTAGTATGATTGCATGTATGTTGTCATCAGGATATGTATCCCAATAGGTTGAACCATAAAATTTCTGTTAATCAAGTAAGGATAACATTATTATATAAAATTTATGAATAATAATCATTATTATCGTCCAACATTAACTGGTAATAAGAATCGACGACGAGTCCAAGAAACCAATTTCGCAGCCATACTAAAAATTCACTCAAACAAAAATGCTAATTTAAAAAGTTCTTTGCTCTTTCATAGTAATTATAACTAAATAACTAATATATTAGATCCTAAGGATAATGATAGTTAGTTTAATTTAATTAATAGATCGATTGATGTACCTCGCTTTAATGACAGATCAGCTTCAAAATAAAGAGTTAAGACTGAAATAGTTAAACCTAATATTGATGTTCAATTTTAAAATCAAAAAATTGATTAGACTACAGCATACTTTCCAAAATTGAAAGAGCGAATAGCGTTGTCATAAAACAAAATGTTTTATCAAGTAATTAGAAATAAGAATAGAAAGCCAAAAATGATGAAATTGAAGATTCTCCAATTCGAGACTTGCAGAAGTCCCTTGATTACTCGAGTCAAGCGTAGAGGACAAGAAATCTTACTCCAATATAATAAAGAACGTTAGATGTACCTAAATATCAGAGCAGATCGGATCACTTGAATTAAGAAGAAATCATGCAGTTCTCCTTTGGACTTCAATATAATAGATAGAGCATTGAGAAACAGAAGCAAAGATTCCCAAAAGATATTTTTCTTGGGGATGTTAGAAAAGTAAAAAGAATTTTTTAATAATAATGAATTATGTAAATCTTTAAAAATCATTCATTATATCTAAATAATACTCTTTACTTGTAAGGTATCAGCATTAATTTGGATGAACTCAACCTTCTTCTCCTCTGAATTAAATAGATATATTTATTGCTTAAAGATCTAAATTTGATATAAAAAACATTTACTATTGGCTGGGTGCAGTTTACATTTAATATTTTTTAAATATTATTATAACTATTTTTTTGCACAGTTTTTAAGAAGATATTGATCAACTGAGAACCACATTCATTTCCAAACTGATTCTGTCCTCCAATTACTAAGATTTCCTAATTAGAAATTGGTAAAGCATATCCAAGCAATTGAGGAACATAGGACTAATAATATGATTGATAAATACTAATTAATTAATCAATTCGATAGTTTCTACGAATTTCATAAGTATGGAATCATAGATCTCAATTAATCCATTGGCCACATATTGATTCATCATTCCCCCAATTAAATAGATTTTATGGTCTAAAAGACAACACTATCCCTAGATTCTTGGATATTTCATGGATTCTATCTATTCCCATTTATCATTCTCAATCGAATATCTACATAACATCAATGTGTACATGAATCCTTTTTTGCTGCCCAATTACTGATTCTCTAATTATACATATCCTCCCCAGTAGTATATTGTTTTCTAGTATTTGATTGCTTATCCCCCATAGGATTTACAGGGCAAATCTTATAATTTCAATAGTTTATTCTTCATTTTGTCATACTTGTTAAACTAATCACTTATTATTTTCTATGAGTTCTCAGGATTTTGGAACACCTAACCAATAAAATATAAATATTGATTTGCATTTATGATAGTGACATAATCCAATTTACATTAGTTTTAAGAGAGGATCAATTTTTGTTCTTTAACTTTGTCTATTTCATCGATATTTGAGGAATATAGTATATTATTTCTAAATGAATGGATGGAGTTTTGCATTTCCTACAACTTGAATTTGTTAGCTTTACTTTTCAAAGTTACCAAATTCTTCTTCTGTTGTTTGAACCCACTAAAGTAATTGGGGATTATCTTAAACTCATCTTTGATAGCAAATAGATACAATACCTTTAAATTTCAAGGATACCATTTTTTATAATGAGTCTTTAATGTCATACAAAGATTTATTATTGATTTAGAGAGTGATGTCTTTAGGTAAGTAATTTTTTAATAAATTAAATTCCTCATTTATGATATTCTATCTATCCAATACCTCCTGAACTTAATTTTCATCGTAGTTATGTAATTCATTCCTTAGACTATATATTAATTATTTAAGTGGCTACAACGATGTCTACAACAAATCGGTTGTAATAACCTAGTATTGTGAGATCAGATTAATGAAATATTTATCAATCACCTATGAAATGACTTTCTTGATTGATTTGATCTTTTAGATTGATTTTTAGTATGTAGCTGAATCATAGATCTTCAAATTGTTAATTTGAGCATTTAATTATTCTAAATCTTTGTCAACTTGCGCTATCTTTGGACATTTGTGTGGAGTTAGAATAAGATTGAGTTGTTCTATTAGTAATTGCTTTTGGTCATCCTCTAATTAGCTCTCTAGATTTTACTCTATTCTTTGCTTCTTCTATGAAAAAGTGAGATCTGAATCAAAATTAGAGTGAAATGATAATTGCTTTTCATCAAAACTCAAATCTTCTGATAGGAAACTGGCATCATTGAAACTCGAATTATTTTAATTATTCATTTTAATTAATGTATCAATGAATAGTAACCACACTACCAGACTCCATTGGATTATTAACTTGAGACAAATTCTCTGGAATTTGAGACTCCTCTTATCGAATTAAACTTTCATCCACAGATTTGCTTCCTCTTTTTTGATGTTCAATGCTCTCTTATTGTTCTTTCACAGTAGCTCCAAAAGGATTAGGATTTTACACATTGGCCCAAGAGTGTAACATACCCTAATTATGTTATGATGCTCCAAATTGACTAGTTCCCAACTTCTCTAATTGTTATCCTTGCTTCTCACTCTAATTAACTTAAACAAACATACATTCCAAAGTTGGGAGCCTGAGAATTACTTTGACTAGCCTCCATTGGATTTACTACTGAACTTAGACTTTTAATGGAATGTCGGACTCCCTATTTCAATGCTTATTAATTTTGTATGCCTGCACTATCTAATTCAATTAATTCATTAGTATTACACAAATTGTTTTGATGACTATTCTTCTCAATTAGTTCCTAGTATTTAATTGCTTCCTTGAAGTAACGCACCTCCTAATAAATCACAAATAAGAATGATATGAAGTTAATTGGTGCTACATATTTCTGGAATTGGAATATGAAACTCAAACACGAGCATTCTTCTTCAACTATGTCATTTGTCTTAATGAAAACCAACACATATTACACAATATGAACCAAAAAGAGCACTGTCAACAACAAGCTATTTATTATTTAAGTACGATTACTCAGCAAAGTTCCTTAGTTCTTTCTAAGATCTATTTTGATTAAACAGAATCAAAGTGAAAATTAGATTAAATATAGAAGTCAAAACATTTGTGAGCAGGAGAGATAACAGAACCATTGAGTATTTGTTTTAGCATTCGTAATTGTCTCCATGAGATAAAATCATCATACCAATTATGCATGATGTAAAACAGTTAACTGATCTATTCGTTAATTCAAGAGGAAATATTTTGATTATGAGTATTTCGATTTCCTTTGATTTATATAAATTAACATACTTTCCCCAACAATATCATGATGTACGTTTTTATATATAATTAAAGCAAATGGTCTTACTCTTTTTTTTAAATAAAGTAATTGAGTGAATACACCAGAAGAGTTATAAACATAAACACATTCATTGTGTATATCAAGAAGTACTCAACCTTAGGAAATTCTCTCTTGAAACAAAGCAAAAATACTGCTGCCACACAATTAAATAAGAACATTATGATTGTTAAATACAGGGTAATTGACATAAAAAATGTATCGTTTTCTTGAACTCTTAAAAGTGCATTCATTATAAAGATGATAAATGCTTATTTGGTATGTTACCCAAAAATGTTAACTAGTTTGTTCTGCTGTATTTTTTGTTCCTCATTCAGATTTATCATCTCTCTTTAACTTAAATTAAAATATCTATAATTCTTATAACTATGAATCATTTAAATTCATATAATATTGTCCAGAGTAAATTCCCATTTATTATTATCTGGATAGAGATGAATCATCATAAGATAGTTATTATATTATTATATGATATCAAACAATGCTTACATTTGACAGCGTCATTATAACTGAAATAATAAACTTGGTTGTGTCTGCATAAAGTACATTTTCTATATAAATTTAACATACTAGCACAAGTTGAATGAGGTCGATGCTTATTTAACAAGTAGCGATTGCAACTTTATTTTCGAATTAATTTATAACAATTACTCATCCATTATTATCTTTAATATAGAATAAAACGATAAGATTACATTTTTTTAGTTGTTTTCTGTGTGATTTCTATATAAAAATCAGTGAATTTATCATCAATTCCCTTACTCCTCTTAATCTTACAATAACTATATGAAATCCCCTACAATACTAATAGGGAATAATAGTAAGATAGAAGTATTTAATATTAATAGAAAATATTAAATTTTTCCCAAAATTGCAACCTTTCTTTTCCAATAATATTCTCTATAAATACAGAATTCTGTTAATGGTATATAATTCTATATCAGAATCGGAACTATTTTATTGAGAATAAAATATAAACAAATAAATAAATTAATAAACTGAGTGGTTTTTCTTAAGAAATTAGAGAGTTTTCATCAGCATAGATAATTATATTATATCTATTGTATAATAACTTTAATTTCTTTACTCTCAATTAACCCTTCTATATGAACGGTTATATCATTTGATTTCAAAATTAATCTCTTTTATCAATTATTTTTTTCAATTAATCTTAGGTTTATGAATTTATTAAAATTGATTTTATTATAATATAATCTTCTTTTTTTTAAAAGTAAATTGAAAATTTTTGAAGTATCTAAAATATGTACAATTTTTTATCAAATAGTATGATAATAGATTTTACTTTATTAGTATTTAAACTTTATTTTGAGTTTCTTTAAAAATCGCTTGATTCCTTCTCTTTATAATATATAACTATAATTTTAGAATAGCCAATACTAAGGAAGTTATTATAGAAAATGTCGTTTTAATAAATTTAGTGATTTATGACCATAAATGTTCTCTTTTTCATAAATATATCTTTTTATTTAAACCCAATCATCGTTAGTTTATTTATGTTGTTGCAGTTGACTTTGATCAAACGAAATGTTTCATTTCGAATTAATAATTAATTATATGACATTATAGTTTTAAAATAATTAGTAAACTTTATCGAAACTGATATTCAGTATTTAAAGATCTCAATATTACAAAGCAGTTTTTGCTATTGAATAATTTGATGAATAAATTATATATATAAATATTTATTTGTTAAACAAACTTATGGATCAAAACTAACAATACTTAATTGAAGTTCTTGCCAGGAAAGTAACACTAGAATTATTGAATCCTCTTTAGAATAGGTAAAGATGTGGTTTATGTAGAATCTTAAATTTGTAACAAGATTATACCAATATTGACTCAGCCATTAGCAAGCACACTTAGGCTATTTCAATTATTAATTAACAATAATAGCAAAGACAGCTCTAAGATTCAATGTACTTAAAGAATATCAACGAACTACACGGCACCATAAATTCTTTGGTATCACTTTAAATTAATTAAGGAAGAAAAACAAACCTTAGCAATTTAAACTTAAAATTAAACATTCACTAATCTAATGGACAGGATTGAACATTATAGTCAACAGTTGAATGAGAGATCAGAAAAGCTAAAAGAGTTACAATAATAATATCAATAATTGAAGGGAGATCAAGGCTTTGTTCATCAGACTTATATCACAAATATTGATAATATCCAGAAGAGAGTCAATCAATTGATTGTTTCTTCGAGAGAGGAGACTGATGGAAATAGATTCTCAGTAGAAAAAATGGATTCTAGAATCTAAGATATGACAGAAAAATTGAATAAAATGATAGAAAAGGCTGAATAATACCAATCAACCTTACAGCAATAAAAGGAGTTGAACCAATAAGTTCAAGAGATGGATGAATAATTTGAATTGTTTAAACAGTAAGCAATGCTTAAGGAGGACCACGAAAAGTCTGTTAAATAGTAGAATGATCAATTAAAAAGCGAACTTAACACTATTCAATTTAAATACCAACAAATTTTGAGTTAAAATAATAGAAATATCACACAAATGTAGTAATAAATTGACAGCTTTTAATATTAAAGGGAGGATATTTAGAGATAATTTTAAACTTGTTAAGGATTGATCAGAGATGTGAGAGTAGAAGTTGAAGCAAAAAATGGAGAGGTAATAAAATCTATAAACAATCTGAAATCATAATTTGAATAGAGATATGAAGATTGGAGTGAAACCTTTCACATTGTTTAAAAGGCTGTGGAACAATTTAAGTTTGATTTTGCTAGTATGAAGTAGAATTACAAGAAGAATCTTATGAAATATGATGAAATATTCGAATAATACAAAGAAAAGTGTGACAATGATATCATGTCGATGTTGAATAGAAACACAAATATATAGAAATAATATTTAGATGAATAAATATAAGTAATGGACACTCATTTTATGGAGGAATTACAATCTTTATAAAATTAGTTGGTTCCTAATATTATTCAAAACATTACTTCACTTGATAATGAGGGAAAATAAAGTCAACAAAATTAAAAGCATAGCAAGTAAGATGTTGATGATGCTTAAATGAAACAACATAAACTTTAAGTTCCTTAAAACCTACCCCATAACAATCCACAGAGAAAGAGCAAAGTATTAAAAGATACAACAGAAACAGAATCACCCTTAGGGATTAATATCACCAGCGTTTATGTTTCGGCTAATAAATCAATTAGATCAAATAGTAGAGTTGATGGTCAAATTGAGTATTAATCATATCAAAAGAAATAATCAGTATCAAAGGTTACTGATAACTTAGAATTGATAGAGGTAAAACAATAGATAGAGAAGGTGCTTGAGTCTCAAAAAACCTGTTAAATTTAATATTAACAATTGGATAAAGATTTCAAGCAATTGAATGATAAAGTCAAGAAACAACATGAAAGATTAGAATTCTTCTTTTTGTAAACTAAAACGCAATTAAACAAATACAATTCTAAAATTGATACCATTTAAAATGATACTAAATAGGTATAACCAGATAAGGAATTTGTTGATTTGAATTACATTAAAAGAGAAATTGAATTATTGCAAGGCCAAATTACTAAAATGAAATCTGATATTTAAAATGATGCTACGTTTGCACAATAACAAATTAAGAATCTTCAGAAAATTAGAGATTAAATTCTACCCAAATAATTAGAGTAATAAACTAAAATGGATTAATTAGAGGAATGTTAGAAGTTGATGATTATTTTATTACTATAAAATGAATTGGTTTAAATTAGTCATGAAGATGGATTATATAGAGTAGATTAGAATCTTAATAATTTGCATTTCGAATTTCAACCAGGATTGAGGGATGAAAATACTCATATCACATTTAGACAATAGAGAATCTCTAAAGTAGATTTCATTTTGAATCAAATATTGCCAATCAAAAAAATTAGTTTATCTACCAGCAGAATAGATCACTCTTTAAATTTATCATAATCATAGACCCTAAGGAAGTAATAAACAAATAGAAACCTAAATAAAAATAGCAAAACAAACAACTCTGTAATTGTTGGAAAAAACTCAAAAATAAATGAATCAACTAGATTAACCATGAGGAACACAATGACTGTTGAAATGAGTCAAAAATATATGAATAGAAGCTAAAGGCAGAAAGATACTTTTAACTAAGCAAGAATATCATTATCAAATTAGCGATTAAACTATACTCTGAATGATGAAACAATTTGATCTATTATTATTTAAAGAGAAATGCTTCTAATTATATATAAGAATTTAAATACTCAATATAATTAATGATAATTTTCATTTTATTCACAACTATACTTTGTTATAGACCAATCCCTCAGAATTAGTACATCATTCTATCAACTTCCAAATTTTGGTTCAATTATAGACAAGCTATAAACTCTCTATTAATCTATCAGCAATTAAAAGATTGGAGAATAAGTGATGATCAAATTTCATTGATGATCCCAGAAGATACAGCCTGCAACAGAAAGAATAATGTGCCTGGAGTGGCTTGTGCATATGATGGATAGAGAGAGCCGAATATACATAAAAATGTAAATTGGGACTTCAAGAGAAATGATGTCAATATTAAATATTGGATAGATGTTATGCGTAATAAATACAATAAATATGTAAGTGATATCATTTAATTAAGACTCCATAATCAAGAAGATTAACCCTATCTAAGCAACAGAAATTATTAATGTTTATGAATGGACATGGTGGAGATGGGTACACCAAAATGCAGGATACAACTTATTTACTGGATTTTGAGATGGAAAAAATCACAAAGGAAATGGAATTTTTAGAGCTTTATCAAGAAGCCTTTTTGATATCTGATTCATGCGGGGCCATCACTTTATTTGAGACAGTCAAAGCCAAGAATATGATATTATTGGGATCAAGTTCCTTGGGAGAAAAGGCTTATTCTCATGGTCGTTGTCCAATCTTATCTATTCCCAAAACAGATAAATTTACTTTAACTACACATTATTGGTTGAAAAATGAATTAGACAAGAAACCAACTTTAACATTGTTAGATTAGATGAAAAAATATGATTATGATTATCATAAGGCCAATTCAAAATTGATTATTAATATTGAAAATAAAGAGTCTAAGGATGTAAATAAAATAATGCTATTATTTAGATCAAAGCAGCTGATTTTTGGAAACCTAAGCAACCAATATTGAATTAGGTTATTTTAAGAAATGATTAAGATATTTTGGCTTAAAAAGAGTTTTTGGAATTGATGAACGCATGATTTTGGATAATCATTATTTATTATTTTATGTGCAATGATATTTTCATTCACCTTTTTCTATTTTCTTAAGTTCTTCTGGAGTTAATTCTCTTTTTAGACCAAACAATTTGTGTCCTTCCTTTATACCTCTCTTAAACCAAGTCTGAGTCACATTGTTGGCGATTAAACCTTTTTCATATGCTTAATCAAGAGACACATCATCGTATGGTTTTTCCTTGTTATTCACAAATAATGAATACTTTCATGCTATTTTGTATTTTGACTTCATCTACGACTGTTTTGAAAGAAAAAGGTTCGTTGATTGCAAGATTAGCTAGAATTTTTCTATCTAATTATATGTTAGAATGGTTTAATCCGAAAATAAATTGACTGTAACTTATTCTGTGTTCCCTCACTCCAGCATTGATAGCCTAAATCCACTCACGTCCTATTCATGATAATAGACTTACTTAGAATTCTGGGTCTAAGTCTTCTACTCACATATGCATATTGCAATGATTTTTATACTCTGTTCATCATTATTTTGGAAGTATTTCTGGCACGTCCTTAGAAGCCCTTGGCCAATTCTAAATACTTTTTTAAACTCCAATTAGCCATAATTAATTAAAAATATTATCTCTAAATTTATATAATAGTATTTGAAGATATCGAATTTCTTCCTGTTTGTATTTTTCATTCCCATTATTTGTGCATCATTATTGAATTCTAAGAGGAATAATAGAATATAGCCAAAAATAAGGTTTTAGAATGCTGAAAAATTGGCAATATTAATTTAGATTATTATTTTATAAATGGATTAGAGATAAGAAAATTATAAAGAAGTTTTAATAGATTGGATGTAAGAGATACATTAATTATATGTAGTTATAACTTGAAATACATTTTAAATGCGTATTTAAATAACAAGAACGTTCCTCCAGGTCACCCAATCTACATTTTGGGCAATCGCATCGATATTGAAAATAATGATATTGAAGTAAAGTTTATAATAACATTAGGATCGTATCAATAAAATTAAGTAGTTAGTTTAAGATACCATTTGGATTACATACAGAAGGAATTTCCCACCTTTATATTGTAATTTAAGTGATTATTTTTTAAGAATCAAATTACATCTCAGATACCGGTTGGGGATGTATGCTTAGAGTAGGGTAGATGGCCATGGCTTAAATGCTTAAGAAACACCTAAAAAATCATGGAGATAAGAGAGATGAAGATTATGATAACATTTTATTAGCCTTTGCTGATAATGATTCATAAGAGTGTAAGGAGTTTATAGAATTTTAAAATAAAAAGGAGAAACAAAAAGTCCACAATTTTATTTGTCCATTCAGCATTTAAAAAATAGCTTATTTAGCTAAAAAAGAATTCAATTTAGATCCAGGGGAATGGTATAAACCCAATTATATACTATTTCTCCTTGAAGAATTGCACAATACTATACCCATTAGAGGTTAATATTTTAATTATCCAAATTTAGCATCTGAAAATCTCAAATTGTCGGTGTTTAATGACTCCTGCCTTTTTCTTGATCAATTGATGAACAGAATGTTCGATATCAAATTTGAAACTGATAAAGATCTAGAAGAACAATTGGAAAAGACTTAACTAAAAAGCAAAAACAGTTTAGCAATATTTGTCTTAACAAGAATTGGTTTAGATGAACCCAATCAAAAATACTTGAAAGTGCTTGATGAACTAATGGAACTACCATATTTCTAAGGTATTGTTGGAGGCACACCAAAAAGAGCATTTTATATACTTGGTAGAATTAATGATCATTACATTTACTTGGATCCACATTATGTTTAGGAAGCTGAGAATAAAGGTCAGATTATTGAAAATAAAATGTTCAATCGAACATCTTACAGTTGCAAATATATTCACTTATTAAATCAAAAGCATGTAGATACCTCGATGGGACTATCCTATTATATTCGCAATAAAAGTGAATTACTTCAATTTTGGAGAGATGTAAATTCTTTCATTATATTAAGATGAAAAAAATAAAGCAAAAATCCGATGATTTCTTCATTTTCCTCTCAGATACTACACCTGAGTATGTCGATTATAGCAATTAACTAGAGGAAAGCAGTAACAAACTTAATGATGATGATGTTGTATTTTTATAATGAAATCCAACTATCTTTATTTTGATTTATATTTCTGCACAATCCATTCTATCCACTTTATAGTGATAATTGATGATTAATTTAAGAAAGCAATTTAAAACTTAATTTAAATCTTCGAATATATTAATATTAAAAATAAATAATAATGAGAGAAAAGTGGCGAAAGAAGAGAATGCGAAGACTTAAGAGAAAGAGACGTAAGGCACGTAAGTGATTACATTATTTGCACATATTCTGGATATATATATTCATTTTATATTTCATCTTCATTTCCCATTTCCTCTTCTGGTTGTTATTCCCTTACTAATTTGGATAAGCCTTAAACTGATTGACTCATATCCCAATAGATGCATTTAATTTTGATAGTCAATATAAATACACCAGAGGCCAACAAGGGTTAGATCCTCAGAACTAGCCAATTAGTAAAATATTGTCAAAATATTAGGGATTATTGCGAAACCCATAAAATTATAGCATTTTAATAAATATTGGCAATTTCAATCGTTGTCTGTGATTACTTATGCAATTGTAAATATTTCCAGATTATTCATTCAATTAATAAAGTAAATCATTATTGAAAGATATTAAGGAAGCCGAGCTATATTATCGATTGATAGTTTCTAAGTAGAGCTATTAATGAGCTTTCAAGTTTTGCTACCATACATTTATCAATAATAATTTATTTTAACATATATTTGTTAATTAATGATCGTTTAATGAATTTTAATAAAATATTTTTATATATACCTAGGCAGAATTATAAATTTATGATAATGTCTAAATCAATAACCATTTCAGTTGTAATGATTCAAATTATTGAATAAAAATGTAGGATTAAATTATGATATTAATAAAAGAGTTGATTTTAACTTTTAATAAAGTATCATGGATATAATGATGATGAGAAATAGTATTATTGTTTATATGATTGTTTAAAGTGAAAATATTAAATTATGAATATTGATTGTAATTTATAATTATAAATTTTTGACAGTTTTAAAGAATATGTCGAACATTGAGTAGACTAAATAAGTTTAAAATTATGTTTTAGGTATAATTATAATAATTTTAGAGATCGCACTCTCGGAAAAGGAACCTTTGGTAAGGTGAAATTAGGTTATCATACGATTTGTGATGAATATGTAAAATTGAATTAGAATTTGAGGTGGCTGTAAAGATTTTGGAGAAAAGGAAAATTGAGACCGATGCTGATTTTATCAGAGTTTAGAGGGAAATAACAATTTTGCGAAAAGTGGAGCACCCCAATGTTATCAAACTATATGAGGTATAAATGAAATAATTAGCAGATATTGGAGTCAGACACAAATCTATATTTAGTAATGGAATATGCGAAGGGAGGAGAATTGTTCGATTACATAGTGAAGAAGAATCAGTAAATTAAAAAATTAATCAGGTTATCCGAACTGGCTGCCACTAAATTTTTTATTCAGTTGATCGATGCCGTGGAGTATTTGCACTCGTAGAAGATTGTCCACAGAGATTTGAAACCTGAGAATTTGTTGTTGGATGAACAAAGGAATTTAAAAGTGGCTGATTTTGGATTGAGCAATATATACAAAGAGACTGATTAAGTTAAAACTGCATGTGGATCTCCATGTTATGCAGCACCTGAAATGTTATGTATTAAGATTATATGTCAAGTAGATGGCAAACTGTATGGAGGTCAAAAGAGCGATATTTGGAGTTGTGGTATCATTTTGTATGCCATGCTTTGCGGTTACTTACCATTTGAACATGAAAACACTAAGAAACTATATGAGATGATCAAGTATGAAGACTATGACAAACCAAAAAACATCTCACCTGCAGCATAAGATCTCTTAAAACAGTTATTGATAAAGGATCCTTCTTTGAGAATTGGATTCTAGGAAATCAAACACCATCCATTCTATAAGAAAACGGTTATCTAACCATAGTAAGGATTGGTAAACAAGGATTAACTTGTATTGAAACAACTGTAAGATTTGGGGTATGACGTCAATAACGTTATCGATCAAGTTTAAAAAAACAAACATAATACATATACTGCTGCGTATTGGCTGTTAATTAAAAAATCTTCATCTAATTAATAACCAATTGCAAAATAGACTACACTTTTGTTGTAATAAACTTAATAACAAATTAAAAAAAATTAAATTTTACAGTCTTAATTACAATAAATCTACTAACCCATGGAATATAAATAGTTATAAGGTTCAACTGGAGGTTCAAACAGCAAAGAAAAAATATAATAGCCAAGGTAGTTTAGATATTCTGTGCCTCATAATAAAAATAGAGTTGATTACTCACAATTTTAAGATGTGTATTTTGGAATCTAAAATAAATTAAATAACATCTAAATGTAATGCAAATAAAATCCTAACACTATAATTGATTTAGTGAGATAGAAAACTCACTCAGTTTAGGAGAAGACACATTGCCATACACCTGATTAGGTTGATTTAGTTATTAGACAACCAGGGAAGAAGATGCAATTGTTGTTGCAGAGAAGGAAGAATCCAACTGAATAAATAGAGAAGCAAGAGAACACAGAAGTAGGTTTAAAGGAGAAGATTAAAGATCTGACGAAGAGATCAAGGAATAAAACTCAGCCTCTTAAAAAAATAAATGAGAAAATGGAGAGATATGCTAATAATTATACTCAATAGTTGATTAAATAAAATAGTCCATAGGATAGTTTTGTTGCTAAGTTTTATAAGCCATCTATTAGAGTGAGACACAGCAGCAATCATGAAAATACTTTAAAGCATAATGGATTACTTACTCATAATTTTGTCTGAAATTAGATTGTCATTTTTAGTTTATAGAAATTAAAACATTTATAATTAATAATCAACAGTAAAAAAATAATAATTTCAAATTATTACAAATGCCACCAAAAGTAACACCCAAATCTAATACCATGAAATATAGACAAAACAATCAAAAACTCAAAGGATAAGGGAGAAACATAGACTACAAAAAGTTCCCTCAACATACAAATAAATCAAGATTAATTTCTAATGGAGACATTAGAAGACTGGCTAGAAGAGGAGGAGTCAAACGAATAAGTTCAGATGTCTATGAATTGTCTAAATTGTATATGAAGTTGTACATTTCCAATATTCTTCGTGATTCGATGATCTATGCTAATTATTCAGGAAGGGCTACTATTTTGGCAGATGACATTTGCAGAGCTGCAAAAAGAGCTGGACAAACGGCGATTGGATTTACTCGTTGAAAATATTGTTTATATATTTGAATTTTGCCAATTTTCATTAATAAATGAATTTTATAAAGTCAATTTTCTCCAAACCTTCAGCACCCTAATAAAAACAACAGCCCAAGAATCCGAATTCTGATTTCTCAATTCTTGATCCGCAATTTACCTAAGTGAGATTGAGGGATGCAAAATTGTTAATCAAAGATATGAGGAGATTAGAATAAGTTGTTAATTATCAGCCAGAATCAATCAATGAACAACTCAAAAAATGCTACGCTTTACATATTATTTTGAGCAGCGATCAATATTAAGCTATAGACAAGGTGGTAATGTGTTGTGAGAAAAATAATGTAAATAATACTATAAAATAGAGATCAAACCAGTTGCACATACTACATAAGCGAGAACAGCAGTTACCACAAATATTAATCAAACATGCTAGATATTGTCAGATTAATAAATGATAGCTACTTAATATCAGAATTCCATGTATCTTAATGTCTCTGATGTAATCAAGATTTTATATTTGATTTTTAGCAATTATAACTATATGAACAAATTCATCAAAATGAATCGGAATTCATGAACACCTATTTCAATTACATCTAGAGGATTACCCAAAATTCTGATATCTACAACTCTTGTAAATTCCATCAATACCCATATTAAGATGAAACTTTCAATAGAAAATTGTAGTTTTTGTGGCTTTTCAAAATCATTAATATGCTTAATTTTAAATTTGGTTTTTTACCCTATCTGCAATTCTCCTTCAATCAAAAAACATAGAATTCATTCATCATCAGAGACATAGCCTATTTAATTTATAAGGATTGCCTATTGGAATATGGGTTCCTGAGAAATGAAATAACTGATATGATTGATTCCTATTCATAATTTTAGGTTAGAGATTGTAAATCTAATATGTTCTATTTTAGCTCTACAATTTTATGAATTGGTTGTGATCATGCTTGAAATTGATAAAAAAATGAAAATATTCTATGAAATGAGACAGCAATTCGCACTAAATTCCTCATCTGTCAGAGACGTTAAATGGTTTGTTATAGAAAAAAAACAGTTAATTGAAATAGAAAACTTTGTTTCCAAGGCTAAATTGCTGAACACTGCTTAATTCAAGAAGAGTCTGATGGTGCCAACTCAAAAAATCGTTATGGAGAATCTGTAGAAAGTTATGATGGACCCATCTCTAATGGAAAATTCTTTTCTTAAAGTATTTATAGGTCTTATTCAAAGGAACCAACAACAGCTAAAAATATTAAGAGGATAAACGAACTCCTTTACTCGCCCTTAAATTCTAAATAAATCAAAATATCAAATCATTCGAGATAATTGTCAAAAAATTGATTAATTTAATCTCAAAACTATTATATTCCATATTAGACTCAAATATCAACATAATAATTTAAAATTTAGGGCTAAATCTAGGTTTATTAATATAGTAATTATTTACTGATTAAATATAATTGAATTTGATTCTGAAGGAATTCGTCTCAATCAAGAGAGAATTCATCTATTTTATCAAAGTCTATTCATGAATTAGATTTTTATATATTAACAGATAATTTGATTTGTTTTATAGTTTTTCAATATATTAATCATCTTCCAGACCAAGAAGCAACTTATTTCTTGAAAATGATTATGACTTATTCTAAGATGGCATTCTCTTCATCTCTTTTAGCTTTGGCTTCAGCATAGTCAGCTCTCTTGTTTTCCAAATCAGATTGGGCTTAATCGAGAGCGTCTTATGATTCTTAGAGTATAATCTTAGACTTTGCTTATTAGGCTAAAGCAGCTTGAATTTACTAAGAAATTAATGTAGGGATATTACAGTAGCAAGTCTGTCAGCATAGACTTATTTTCTCTCGTATTCCACCTTCAAATTGGCAACCTCTGCCTCACTCAAAGAGACCCATCCAGCTAATTCCCATGAGGCATTGATTTCATTGACTTCCAAAGCCTCGAGAGAAGCTTAGAGATTGGCTTCAAGGGATTCCAAAACTGCCAAGACTTTTTCGGCTAAAGTGGCACCTCTGCTAACCTAGGGAATAAATTAGAATTAATACAGATCCATCTTCTTATTTAGAGGCTAAACTGAGGAAGGATTTGACTTCGTTTTCGTTGAAGAGGTTGCTATAGGCCTTCAATTTTTCAGCAACACTTGTGGCTTTTTCTTAGAGGAGTTCGAATGAATCTCCATTAATGATGTAACCAGCAACGTCTTATTTAAGGACTCTGACTACTTCAAGAGCTTCTCTGTTTTATTTGATTGATCTGACAAAAAGTTAATTGCTCAAACACTATTCATCTAATAAGACTTAAATCTTTCTTGCAATTTCATCTTATCTTTATTCGTTCCATGCCAAATAATTCTTTGTGTCTGAGAGTTCTTATTCAAATTAGGCTCTGTTTTCGATTGATTATTAGAAAAGCTTTTAGTTCAAGGACTTGATCTTAGTGAATTGTTCAATAGTTCTAGAATTAGATCATGATATTACTGTGCACCAACCCATTCATCTGTTTCATTCTTTTAATCAGCTGCAAATTGAGCATCCTTATTTGATTGAATCAGGTCATTCAACAAACCAAAGACTGTGTCAATTGCATCCATAGCTTTTGTTCCTGTTTGAAGTAATGCCATAATTTAATCATGAGTTGAAGTTGCTGAGGCAATGCTCACCAATAAAAGGATTGCAATGGTAGCTTTCATCTCTAAAATAAATAATATTAATCAACCATCCCCCTCTAACTATGTTAAATAACAAATACTCTAATTTTTTCAAAAACGGGTATTCCAAAATTAATATAGATCAATCACTTATTTATAATTAAATATTAAATACACTTAAATGTTACACTTTCCTTGCTCCAAATATCTTGATGAATCAAAAACAGAACAAATCAATTAAACATTTCTATAATACATATAATTTCATTAGTTAAAATAATTCATAAGTTCCTTTCCAAAGCATTCACACACCCTTTTATGAGCATAGCCCAATTAATGAGAAGACCGTTTAGCATAAATACTAACAATTATGTACTGAATTCTTTTTAAGTCAATATTCGAATCAATAAATTAAGGATTATTTAGGTATTCCTTATTGATTTGTTATTCAATGCTAAGTATCAGTCTGATATAAGGAGTCCCAGGAATTATCAATTGAATTTTCCCGAAGTTTGAAGACAATTCTTGATTTCGATACTCTGATTCCGCCGAAGCTATTTCATAACGATACAACTTGTAATGTTGGCAAAATTGAACCACCTTCTCAAAATTGAATCTCTCTACTCTCTGCTCAAACAAAACCACATATTTTTATATCCCATTATCGATTAATTTTTAAATGCTCTTTTAAGTAAGAGTTGACAACTAAATCAACTTTAATTCATTGTTGCAAATTGTAAATCGGAAAACCTTCGTATCTATAATCAATTTTATGGCTAATTTCTCATTCCATGAATCACTCTACTCGAACTAGTGTTGATGACTTATCTCCAGACTCTGACCAATAAACATCTATTTGTTGACCAATTTGATATCCCTTTATAACAACTAACCACTGTAGTAAGTTTTAATCTACATTTCCTCTATGACGCAGTTTTATAGACAGTCTAATGTAAATGTATGCACCCCAATAATCTTATTTCCAATATTATTTCTTTTTAATATTTTCTAATCTACCTCATGTCCACCATTAAAGACCTTTACACAAAATTTAAATTTCAAAAGGATTTTATTCAGCTATATCTACCCACTGTCTATAAACTAGGTGATTTCGTAACTCTGAGATCTCTTTATTAAAATAAGATCCTTTACAATTTAATTATTAATTACAAGATGATCATCTTTTAAAAATTCAGTGCTCGTATTATGACTGTTGAATTGAGACATTTGTTATTTGGTATGGTTAATATTTGAGATTTAAGAAGTCAACATAAATTTAGACTACTACTAAACAGTCTAGTTTATTTATTATGATAAATCTAATTATAATGTAACCGATTGCAATTCGATATTTGTTTACAAATTTACATTCTGCTCATTCTACTTTACCTTTTGAATAACAATGCTCAGGCCCTTTGATTTAATTACAATTATCTACAATACAGTAGTAATGATATTGATTATGAAATAAATCGACAATAATATCAATACAATAAAGCCTAATTCATAGTTTTCTTATTGGACTAAAACATAGGATGTGATAAGTAAGCAGTATGAAATTATGTTTGTAATGTTTATTAGCTTATCCTTTAGATTTTTAGATTTAAATAGAATTAGGAATTACAATACTATCAAAACCCCATTAGCTCCTATTTCTAAATAGAATACTATCACAAATTTATTAATGGCTATTGGAATTATGCCCATCAATAGTTCATTAAAAATGCAAATGAAATAATGAACCAAATAAATTGTCTTATTTTATTAAGCAAAAGTGGCTTTAGTAAAATAATTCAAGAAATCCTTCTTAGATTCATCTTTTATTGTTATCAATGGTCTCATAGTAAAGGCAAGATAAAATAGTAGCAGAATCCCCCCCATGATACAAAAAATGATATCTAACGGATCTTTTGATGAATTTTGAATAGTTTAGGTTATCTATCCTACGCTACCAAAAGCTAATTCGAAAATGCTCCCTTCCAAATAATAGATAGTTAGTTCTTGGATCAATTTAGGCCATTTATCATAGAACAATTTAGGGATGCAAAGTAGGATCAATAGTAAGAGAACAAAGAGAGTGAAATCACAATCATGCAGTAGCGTTGAAGTATAATTTGAATTTAAGTAATATTAATTTTCTACTTAGATGTTTGAATTTGTTCCAAAGATATAATAGTATTTACCATTAGTTGAACCTGTTTGATCATAGGGTATTTAGGTACCTTCTGTTCCAAATCTTAGATATGCAAATAAGGCAATTCCACAAAAGTAATATAAATTCATCATATACGGTTTGAACATGATAATCAATTTGAAGGGTAAGAGGTTAGTGAGTAGCACATTTGAGATCTCAAAATAAACAAATATTGTACTATTCTAATAGATCTTATCACTATAAATAATATTCCTATTTGTTCAAAAGAATAAATGGTTTAATTGTAACTATAGAGTGTTTGAGTCTAGTCCTAATAATTTTAAGGAACGTCTGATAACATTTTTATTTTTGAATTTATGTTAATATTTTTATTTCATAATTATATATTTAACTACAATAGTAATGATTATATTGTAAAATTTTCAATTTTTTTATATTGTTCGAAAACTCACCTTTTTTATATCTAAGAACGGTTATTTCTTTTCTCAATGATTTTATAAGTGTAATGCAGATCTTAATATTTTTCTATTGAATATTCTTATTCAATTACTTATAAAATGGTTTTGTAGAATAAACAAAAGCGATCTCAATAGTTTATTATTCTATCTTATATCACAATTTCAAGGAAGTTAAAAGCTGGAAATTTTGAGTGCTTTTTAATGATTTAATTGTTTCAGGTATTACGGAGTCATAAAATGATTAATAATCTATGTTCAATGACTTAATAATCTAGAGGGGAGTTTAACTTTCATTATATTTATAAAATGTTTCAAATTTAAGCTAAGAAAATCTCAATTATTATTTGATCTAATACTTCAAAGTTGATATTTCATTTCGAAGAGACTGCTGTCTGAATACACATAATAATTACAAAAGTAGTTATTTATTTAATACATTTTACAATCTTAAGTTAAATGTTCTTTATAATTATTTTGATTAAAATGATCAGGTTATGCTTTTTATAAAGTTCTAATTTAATTTACTGCTTAGCTTCAATAATCTTAGGATTCATTTTACATTTGTTATTATAATAAGTAAGCCTTTAGACATGTTTAGACAACTTTTTTATTGAAAAATTAATGTTGTTTTAAATCATCACTTTCTTCATCTCTCATATAATGTTGTTGATCATATCTGGAATAGATATAGAATGCAAAGTTGTTCATCAAAAGTATTCTTTACAATAATTCCCCTAAATCTAACATTTGCTTTATTAGAATTATAAAGTCTAAGATTAAGGATTCCCTGCATATATGAATATAATAATTTTCTTTTCTCCCTACAAATATTAACAACACAAAATCAGCGATCTTGATATCCCCTAATAATGATTTTTTATTCTATTTCTACCAATTATCTTTATCTCATTTCTTACGAAATATATATATATTCATTTTCTTTCCTTCAATTACAAAAGTTCATAAATTATTTTGTTCTTAACATATCAACAAGTTTAAATAATTCATAACCTATTTGTTTCTCATTCATAAAATGAGATTCTTAACCATATATATAAGTCTTTTCTCAATTATTTTTTCATCCTTGTTTGATTGCAATCAAGCGACCATTATTTAAGTCTTAACCTATATCACCAATTCAATAAATTCGTCTACCAAGTTAATTGAAATGAGTCCATTTGGTCATCTCCTATATTATTTACACATATTAATTTATAAATGATTATAAATACCATCATATTCATATATTTTGTCTAAAGTTTGGCTAATTACTATGGAACAGCTTAACCAGATATCCAATAAATAATTAAACTAAACTTTACCTAAAAAGTGAACAGTCTTATCATCAAGTTCTACAAAAGAGAAAATGATGTACTTTGCCTGGTGTCGTAAAATGATTTGGGTTTAACCAAATTAAGTGATTTAGACCTAGGTTATAATCCAAAAGGACCAGAGGTTTATGATTATCAAAGTTACAAGGCTAACAGTGAGTATCAACTAATCCAAATTGCTTATGTAGCGATGATCTATATGAAATGTTTTCAACTAAATTAAAATCAACAATAACTTATCAGTATAGAAATCTATTATTCTGAAAACTAATTTATATAAGGATGCACAAATGATTGTGATGGCTATAATTATCCTGAAATTTCGAATTCTATTTGCGTATCACAATAGTGCCATTGTTTAGAAGGAACATTTGGATAATATTGCTAATTTCAATCTGCATAAATATCAAGCAATATTCTTACAACCTTTACATTAGATACACATAAATGGAAATATTTTCAATACTAGTTCAGTTCTATTGATATCAATCTATTTTCTTAAAATGTAGAAGAAGAATTATGTATTTAATTGTCTATAAAATATATAGATTATAGCTTTGTATTAAAGTAAAATCCTTAATTGAAAATTCCAAACTTGAAGGAGAGCCAGAAATTAATATCATTTAATAATATTTAATAAGAATTAAAGAATTAATAAACTACTGTTTATGTTGATGTAATTTATATAGGATTGTACAATAATTAATCCAAATCCCTCAATATCCAATTTAAGATTATCACTAATGATACAGAAGATGAAAGCACTTTTGAAAGAAATAAAATAGTTATTATTGTCACGGGATGTGTTGTTGGAGCATTATTGTTATTTGCTTTTGGTTTATCAGCTCTCAAATCTCGATAATAAAGATAGTTTCAATAATAAATACAAGAGGCCATACGAAGAAATCTAAACCAAGTCCATAATTTGGATTAATTGCAAGCGTAAAGTCCAGAACGCTAACTTCCTTAAATCAATCATAAAGGTAATACTTAAGCAACTTATGAGGTTTCTCGTTAAGGTTTATAAAAGATCATTTTAAAGGACATTCCTATGAAAAGATAATTAAAGCATATCCAGGCTTATCACAATTTGAGGAATGTGTTGTGTGTTTAGAATAAATGAAGAAAGCTGCTACAAAGTAATAAAAGATTTGTTCTGTAACTCCTTGTTTTCATATTTTTCATTGCATGTGTTTAGAAGAGTGGTTGTTAAGATAGAAAAATTGTCCATTTTGTAGAACTGAGTACAACAGAAAAAAGATAATCAAAGATTACCCTTGGTTGGAAGTTAACACTCTCAGAGTGAACAATACAGATTCGACTTATTTAAGTCGCATGAAAAATAACTAAGAAACTGTTAATGAAAGTTAAATTGAATTTGTAAAGCATTAACCTGAAGAATAATAATAAACAAACTAAATGGAAGTAATTAGTGAATAATGAAAGTATCAAATTATGGTCTATTTTTGATATCATATTTATTGAATAGTAAATATATATGTATAAAAAATCTATTAAATTATAAATAATCAATATTTCCTTATAGACCATAATCCTAACAATATCGATATCTTTAATAAAATCCATAAATTGATTTATAATTATTTTATAATAAAATCAATCTAAATCTAATTACATCTCGGTTTATCTAGTATCAATATATTATTCCAAAGGTGCCTGAATGAAACTTGAATCAAGTATTTCTTTTTGAGTTTCTAAAAACTTCTTATGTTATCTTCTAGAATATAATCTATAAAAATCCCAAATGGCATAGACACCTAACACAATAAGTACTCTGCCAATAATTGCTTTTGAAGTGAGTTCATCAACAAATTAGTATGTTTATTCTTAATGTAATGTTTCATAAGATGGCTTTCTAAAATTGTACCATTTATTTTAATAGTACTCCTTTTTATTTGTGCTATAAAAATAGGAATCAGGATTCATGTCGTTAGCTGAATGTGCTTCTCCAGATTATTCAAAATTTAATGCATCTGAATCATAGAGTTATCTTTTGATTGGATCCTTGAGTACTTGATAGGCCTTAGAGATTTCTTTGAATTTCTCTTCTGATCCAGATTCGCCATTATCAGGATGGTACAACTTAACCAATTTAATATATTGCAATTTGATTTCCTTGGTTGTTGCCTTTGGAGTAACATCTAAGACTTCGTAATATGTCTTGGGTATTTTGGTTGTGAAAAAAGAGAAGTAATTTATTGATTTTCTTAATAACATTTAATTATTATGTCAGATTAAGAAGAAGAGTCGCCCAGATAAGATGAATTCGGACAGAGGATAATAAAACTAAAGGAGTTAACTCCTCTTGAGAAGGAGTATTTTGACAAGGCTCGCTAAAGACACAAAGATAATATTTATAAAGATCAAATAGTTCAGGGTAGAAAATTTGAAGGAGTTGCTTTTATTTCTAAACCAGCTGAGATAATTTTCAAAGTATTATGAGGATTCTTATTATAGGATTTTGATGTAGGTAAGCCACACACCATAATAATGTAACTTACCAATGTTTCTTACACATTCAATTCATTCAAAATACTCCCATTGCCTGAAGCTGTTAGAGTAATTAATAAATGTTGAATTAAGGATTTTTTTGAACTGATATATACTCCACCTGGCAGAGTTTCAGCAGGCATGTCTTGTCCGATAACAGTTAGATTTACTCCATAATTAAATGATGACATAGATGTCTAATTACAATGTCAAGCCGAAACAGGGCCCTTTTAAATTCACATCCTATGCACAAGCAAGAAAGCAATTGCAAAAGTAGAATAACCTATCATTGATTTTGGCAAAGTTATTCTAGGAGAAGATTCAACTCTCATTCTCAAAATTCAAAATTTAGGAGCCCTAGACACAGATGTTATCATAAGAAGTGCAAAAGGCATAGATTTATAAACTATAGCTACTGAATCCGTCTCCTAAAAATCTAATAGAGACAGACCCTTTGATGAAGAGGGGATTTTGCCTTACTTGAAATAACTTAAATTCTAAAGACAACATGTCTTGCAAGGATATTCCATGCTTAAAATACCAATTCAATACATTCCAGCTGAAGTTGGTCCCTTTTCTCTGCCTCTCACATTGTATTATGAAAATTTCTTGCACTCTCCCCCTTGTCAAATTGAAATTAGAGGATATTGCACTGAAGTACCCATTTATGTAGAAAAACAAATTTATAATTTCCAAATTTGTTTATTCAACCATATTTACAGAGAAAAGATTGTGTTTTTCAATAGAAGTTAGAATGCAATGAAAATTTAAATTTAAACTCCAAAAGAGACTAAGGATTTCTTTGAGTTTAATCCAAAATTAGGATACATCTAAGGAAATTCAAAATTTGAGATTTGGGTCAAATTTAATGCAGAGAGACAATTACAAACAATTTGTCAAAGATTTTTTAAGGATAATGTTATAGATGTTCCCTTTAAATTGATAGGTGCTGATTAGAAAATGCCTGTTCCCTTTAATATAGTTGCATAGATGACCATGGCTACTCTTTAGATTACACCTGCAAGATTAGACTTCGGTAAATTGTTTGATGGGTAAGGTGCAAAGAGAGCTATCACATTTGAAAATTTAAGCGATTTACCCTAAGAATTGGCAATCTACCCTTTACCAAAAGAGATTTCAATAACAACCGATTTAGTACCATTGCGTTTACTTCCTAAATAAAAATTTACAACAGATATAATATATAGAACTCAGAAAGTAATTGGAATCAGTGATCGATAAGATGAAGGAATTTTAAAATGCAAAATAGTTTCAGGTACAATATCAACAAAGGAAATCAGAATACCTTATACTTGTGAAATTTCTAAATGTCCTCTAGAATTTTCAGGAATTAAATTTGATATTCCAGTCTAATAAATTGATGAAAAGTATTCAACCACCATTGATATCAAAAATATATCTTAAAGAGACATTATCATTGAATTCTTTTTACCATTCTACGAGTTGTGTGGTCTTAGAATGGCTCCGATGGTTCAATAAATTTAAAGAGATTAATTAATATAAGTACATTTGGAATATGACTCTTTCTTTAAAAAATTAGGAGCTTATACACTTTAAGAATTGAAAGAAAAATATGAAAATGATCCAAATAACAATTTCGAATTGAGATTAAAAATTAGATATGAAGAAGAGGAAAGAAAGAAAAGGGAATAAGAGGAATTGAAAAAAGAAGAGGAAATGGCTGCTAAAGGTAAGGCTGCCAAAAAGGAAGTTAAAAAGGATTAAAAAAAACCAGAGAAATTAACAAAAGCTTAGTAGTAATAACTTGAAGAAGATGAAAGAAGACAAGCAGAATTGGAAAAATTAAAACAAGAAGAAGAAAGATTGAAAAGAGAAGAATTTGAAAAATAGTTTGACAGTGCTAAAGAATTAAGAAATCTTGGAGGAACTCTTGTTGAATTCAATAAACCTGAAGATTTAAGTATTGTATCATTATATTCTATAAGATTATTCATAACACTATTCTTGGTTGATTCCATGTTATTTTAAATACACTGATATGCCAGATAATGCAAAATAAGTAATTTACTTATAGATTTCTACTGTCACAGTTCAAAAAAGTCTGCTCCTGAGTAAAACCATAATAGATTTTGGTGAAGTGGCAGTTGGAATTAGACAAACAAAAGAACTTACTGTTTTCAACCAAACTCCATTCAAAGCTGAATTAAAAATGGAGATGTTGCCCATCTCTTGTGGGTTTACAATTTTAAATGCTCTCAGAACAATAGAACCTAGCAATAAGAAATCTTTAATTGTTTAATTCTAACCCACAGAGGATCAACCATTTGAGGAGACCTTAAAACTATATTGCAATCATGCTGCAGTCTCAGCCAAATTGAAAGGAATAGGTGTTAGACCAGAAGTAAAGGTTGTACCAGAAAATGGGTTAATATCAGTTGGAGGAGTAGTATTGGGGGAGTATGCAGAAAGAACATTTAAAATAACAAACGTTTCAAATTTTCCAATAAAATTTTAATTAATAAGCAAGGCTAGGGGAGTTCAGAATTCATGTGGAACGGAGGTTTTTTAGTTTATACCGTAAGAGGCAATTGTGAATGCTTAATAGGAAATTACTTGCAAGGTGATTTTTAAACCGGATAGAGTTTCAGATAAATTTTATGATCTGATATCTGTGCATGTACCAAATCAGAAATCTGAGAAGAGGGTGTTTATTTGGGGGTACTGTTATAATCGTTAGGCTTATGTCAATATTTATTAGCCTTATAATTTAATTCCTCAAATTAATGAAATTAACAAGAAGATTGAATTTCCCTTTGATCAGTTGAAACTAAAGGATGAGGAGAAGGTGTACACCTACTTGAACAACAAGATCATGCTTGAATTCGAGAAACTGAAAGAGGAGGATAACTCTAGGAAGATTGTAATAGGCAGTTGTAAGCTTTTGGATCCAAAGATGGAGAAGCCTGTGAATTATGAAGTAATATTGTCGGTAAGGCAATTCCTTATGGTTTTTAGAAAGATGAGAAATACTTTGTGTGTGATAATCAAAAGGGGGCTATATAACCTGGAAATGAAGTGGTAATAACATTCACATTCAAACCTCCTCAGCCGGATTAGTTTATTGCGTCCATTGAGGCGTTGAAGAAGATCGGGTAATGGAAGGAGACGAAGATTGAGTTGAAAATATCAGGGGGGTTTTTAAAGGCAGGAGTGCAAGATAATATAAGCTACGAATTGATTCTGAAAGCATTCATTAATTAGATTTGATTTCTATTAAAATAAGTTCATTTTGAATTAAATATATGATTTAAGTTTCTGATGTCACTTTATAGGAAGCTCTGGCTAAGAAAGAAGAGGGAAATAAGTTCTTCGCCGATAAGAAGTATGATGAAGCCATCAAATGCTATTCTGAAGCTATTGGTATTTAGTATTGATCATCTATGGGTAGATCATAATCCAAATGAATCTGTATATTATTCCAATAGGGCTGCTTGCTATTTAGCATTAAAGCAATACAAAAAAGCTTTAGATGACACAGAATAAGCATTGAAGAGGGATTCAAACAACGTAAAAACTTTGAGAAGGAAAGCGATTGCCCTTTAAAATTTGGGGCGATTGGAAGAAAGTGTGAATTCGCTGAATGCCGCCTTATAAATAGCTCCTGGGGATTAATCATTGAAATCAGAGTATTTGACAGCCCAACAGGTAAAAATAATAGATTAAATTAGACTTGTTAAAGCTATTTGGAAGGTTTGAAATAAATTCAAAATGAAGATTATTAAAAGGCCTTATATTAATTTTAATAAGTTATATAAGTGTGTGCGCAATCTTTGGAAATTTAGATCCTATTTGTTGAATGTTTGGCTAAGTGTGGTGATAACGACAGGGCTAGCAAATGGCTTATGCAAATTTAAAGTGAACATGGATCAACTCCCGATGTGTATTACTTAAAAGGAATCATTGACTTATATAACGGGAATAGTGAAAGAGCAAAGAAAATCCTAATTGACGGTATGAAGGTCGATCCAGACAATAAGAAGTGCAGAGAAGCTTTGAAGAAGGCAAGGAAGTGCGAAGAATTGAAGGAAAAAGGAAATCAATTACTTCAAGAAGTGAAATTAAATGATGCCATCGAATGTTACACAGAAGCTTTGAGTGTCGATCCTTACAATCGTAAAATCAATTCAATTATCTATGCCAATAGAGGATTAGGTATTAGATTTGATTCAATTTAGTTAAATAAAAACTGAATCAACACAAGGAAGCCATTGATGATTTCACTAAATCTATTGAATTGAATCCCTAATACTATAAAGCCTTAATAAGGAGAGCTGAATCATATGACAAGCTAGGATAATTTGGAGACTCTTGCCATGATTACTAACAAGTTATTCAAATTGAACCCTAATTGGAATAGGAAATGGCATAGAAATTGAGAGAAGCCCAAAAGAAAGAGAAATTAGCAAAGAAGAAGGACTATTATAAAATATTAGAAGTTGCAAGAGATGCCACAGAAAATGAAATCAAAAAATCATATAGAAGATTGGCATTGTTATGGCATCCTGATAAATTGAAAGATAAAGATGAAGAAACCAAAGTACCAATTACTTATTAACTAAACTCTAGACATTAGGATAATAGAAGTTTAGAGATATTGCTGAAGCATATGCAGTGTTATCTGATAAAAAAAAGAAGGATCTCTATGATTCAGGAGTTGATCCTAACGATCAAAGTGGTGGTTATGATGGTGGAGTCGATCCTACTCAAGTCTTCTAGATGTTCTTCGGTGGTGGAGGAGGTTTCCAATAATTCCCATTTGGGGGAGGTGGAGGAGTTCGTTTTGAATTTAGATGAAGTCAAACATCAATAATTTTAATGTTAAAAATAAATAATGTCTTTCAATTTTTAAAATAACTGGGTCTTGATTCAAGCAATTGCCATAATCACAAACAGTAGGAGCTCTCTATTCTAATCAATCAATGCTACTCGAATAAGTCCTTATATCACAGGGATAATTATTCGATTGGCAAAATCTAATGAATCGTCTGAATTTAATAAGCTTAAAGTACCCAGAGAAATTAGGAACTTTGATTCTTTAAGATGAAAAAGAACCAACCAGCTCATTCTTATTTTAACTTACTCTCCTTTTAATGTGGCAATAATCGTAATTTATACCTTTTGTAAGGAGGTCAAAATATTAATTATGTATCATAAGCTTTAATGAAGGCATTTTAAACTATGATTCAATTAAGTGTATTATGGTTTGTGATTCTACTTGTACATGGAATATTTGCAACAAAACTATTAAAGGGTTGTTTATACTATTATTCTACATTTTTCAATTGTTATTGTAAGTAAAGAATAAATGGGCTTGTATGCGTAATGATGATTCATGGGTAAATAAGATATTAGGATTTGATAATTTATTTGATAGTGCTTTAACCTAGTTTATTACTGCAACTACTGAGGCTTGGCTCCCAATTTTTGTAGATAAATGGAGTTTTATAGGAACAAATTGTGCTTTGATTAATAATTCTATTAGATGGTGGGCAATATGTTTTTAAATGTTTTTTTATGTTAATGTATGCTCAACATTTTTATATGCTTGATTGTAAACACAATTTAAGAATCCATTTAATATTGTATTTTGATATCTGCAAATCAAATTTCTGTCAGATTTATAGTGAAATAGAATAGAAAAGAGATATGTTTTAATTATTGATTATTTTGGAAGTATTCATATTGCAGTATGAGTAGCATTCCAACTCTTAAGAAATTACTGTATAATAAGGTAAAATTCAGTATATTTTAAGGCGTTTCCCAGTTAAAGAAATTATTCAATATAATATTTCAGTCATCCCTTCTGCATTAGCAACGATATTTATTATAGCTTTGTTTCTTTTTATCTATGTCTCCTTGGGAATGGATCTATTAGGTTATTTGAAACCATAGAATTACCTTGAAGGGTTTGATCTCCATTTTCAAAAATTTACAACTGCTATGTTATCTCTAATCTAATCAGAGCAGCGAGTTCGGAATAATGGTGGGCTTTGTCAGTTCACACTAGCACACGAGGTTTCGTTGGCATTTACATTAAAGTTATTAAGATTTAATAACATGAGTTAATGGATATGGAACAAATAAAACTAATTTTCCTTAGGGCTTTGGAAATTTCACTGTATGAAGTTGAATAAGGTCTGATGGGTCATCTCTTTCATGATGTCCTTGTTAGTTTAATTAAATTATATGTCGAATTAAATTATGGTTTCAGCAATCAAATAGGAACTTTAGAATTAAAATGAAATTGAAAGAAATGCTTCTTATAATAAAGATTGATTCTATTTTAAACATTTATTTATTTATTATTGAATTTATTTTCATAATCAATTATTCTGTTATATTTTTTATGAAAATAATACATTTAATTTATAAATTTTACAAATGGATTAGCAAGAATTTAATTGTTACTCATGCAATAAGTTATTTAAATAAAAGCGTGCTTTATAAGAACATTAATTAATCCATTCTGGGGAGAAGCCCTACAAATGGTTAGTTTTTATCAATAATTTGCTAGTGTAACTTGTAATTAATAGTTTCGACAATATTCCTCATTATAAAAGCATGATCGCATTCATACAGGAGAAAAGCCATATTCTTGTTAAGATTGTGATTCGAAATTCTCTTAAATATCAAATTTGAAAAGACACCAATTCAAACATTAAGAACAGAAGCCTTTTACTTGCGATGTTTGTCAAAAGCAATTCATTACGAATTAAAATTATTAATAACATAAAAACAAACACAATCAACAAAGGTAAAGTTATGTATGTGAATGCAATCGAACTTTTCTTTATAAGTGTAGTTTAAAAAAACATTAAAAAATTCATTAAAAGCTTGATAACACAGATTAATTTATAAATCTTTCACAAATAAATCAAATTTCAGCAGATCTCAGAATATTTTTTACTGCCTCCCATCCTTAAATTCTTCATTCAAATCATATTGATATATTATTTAATGGGCGATTGTATAATTATAATGAATGTAAGTATTTAATTATTAAAATCAAGCAACTGGCAGAATTGAATTGCATGATTTGATTGATTAATAAAAATAAAATTGTGATCCAATTAAAGATCATCAACATTTTGATTCACAAACACAATATGATTTAATTAAATGCATAGATTGTAAATAAGAAAAATGTTGTTGCAAATAAAAACAATTTTTTAATAATTGCTGTTTAGCTTGCAATGGTGGAAATTGTGGAGAAACTCCATTTGCAATATCCTAAGTAATACATTTTCATGGTCCAAATTGTGGTCATCCAATCGTTATACATGATGGACATATCGATTATTTAGTTAATGAAAGGTTGCACTTTCCTCATGATGGCCATTGTGACAATCATGGAATTTTGAATAGAATTAGAGTGAAATGACAATATAATTAATATAATTCAAATATAAAATGGATTTGAATTCAGATGAATTTTTTTTTGGTATAAACAAGTCTTTGTACTTTAAAACTGAAGAATAAAAGAATGAAATGAAAAAAATGGATCCAGAGTACATTACTAGGACGTATGATATAATAAAATGTTAAGCGGAACCGATTTTGTATTATTGCCCAATTCTCCTGAATTCATTAACCACAACGAACCATTTGAACCTATGTATATACCAAAGCAAACAATTCTGGAGGAAAGTCTAAGAAGAGAGATTGAAAGAATATGTTTTGCAGATACTTTGTTGAATAAAGTAGTTTTCGATTGTGCAGATCCTAGTCCTTTTAATAAGGTAAATTAGTCAAAAAATGTTAATTTTTATAGGATACTGATCCAAATGTCTATGGATTAGAGGTATTGCCTTTTTATATACCTTAAACAAAAGAAGACACAACTTTAGTTTTTGAAAGTAGATTTGAAAGTGGGAATCTAAGAAGAGCAATTTAGATGTAAAAAATGAATAAAGAATTTTAGATGCGATTACGAGTATAATCTAATTCTCAAACCAGATTATTACACAACAATGAATACTTAATGGTTTTACTTCTCATTATCAAATACGAGAAAGGATGTCGAGTATCGGTTCAATATAATAAATATGATGAAGCCTGATTCGTTATACAATTCAGGAATGAAACCCTTAATGTATTCAGAACAAGGAGCAAAGCATAAAAGTATAATATTAAAATATTATTAGAAATTGGGTGGTTTAGAGATGGACATGAAATATGTTATTACTAGAACAATATGAAAAGAAAGAATGGTGGGTATTATTACACTTTGACATTTGCAGTCAAATTCCAATATGATTTTGATTGCATTTATATAGCTCATTGTTATCCTTATACATATACTCATTTGTGTAGGTATTTGAAACAATTGGAATCTGATCCAGCAAAAAAAAATAGAGTGAAAAGAAAATAACTTTGTTAGACAATTGCTGGAAATACTTGTGATTTTTTGATTATTGGTGATTTTAATAATGGGAAAGAGAAAAAGGGTATTGTTATTACATCTCGAGTTCATCCAGGAGAAACTATGGCTAGTTATGTTATGGAGTATATGATAGATTTCTTAACTGGTAATACTCATGAAGCGAGAATCTTGAGAGAGAATTTTATATTTAAAATTGTTCCAATGCTTAATATTGATGGAGTTGTAAATGGAAATTATAGATGTAATTTAGCAGGTGTTGATTTAAATAGATAATGGATAGATCCTAATAAAAAATAACATCCCACTATTTATCATACCAAATAATTAGTTAAAAAAACAAAAGAGGAAAGAGACCTAGTGTTATTTTGTGATATCCATGGTCATTCAAGGAAGAAGAACATATTCATGTATGGATGTTCAGGAAAGGATCCGAATAGAAAAGAATTAGTGTTCCCTATGCTCAATAGAAATAATTGTAGTGTCTTCTCATTCAAGGACTGTTGTTTCTTACTCTAGAAAGATAGAGAAGGGTCTGCAAGAGTAATTATGAATTATCATTACTAAGATTGCTCTGTGGAGAGAATTCTCAATAATTAATTGTTATACACTAGAAATGTCATTTTGTGGAGCTGATTTTGGTAAATACGAGTATTTTCATTTTAATTTGGATATCTACAAAGAAATTGCTTAATCATTTTGTCTGTCTATAATCGATTGCTATGAACCAGAATAGATCAAAGTTAAGTAGGTGATGGAAGAGATAGAGTAGAACAGTCTGAAGAATCAACAAAAAGATGATAAGAACAATTCAGGAGATGAAGGATCCGATTACTCTAATGATGATCCAAAGGAGTAAGCAATGCCCCAGTAAATTCAAGTTTAGACCAATGATTAATGTAATTATTTATTAATGTCTATGTAGAATTGGGTTCATAGACCAAAAAACTTAAAAAAATACCACTTCTACCTCCAAAGAAGAAAAAAGGACTATGAATATGCATTAGAATAATTAACTGATTAAATAATTTAAATTTATGAATTATCCACCTTGGGGGACAGTCATGGGATAACCATTTGGTGTTCCAGCTTATTCTAACATTGGATTCGTCTTCGACAGAAATAAAATCCATGAATATCAGTGTTATTGGCCCAAAGAAGAAACTGGTTTAGCAAGAGATGTTTATATTGGATTTAAGTATATCTCAAATCTTAATTTAGATATCAATGTGTTGAATATGCAAGAAGATTTCTAACCTTGTATTTTAAAGCTGCCTTCTAAGATGTTCCACATGCCCATCATATTTGGGCACTTGAGACAATAGAAGATTGCACAAAAGAAGAAGGAACGTTCCCTTTTGTCAATTTCCCAAACGGCTCTAAAGAGTTTGTTATTCATTTTATGTAGACCACCCAAGATTGGAGATATCATCATCTATCCTTACTCAAAGGAACAAAGATTTGGCCATGTTGGAGTTATTATCAATGTGAATTTGGAAGAAAAGATTGTTGATATTGCTGAACAAAATTACGAAGAGGCTGGATGGGAATGTCCAGAATATGCAAGAAGATTGATCTTGAAAATTTAAGATGGATAGTATTTCATAACAAATAAAAGAATTGGGTTATATTTCAATTTTATCCTATAGAAAACCTTATGATAATTGGGACGCCAAGGAAGAAATATTTGGATGGAAGAGAATAGACTTTAACCCAAAGCTATGACTGTTAATTTAATTCATTTTTGAATTCTAATTGCTCTAAAACTTATTATATAATTTTATGCTAAATGTTAATTAAAATTTGATTCAAAAATTGAATTAGCAAGTTAAATGAAAAGTAAGAAGGAAATTATAAAGATATAACATTCCTCAATAGAGATTAAAAATATACTTAAAATAGTGATATCTTCTTACTGACAATTACTTCAAAGTCTCATCCCATCTATCATAAATGATATTTTTGAATTTCTATTCATTTTTAAGGATCCTAATATCAAAATTTCTGAAACTTCTTTTCCCAAATTATTGATCCTTTAAATCCTGTTTGAAGTATCGAATTTAATATATTAAAACATTTAAGGTAAATTATTCTCAATTGTAAAGAAAGAATAAAGCATAAAAGAAATGCAATTAAATATATTCTAGCCATCCTCATGACATTTGAGAATGCACAATGTGATATGGATAATTATCCTTTGATTTTTGTTCATTTTATATTGAAATATAGATATTTATATAAAAACTTTCAACAAAATAGGGTTAGTTGTCAAGTACTTGAAGAATTCTAGATTTGATTAAGTAATTTCTTATAATATTACCATATATAATAATCAAATTAAATCACAATAAAGACTGTATATAAAAATTTCCAATTCAGATTAAAAATGATTTTATATAGAATTTTTAGTATCTGATAAAGTTTTTTCATACTCACTATCTATGATTTTTTCAATTTCATAAATTGCATTTTATTTAAAATCAGCTAAATCAACCATTTTATTAAAAACATTTTTATCAAAATCATTAACGAATTCAGTATCTACAATAATATCATGACCTAATTGATAATTCTAATTGATGTAAAAATTTAACTAATTCTAAAATTTTGATATTTCATTCTTATAGTTATTTTAAAGGGAGTCAATTTTTTATAATAAATTTTTAAACTTTGCAGTCAATTTATCAAAAGATTGTTAGTCATATGTATATTCAGGACTCAGATAAAAATGTTATAATAAAATTGCTTTTAGAACTGAATGAGTTAATTGAAAACTATATTTTTTGTCCTTAAATAACTCATTCAAAGCTTTGATCTATTCTTAATTCCAAGACATATTATAAATAGACTAATCTTAATCATCTTTTAATCTATCGTTGTAGTTGATACCTTGAATTAAAAGTTCTAAATTGTCTTAAGTAACAACTTATTTACTATTTATAAGCTAATATAATTCTTATATTAGTTGTATTAGATTTTAATTATCTTTTTATTTCTTCGCACACGAAGAGTTATTAGCAAATTAGATTGATAAATCGAAATTAATAAATCTCACATCTATATATTTAAAGCAATTTACAAAATATAAATCTTTTTTTGATACTATTAAAATATTATCAGCACTTATATTATTGAGATATAATTAATGATCATGCCAAATTAATTATTTTTCCATAAAAATACTCCAAATTAATATTTAGACTACCTTTATTTATATCTTATCTATTTTACCTTTCTTAAGCTTTTCAATAAATATCTTAAGTGGCAGCATAAATCTATGATTACCTAGGTAATATTAATAAGTGGTATTGTTTTCATCTTCTTTTAAACCATTTGGTTGATTGTTATAATATTAATTCTGATGTATGAAATTATTTTTTTAATTTTCAAAATACTCCTTCACCCTTTTAGTTTGATTATTAGTGAAACTATTTTGACAGAATTTAAGAAAGTAAGGAACATCCAAACTCAAAGGTTAGTTTTATTAATCTTTATTTTCACTCATTCTAATTTTTATAGAATTAGAATTTTTAAATAATAATTATTAAATGCAAACAAGAATCGGAATTGAATATTATTACAATTAAATACTTTAGAATTTAGAAGTTTTTAGTTTACTAATACTTTAATAAATTCATAATAGTATTCATACTAATCAAAGGCAGAATCCAATTCAACATCCTTAATGGTGAAGTTTTATTTCTTTTTGGAGATATATACAATTTTAAATATTTCCTATTCTACGTAATATCATTTAAAGGATAAACTGTTTTATATAAGGATGATGAATTTGAAAGAAATGTTGGTATCATTAATTTCTAATTAAAAAAATATAAATGAAGAATATGATTATAAAGTTGGTATACGAAATTTATAAAAAATTGTAAAGCAAGAGACTTTAGTGGATTTAAATATTTTTATTACTTTTTTCTCATCTAATGATATTAAATAATCATAAGCAGCATAAAAATAAAATACTTATTCTAAAATATAAAGAAACAATAAAGAATTAACAAAAGATAAAATTTAGGAACATCGGAATTTTTAAAATTTACAATAGAAAAAATGCAAATATATATTGAAAGAGGATTAAATTCAAGAAATTATATAAATTCTTATAATTAGATAAAAGAAATAGTTAATTTTTAGTTTTAACTTTAGAAGAAGAAATAAATATGAATAATCATAAAATATTGAAAGAGAATCTAGAATCAATAAGAGATTCTAAACCCACACTCTTTACACTTAGATTAGTAAAAGTAGTTTTGAGTTGCACAAACTCTACATTGTTTCATGAAATCGAAGTTTTTATTTACTGTTTCTTATTATGTGTATGACAAATTTTCTAGGAAAAGAGCCTGATGGAATGCAGTTTAATCTTGTGAGTTACTTTCTACACTGTCAGCAGTACTATGTCCACTACCTTTAAGATCAGGTTCTTCTAATTTTAATGTTTCTATAATGCTGGGTTATTCAAGAGGAATAAATTTAGTGCCTGGAGTATCCCTTGAAAAAGTGTGGCAACGATTGCAATACTTTCTGAAGGAATAGTTGAGGTTTTTGCATCCAATACATATCCAATCTAGAGGTTTATGTTACATTTTTATTGAATGAATATATAATTTATTTATTTATTTAATGACAAAACAATTCATTCACATGCAATTTTGTAGTCAAAACTGGTTAATGCAATTTAAAATGCCTGTAAAGGAGTAATAGGATATTAGAAATCTAAATTAAAAAGATCATCTCCAACTCTCCCAAATTGCAGTAAAATATTGTCCTCCTTATTATCGACTATGAGTTGAAAATTTTTGACACTTGGCTTATCTACTCTTTAGTAGAAATTAAGAACAAAAGCCTTGTGTTTGCTATTCCATTAAGGGGGCCGATTGACATATGTTGCAATATGATCTCTGTTGTTATTTTAAAATTCCTTCAGTATTCCATCCTTGGAATTAGTTGGCTTGAAAACATAAAGTTAATCTTCAGCATCCAAATTCGGCATTAAAACCTTAATAAGAAGTATAAGATACCACCATTTTTCTTGGCCCTTTGGATCCTAGAATATTGCTTTCATATTAAACGATGCCAAGTTGTTATCGAAGTTTAGATTGATCCTTTGTTTTATCAGGATTCAACCCTGCATCATATAAGACAAATTCAGTTCCCATAAAATTACTTCTGACTTTGCCGATAAAATTATTCCCTTTTTCCAAATCCTCTCTTGACATAGATATTATATAATTGCTGGTGTTATTACAAGCCCTCTTCTTTGCACTCATCAAATACAAAAATCCATTTGATAAGTGAAGATGATATTTTGGATAAAATCTGCTCATTCCACTTCTATCTCTCTTGATTGTACATTAGATCATCCCTCCTTTGGGAGCTGGGTTTAAAAGAAAATGCTTCTTTCCGTGGGGAAATTCAATGGAAGGGAGAGGCTTTGGATATGGACAAGTTTGTTTAGGTTATTCTTAATGAACTTATTGGATTTCTTGCTTACTCTGTTATTATTCTATAATTTCAGATGTATCATTAGTGAGATCCATTTAAACTTTGTCATGCTGCTGTTTCAATTCTTTCCTTATCTCTTATTCTTTTTATTACTGAGACAACAATCCATCGTCATCCACATTCTCATCTTCATCTTGAACTATAATTTCTTATAACTCCTGATAATTATTATTATTTTATATTATATTCTCCTCTTCTTAATTTGTCTATTTTTAAATTATCACCTCATCATCTTGAGCAATATTTTCTTTTGGTCTGGTTTCCTAATTTTCACTTTACACAAATTATATTTTATGATTTTGCTTTGAGAGTTGAGGTAAAGAATCATCTTGGCTTAATTATTGTCCAGGCTCATAATATTGGTTATGATTATTTCCAATAATAGCAAACTTAAATATTAATGGATACTTACTTTCTCAATTTCTAATTCGAAATCCTGACCATAGGTAGACTCATTTTGACCAAGTTTTTTTTTGTACTGTTTATTGTTCTATAATACACTTAGCTCTTAAAATTCTAATGTAGGCAGTGGTTTTGTATATTATTAAGGCTATAAATCATTTTATTGCTTTATACCTTTTGTTCCTCCTATTTATTTTGAGTATCTACTAATGGATTTGTATATTTTATTGTGTCTTCCTATTCTGGATCTGAATTAAATTAAACTAAACTTTCAACCATTTCATCATTCTATTTGATTTCAATTTCTGCATATTTCTTTTGTATTTCTATCTCTTTCTGTAACTCTTAAATCGATTATTACTTATTAAATTCTACTCAAGGGCTTACTTTCTTATTTAGGCTCTTCTTTTGTTTTCGCTGAAAACTTTGTGACATTCGATCGACCTTTCGGTTATTATCTTTAACTAGATTAAGGATTTTGGTTGGCAGATTCTTAAGCATCTTCTATGAGTTAAGGATTAAGGAACATATTAGACTATATTAATTGATAATGTAAATATCAATTATTAAATCAATCAGTAGCTCTAGATACGAAACATGACATAGCTATCTAAAAGGCCTGCAAAGGTGAGATCGGCCATTAGAAATCGAGATTGTATAATCCTTTTTCAATTTTCCCCAAAAGAAAAAATACTTTATTATTATCTTTTTGGCACAATTATAAATTCTTAGACGACGCTATCAAAGCTCTATTGTAAAATGGTAAAACAAACATCTTTGCTTCTGAACAATATTCTGCTTCTCTATTCTAAAATTCCTAAAAATTTTTTGGTTTACTCTCGAAAAATTGAAACTTTTGTTAGCGGTATTCAAACATCTAATTGCTTTAGGTTATTTCGGGTAAGTATACCTAATTTCCATAATTTAATTACTTTAATTTTATGGGGTTTCTTCAATCCATTTTTTTAATAATTAGCTCCTCCTATGCATAATCTATGCATACTAATTGTAGAACATTTTTTAGGATTTATCTTGTTATCCAAAAATATAAAATTTTAGCCATATTTATCCCATTTTATTTTGCCAGCAAAGTAATTGATTCCAGTTGACTTAAAAATAATTTTCTTTTTTTATTTGATGTCTATTTATTCAGCAGTTAACATTGGGTATTCAAAAATAGACATTTCATATTTTGAATTTTACTTTGATGATCTAATTTTACGAATTTGACATTGTAATATACCCTCATTTAAAATTGGCTATAGAATAAACTAAATTTTATCAAATGGAATTCTTATTTGTTTTATTGGATTTGGGTAAGCAAGTTTATTGCTTTAACCTAAGTTCTCTGCGCTCTGTTTTTCAATTTCATTTTCAAATACTGAGTATTGAACAGAGAATTAAACCTTCTCAGATTCTTCATTTTTATCCTAATTTTTCTTCACCTCTTTCAAAAGAGTTTCTTTATCATTTGACTCAAATTTTGAAAGAGTTACATAATCTTAAGACTAAATTTAATTGCTCTTTGATCCACTGAATATCTAAGGAATAATTGATTTATTCATAATAAAATTATTTTAGTTTTTTAAGTATTAAAATGAATTTTATTGTGAAAAATTTTGAAAAAAAAACAGAATAATAAATTCTAATAGGCTTAATTTTCGATTTTGAATTTTGAAAGGAATTATTTACTTGTCATTTATAAATATATTCAGTTTTAAACAAAGAAAGATGGAAATTTATATTTATTGCCTCATAATGTGAGTCTGTTAATTAAATTTGTAAATTGAATGCTATTTATCTAAGGAATTCTTGAGAATGGATTGTTATTGTAATTTTAAATAATAAAATTACAAGCGCTAAATATTGTTCTATATAATATATTCTGATAATAGAAGTCTCAAGAGTTTGATAATATTATATATTTACTACCCTGAGCTTAGGTTGCTTTATATTTATGGATAAATGTTATAATTTATTATAAAATAAAAATTATTGTTATGAGCAAGATAAACAACTCTTATTTAGATTTTACAAAGTAATACAGGAATCTTAGAGAAAAACCAGTTTTAGAGGCTTATGATCGAATTGATAATCCAACAACTAAATTTGATAATTTCTTGAAGACATCAACATTTTCTAAAAGACTTGAAAAACCTTCATAAAATCAATCAGAATTATAATCAAAAAAGAGAGGACCTACAAAATCTGATTACTTTTTTATAGAACATAATCCAAGATTTAAAGAGGATTAAAATTGCAATTAAAAGATATTTGGATAAAAGTAAACTCAATTTCATAGTGATATAATTGAAAATATCAGAAACGATTTTAAATAAAAAAATTATTCATTTCATTATCAACCTGATAAGTTAGATTATTCTAAAGATTAAGGACTACCAATATAACCTAAAGAGAGAGTTAAAGAATTATAATTGGTTAAAAAGGAATAAGAATTGCATAGGTCTTTGAGGTAGGATGCAAATTTCTTAAATAGAAAAAAAAGGATATTGGAAAATCTGCATAAGAGTGAAACCTTAACTCAAAATAAGCATAGAAACATAAGTTAATTTTTATAAATTAATGTTAGGTTATGATAAATATCGTAATTAGAATGAAAGTCTTGAGTTCAACAATAGTAATACTATTATAGGAGATAAAATGAATTTATCTTTCCATCTATCGAAAGATTGGAAATGCAAAAAAAGATCTGAAACTTCAAGACTTGATACTTTTGAAAGAATCTTAAGTCTATAGCCAACAAATATTAAAGTGAATATAGAGAGAATGAATTATTTAAAGTTCAGAGAAAACTGCGGGAGGGATTACAAAATTGTAAATTTAACAAAAGATGAATGATGATTTTTACTAAACGAAAAATTTATTCACTACATCTTCGAATAAGTTTAGTATATTTTAGCATAAAATTGTGTTAGAGAATCAATCTATTTTCTTATTTTCTATTATTCAAGTTTGACTTGTGCTCTAATTAATATCTATTAAATACAAATATTTCTCTGATTCTTAAATGCTTCTCTATTTAAGTAGATCAATTCGCTCTAAGCTTTATAATTGCGCTTTCAATTGTTGGGTTAACTTCTTGTTCTCATTATCTTTATTTGACTTTTCCAATTTTTTTAAGAATTGTAACATTTTCTCTGTATCCTTCTATTCACAATTCAATTCAGGAACAATCAAGCCTGGCTTACTTAACAATGTATTCCAGGAAATTTCTTTGGATTATGCGTAAAATACCTCTAAAGAAAGGATGGTTCTTAATCTCCTCAATGGATCTATGTCCTAAACGGTTGTTATAATCTGGTTCTAATAATTTGATTATTAGATCATAAGCCTATTCAGATATGCAATCTTCTCCATCTCCAATTGAAGGCCATTCAATTCTCATATTAAGAATGTTGTCAAATATTTTATCTACTGTATCATCATTAAATGGAGCAATTCCACACAACAATTCATACATAATAATTCCCAAACTCCAATAATCGCAACTGAAATTACTGGCAGATGTCCCTAAGATTATTTCTGGAGCAATGTAATCAGGAGTTCCAACAATTCTAAATTTCAAGATCAATATACTTTTTAGTTTTACTGCCTAATTTATCTACTAGAATGGACTCCACCTTCTTCAATTATTTGTATACTGTCTGATAGCCTTCCTGATCAATCATTTATTCCACACATGTTGGTATTTCAATGGTATTGAAAGAATTCATGCTGTCCTTTAATTTTAATCTACTATTAACACCTTGTTCTGACAGACCAAAATCAGCAAGTTTGGCATGTCCTTGACAATCTAAAAGAATATTCTCTGGTTTTAAATCTCTATGAACTATGTTTTATTGTCTTAAATAATCTAAGGCTAAGATTATTTCTGCCATGTAATGACGAACATAAAACTCATCTAAAGCCTAAGAATAATAGGGATAAATACTGTGTATGTTTTCAGAATGCTTGCTAAGTCTCCGCCCATCATATATTCCTAAACAAAACATAAATATTGTTCATGCACAAAAGAGAAATATGCTTTGACTACAAAATTACTATTTAGAATTTCAAAGATATTCCTTTCTGCCTTTAATTGTTCAAGAAATGCCTCTAAATTCTAATTCAAAATAATAATTTTACTCTTTAAGCACAATCAATGATTTTTAATGCATATAGGTCTCCAGATCCTTTCTTTTTAACAAGAAATACCCATCCATAAGCACCTTTGCCTAATGGCTTAATGAATTCAAAATCTTTAATTCCAACTTTTGAAGTTTAATCTTGTGAAGGAACTACAGTTTTAATTAAATTAGAATCAGAATGATATCCCTTATCAATTTAAATTTCATCAAATCCATAATCTGGCATAATTGGAGGAGATTTGCAAATCTAATTTTCATAGAATCTACTCTTTCGATGTTAAATCGCACGACTTTGTTACATTTTTTCAATATCTTAAGAGTGAAAGGTTTGCTTAGTTTTCGCCCTTTTTTTACTCGGTGCTTTTTGTGAACCTATTAAATTACCATCATTATTGCTGGCTGAATTAGATTTCCCAGATTCAAAACTAGATAGATTAGATGAATTATCTCCTTCTTTGATAGATGGATTTAATACATCTATTTAAGGACTTATTTCTTATAGTGATGGTTATTTTTTCTCAACATTTAGTGGTTATACTTATGCTTTGAATTAAGAAAGCTTTTTTAAAGTGGGTGACTATTATTAATCTATGTCATTTTTAAGTTCAGTATTTTTCAACAATTTATCAATTTTATTATCTGTATTATTGGAATTAATAGATTAATTTGATTCACCAAAATGGAAGCCACTTGATTTAGATTAATTAACTGGTATTGATATATTCTTTAAGGATTTAGGTGATTCAGATCCATCACTGACTTTGAATATAGAAGAATTCATTCTAAATCCTTTTCTTTAGGGTATAATCTTTTAAGAGGATTTCATTTAAAGTTGTGTTGGTGAATCGTCTTCTTCTTGAATAGGATCAGTTGATATTCTTTAAGATGGAGACGATGGACTATTCTAAAATTTAGGCACTCTAAATGAAATTGAATTAGATTTGGTAAATGCTCTTTTTATATTGTTGATTTTGTCCTCCGATTAATCTTATTTTTATTGGTTTTTTGTGTTTTTATAAACTTCTTGTTTCTTATGATATTCTAGTCTCTCCAATAGACATTTATGAGTTGAATTAATTATATTTAAAGCCTCTTGATTTTCAATGCATTCAGTTGAACTCACCAAATCATTTAATAAAACAAGAGTCACTAAACATTTAAGATTTAATAATAATTACATTTAGTATCTTCGATTTCTACCTCATTGTTGAGGGTTTTTTCAGCAAAATTAATAATTTAAGTCATAATATTGGCAATATAATTTTATTCTTACTGATATTCTCCCGTTTCTTCTTCTTCATCATACTAATCATCTAGAGTTTGTATTCTTCTAAAACCAAATTAAGTATTTGCGTATTGCCTTTATTTATTTTTATCTTTCATTCTTAAAATTAATAGGCATTCTTACTTTTTGATGGCTAACTTAACTTAAACATTCCTTTTTTCTTAATAGGCATAGTCACATAAATTGGCTAGTTCTAAGTTCAACTCAATATATCTTTTTTTGCTTTCAGCGTTTTTTTCACACTCAATACAATGTTGATTCATATCAATGGACTGCACTTATTATTCACAAATTCTGCAGATAAACAATTTTGATTGGTTTTTTGCTACTCTATTTGCATCTTGATTCAATTAACTTTTTACTAAAAGGAGATGTACTTTTGTATATTCTTAATACATTGACAAGCCCATCTGAGTTGATTAGGAAATGTTTATTTGTTAATCCAAATTTTACTGATAACATCAAAACTTATTCTTAATTTTAAAGATAACAATTTAAAAGATCTATTTAAGTCTAAAAACAAAGAAAATACTTTGCTAATGATTTTCTAGGGACAGAACGTCTGAATGATATTTTTTTTATGGAATCTCCATCTATTTTTAAAAATTCATCAAGCAAATTGTTTATTTTGTTATTGATTTCTTGCTATCCTTCAAATTGATCAAGTTAGAAAAACTAATAGATGGTTAGCAATTATGATTGCAAGTTTTTAATGGATTCTTTCTAATAATTTGATAATGTAAATTGTTACTGCTTGCAATTGATAGTAGTTTTATAATATATCGGCAGTTAATTTAATAGCTATAGGATGTGGTTTTAATATTTTTATTTATTATTCGATATAAAAATTAGTCACAAATGGTTCATCTTTCTGCATTTACTAATATATTTTATATTAATAAAATAAATTGTATTAAATTATTGGATATATTTTATATATTATGTACCCATCAATATGGTTTTACAAACCCTGTTGGGAATTCAGTAGCAGTCTTGAATTCCAACATCTCTGGGTATCTGTATCCCTTGTGATACAACTCTCTGCTTAACACTTACCACAATCCAGGTTTCATCACAGATAATTATGTTCTTAATTGATTAATAATTTTATACCTAATGTACTAACCATCAACAGTTGGATCTGCAATGATCTTAGTAAACAATTTATTCGGAATTGGAGAAGTATAAGCCTTCCATAACACCAACATATGAACAGATGCAAGGATTGGCCCATAAGCCTTATTGGCTCCTTTTCTATTGGCTCCTGCAAACAACCATTGTGTTCCTATAAGGGAGAATGGCAAAAAGGCCAAAGGTGCAGAAACAACGATATCATTCAATACTTGACTGCAGTTTTTGAAATTGAACAACATCTAGGGATTTTAGATAGCCATTCCTTACTTCTCTACTTAAATATTAATCCAAAAGGACTTCCATCACTTCATAGTATGATTCAATGCTCATTGCAATGTCTGATCTTGTGCCACCAACATATGAATAGAAGTTGTTCTTGAACATTACTTTATTTTTATTTTATTAATCTCATTTATATGTCTATTATAAATCTCTTTTTGAGAGCTTATTTTGGTTTTTTTAAAATAAACTGTCTTTCTACTCCAATCTATTAAATCTGACTCTATATCTCTATCAAAAGTAAATTGATACATTGAAATATGATTATTTGCTTAAATAATATGCAGATTTAATGAAGAAATACCTCAAATTTATAGGGCCATTCCTAATAGTTGTTTAGGTTATCATAAAATGGTTAGACTATTTATTATAATATTCTAAGAGGACTTTTAAAAACATTATGATTATATTTTATATTAATGTAGACAGATACATAGTATCAATATTTAACATTTTTTACTTGCTTTGTAATAATTTAAGACAGTTTTACTAACTCTTAAACATAATTAGCTGATAGTTGATGAACTTCTGATTAAGTACTGTGATCAACTTTACTTCGTAGTTCTATCAATTCTTTTAAGGATAATTTATCCTAAAGAGTTTTTCCAGAGCCTTTATTAAAAACAGGTTTTTCTGTGATGGTGCTTGAGAACGTGGTTCTCTTTGGTTAAGCCTTTGTTGATTAATATAGGGGCTAGTTACTAATAAATCTATATTTATAATAGCATTACGGTTGAATTAATTTGGTTAGCTAATTAATTTCATTGTTTCCAAGACTCCCTATTTTATTTTATAACCCACTCATCTTTCTAGATGAATCATTTATACCTTTTTTTTGATTTGATCCATTTTGTATTTATGTAAACCCATTGCCATTATTCATCGATTTAAGCAATTCATCAAATGAAGGAGCACTATTAATAAATATGTTACCCACCTTTTTCTATGTTGAATATCAGTATAGAGAGAAGATTTGGAGGATTTCTTAACAGAACTATCCTCTTTGCGGTTGCTACTTACTTTTAGGGTACTGGGACTGGACATTCTAAGATACAAAGAATCACGAAATTTATTCAAATTGAAGTCTTGCTCATTCCCTAATGATTCTTTCTAAGTCAACATTAACGATATAATAAAAATTTAATAATTTTATATAAAACATTTAATCAATCTAAACTTTTTTATATCATATTAATCACTTATTGACCAATAATTGTAGTGCGTCTATATTAATATAATATATTACTTTAAATAATATTCCCAATATGTTATTTTATTAGTGTTCAATAGATCCAATTCCTAAAAGTATTATCTAGCAATGGTTTTGTTACACTACTAACACAATTCTTATTCATCAAAGTACCCCTTGTTGCTTTTATCAATTTTCTCATAAATCTATCTATCTTATTTAGGACAAACAGTATCTAAAAATTACCCCATCTCATTAACATCTACAAATCCATCTCTTTGTACATCCACCTAATAGAACATCTCATCTAATTCCTCTTAAGAAGGATCATGAAGCAATTACTAAAACACAACCTCCATCTTGAATCTAAAAAATGCCTTGCTTATCTTCTATAAAGTTGATTCAGGAAAAATCTCATCAAATATCTATTCTGCAGTTAATTGCGATAATAAGCAATATTTTCCTTTTTTAGTAGTTTCAACATCCTGACACACCATACTTTGACAAGGTACAATGAAATTAAGGCTTCTACTGTCAGCAAATGATTCAATAGTTTTCTGAGTTTAACAAGTAGCCCTGCATTATTTCAAAAAGTCAGGTGCAGTAAATAGATCTGCATATTTTTTCATGATGTCATCTTCTGTTATTACAGGTTTATATTAGTCCTCATCATTAGTAGCTACAAATTATTATGTTTATTATCTTTCATTTTAAGTATTTTAAAATTAAACATATTCATCTTCTTCATATTTGTCTAATATTTAAGATTAATAAATGTTTTCATTTTAATGTTCAAACTTCTACTTGATTATTTGTTGATTGTGTGTTTCTTGTTTTCCTTATTTAGAATTTAATACATCAGAATTGTATTTTCCAATACTAATACCTTAAACATCTTGAGATCTTTAAAGATCAGTTCCCATTTCTTGACTTGAACCTTCTAATTATTATTCTTTTTTAGATTAGGTTGACAATTTAATTTCTATTATTTCAGTATTATGATGTTGATGAATTCCAATATCTTTGGGCATTTACATATAAGAATACTATCTTCTATGATGATTCTATTATTATATATTGTCTTCTTCTTTTTCTTTTTCTTTTTCTTTTTCTTTTTCTTTCTCTTTTTCTTTCTCTTTCTCTTTCTCTTTTTCTTTCTCCTTATCTTTATCAGGTTCTACAAACATCCATGTTTAATCTTTTGTAAACTGCAATTCACAATAAAATAACATACATTTTAAAAACTAGCCAGAACGATATCATCTCTCTTTTTTGTATACTCTTATTAATCGAATAATTTTTAAAAGTTCTCTCCCTATGTATATTGCTTCAGTTTTTGTTCAAATTACTCCAATTATTATCTTTGTTATTCAATTTTATGTGGAGAAACACTTAAAATAATTAAGATAACTATTTACAATTCAAATTCTGGAGAATTGGGACTGTTTTATTTTATATCTTCATTGAATCTTGGAGAGTTTTCTTATTTAGGAATTATTGACTATTTAGTTTATCTGCTTAAAGATCTTTTAGGTGGACTTACAAAATTTCTATTTTTTTAAATACTTGCAGTTTATCTTGAAGGAGTTCGCGAGGTTTTGGATTGAGAAATATTTACTTAGTTTTCTTTTGATGTTCTAGTATTAAATTATATCTGAGTTTATTATTATTATTTGCCTTTGACTTTATTCAAAAGTTTTCTTAACTCTTATTATAACAACCTTAGATCTACATTATTGAATGATTATTCATACCATTCTTCTTCTTATACGTTGTAACTAATGAAATTATTTCTGAATTACTGTCCTTGATCATCTATCTGAGAGTCAACCTATCATCCTTCATAATTTCTAAATTCAAACAATATCATACATGCACATCTATCTATAATAGCCAGCAATTCAGCATTATCATGTTTAATGCGATTTTGAATCCTGAGCATTCTAAATTATTCAATTTTTCTGTTATTAATTATAATATTAAATATATATGATTAATATTAATTACTCATCTAATTAACAACATTTTTTAACAAATTTCTCATTTCAACTCTTCATCTCCATTCACTTCAATGTTTGATACAAGTTTATATTAAAATTATCTAAATGACCTTATTTAAGATTATTCAAAATATTTAATATATATATTCTAAAAGATATTTTGAATTATCCATTCATTAATAATAACATATATTTTAAGTATACTGTAATGGTTTTAATATATATATTGTATTTAATCCTTCCTGGCCATATTAAGCTAATTACATTATTATGAAAATATCTTAAGAGTAGATATCAATGTATGGAGGATAGTTTTGATTGCTGAGATATTCGAGCAACTAATTTAGATAATTAAATATGAAAAGATTAATGTGATCTTTTTTTAATTATCTCACTTAATAAGTTAATCATAAACAACAATTTATTCAATTTTCATATATTAAATTAGAAATCATTTTTATTATAAGTCAAGTATATAAATGAAAAGGGAATTTTTCAATTAAGGTATTTTCATAAATGTAATTTTGGAATTCATATCCAAATAATGTTATGTTAATAATTATTTAATAAAATATCTAAAATGAGTTCAGATTCGCTAATTTAAGAAGCCCTTTCTTAATTTATTATGCTACGAAGCCCTTAAGAATTACTACATGAATTTAAGACCTAGGCTTTGAATTTAGAATAGATCAGATAACTAGTGTAAGTTTTCGATCCAAATATCCCTAACGAGGACATAAAGTACTTTTATCTGAAGATGATTACCAAATTCAAAAGTCCTGCTGGAATAACATAAGATATCTATTAATAAATAGTGGATGATGAAGAATTTACATTGAGAGCTGGATCATCGAATTCTTATGAATCTTTACCCCTGTTAAAGAATATCATCAGGGGAGTGAGAGAGAAGAAGGTACCCATATAGAGATTGTATAATTTCTATGACAAAAATAAGGACAAAGAACTTTAAGACCCCGAATTCAGAAATTTATTAGAATTCTTTTACGTGGCAATTACAGATGCGCAATTCAAAAAGCTCAGAGAGGAATTTCCTGATCATCCACTTAGTGAGAGTGTAATCATCAGTCTCTTTGAAAAATGGTAAGAAATTGTATTCGAAAATACCCAAGGTGATCCATAAATAATTTTGGAGGCTCCAGCAAGTATAAATATTAATTGAATTTTAGAAACATAAAATTTCTTGACTATTCCCAAACCATAATAAACAATTAGTTTAGAATTGACAAGGGAAGAGGATGAAAGATTTAAAGATTTTATGGGAGTTGATTTTAAGATTCCAGGAGTTAAAGAATTGGCCGATCTCTAAAAGAGATGCTAATAAACTTAAGAAGTATTTACAGATCCTGATTTTCCCCCAAATGTAACAAGTTTGGGACCAAAATTCAGTGCCAATAGTTGGAAACGTTTATAAGAGCTTTTTTAAGGAGAGCAGAAAGTTTTTTCAATAGATACTCAACATGATAAAAGTGGTGCTGGCTTAAATAAATGGATATCCCATAGAGATATTTGTCAAGGTGATTTAGGAGACTGCTATTTTATGTCAACCTTAAGCTCAATAGCCTGCAAATGGTATTTATATAATCAATAATTTAGGCCTGATCAAATTAAGGATCTGTTCCCTATTTAGAGAGCTAACAAATTTGGTGTTTATGGTGTTAAGATGTGCATTAACGGAGAGTGGAAGGTCATCCCTATTGATGATAATATACCAGTCAAAAACGGTAAAATTGCCTTTACCAAAAATGCTGATAAAGAGATTTGGGTGTCATTGCTAGAAAAGTCATGGGCAAAAGTAAATGGATCCTATACCAATATTGATGCCGGAGATCCCAGAGAAGTTATCAAAACAATCACAGGAGGTCCAGTTTGGCTATTACTAACAAATAAACCAAGTTTCAAAGAAAATTTCATTACTTGTGTTAAACAAAAATGTGTTATGGTGACTGGTACATATAGTAAAAATGCCGACTACTCTGCTATTGGATTAGAACCAGGACATGCATACTCTATCTTAAATGTTAAGACTGTAAATCATCCTTAAAGAGGACAAGTTCATTTACTTAAGATAAGAAATCCATGGGCTCGTAAAGAATGGAAGGGTGATTGGGGTGACGATTCAGATTTGTGGACACCTGAATTGAGAGAGCAAGCTGGAAATACAGGAACAGAAAATGATGGAATCTTTTTTATGTCATTGGATGATTATACTAAATACTTCTTTTCAGTGTTCTGTGGATATTTCAAAACAGATTACATTTATAACTCTATGAGATTCAACGTTAGAAGAAACAAAGGAGTGTATTTTGAATTCGAAATTAAAAAAGAAGGAGAATACTTCTTTGCCATTCATTAGGAATCTACTAGATAATATAGATCTCAACCTGAATTGAAATATGAATATTCTTATGTTAGACTATTGTTAGCAAAGGAATTACAAAATGGATATGAGTACAGAGAGGGAAAATTCTATAAAGACATAGAAACACATGTTGGCAGAGTAGGTGAGAATTTCACTCCTGGTAAATACATTTTATACATCAAAATCAAGTGGCATGTACCATCTTGGAATGAACATTCAGTTGTGTTGAGCACTTATGGAGAACAATATGTGTAATTGAAGGAAGTTCCCAGGGATCCAAATCTTGTTTCTTAGACAATGATGCATCAAGTCAGATCCAACAATAAGGTGGAAGAAGTATTGCCAGGAATCACTATGAAGATGGATAACAATGGAAATCTAGGGTTATTTATTGTTTACTATTTTTAGAATTGGTTACATCTATTATAAGAATGAATCCAATCAATAAGTGAACTTTGAAACCAACTTAGTGAACAAGGGAGGTTGTAAATTAACCAAACCTGAAAGAGGTTATTATTTCAAGAGTTTTATTCCTCCTTAAGGTGAAAGATTAGTTACTTTTACAATCACACCTCCAATAACTGAGTTGTCCATGCCCACATTAAGTCATAAATTATTATGATTATTATTATATTTCATCATCATCAAAAATCATGGTTTTTGGTTCGTTTATTAAATTGATTAACTGAATAAATTAACTTAACAATTTATCCAAAATAAGTCATATGCTGTAATAATATATGATCAGATTTCAAATTAATTAGTAATCTATATTAAATAACAAATTTTAAATTGTGATTTTATCAAATTTGAAATTTAATAAATATATTTTTAAATATAAAATATCACTCAACTATGGACTGCAATTAACAATTTTTTCAGACCAGACTAAGCTTTACTCCATCCTCTCCCTTAAAAACAAGGTATAAACTTAATATCATTCTAGACCTCTGCCAAGTCCTTCGTTAGAGAGTCTTGAAGAATTCAATTTAAATGACGTATAATCGGATTCAGAAAGCTCAAGAAAATCATCTGGTTAAAAGTTTGATAAGCAGGTGTTAGTGATCGAATATTTGATCGAAAAACTAAGGGACTTTGAATGAGAACCTCAACATAATTACTAAAGTTAAATAAAAAACGAGAGAAAAAAAATAGCTAATAATTGTATTAAAATCATTTTTTTTCAATCGTTTCTCATCATATTACAAATAAATTAAGACTCCTTCTCTTTTTCACAAGGGTTGGCTTCTCCTATTTGAGTAACAAGGGTAATTATAAATGTTCCTACTATTATTATTACTATTTCTATTATATATTATATAATGATGGCTTGAACCTCTTCGGCTAAGGAAATATATTGAAATCAATTTTGATGTTGTGACATTTTGGAAGTTCAAAATTTGAACGGTTACTTGGCGGGTGAGATGAACTTTATGATTTTGTTTGAGATAATTATCTAAATTATCTCACCCTTAAATCCTCCTGATAAATTGTCGATCCAGATAGATATTTAATATTTAAATTCATTCAATATTCATTTTATTAGATAAAAATTATTTCTTCCGTTGAACATATGAATTAATCTTTTTACATATCGGTAGTTTAAATATCGAATGTATCTGTTCCTTTTTGTTTTCATTCCATTTCTTTTCCACCTCAGGATCCAGAAATGCTAGTTAAATTAATAAATTACATTTCGATTACACCTCTATCACCATCTACTTTGATTGCTCAATATCATTCGCCGTTGGGAATGGCTCTAATTTGCAATTCTCTAATTATCGTTTTATTCTCTCCAAAATTTGTTCTAAAATTTAAACATGCTATATTTATAATAACAAAGAACATACTTTTTTTCTCAATTCATCCAATTATGAATCTATTAAAAGTCCTTATTCACAGCCATATTTTTTACATCTCTTCAGCTAAAACAAATGGATATCATTCAATGAATATTATTAATTGCAGATGCTACAATACTTACTAGTTTAGTTTTTTTCTTATTTTTCAACTTCCTTCTTTTCTTATTAACACTTCTCTTCCAAAATTTTACATTATCTTTCCAAACAATCTACAAATTCATTGTTTATTTGCATATTTTAAAAATGATTGTCTCTTTAGAAATTGTTCTGTTTTCTTTCATCCAACCTTACAATGCCAAAATTTTATAAATTCCTATAATATAGTCATTCTTATATATACATTGCTGCTTGTCGCATGTCAGCTAATCCCATTCTATCATATTCTTTAATCACAGCTTAAAGATCAGAATCTGACATTATCCATTTTCTTTTTTATAAGTAGATCATCAATACTACATAATCATTATCATCCATAAACGCTTCGCACCAAGTTAAAGCTAATTCTCCAAAAGGACCCCAAATTTTTATATTTTCTTCAAACATTAAACAATTATTTATAATAATTATAAAAGAACTTTCTCTAAGTACTTTACCAATCTCAACAACAATTTTTGTGAAACACTCCTTTATATTAATATTTATAGTAATTTAAGAATACTGTAAATTACATACAATTTGATTTTAAGTTAAGTCTAACTATTAATTTATATAGGCTTTTATCGTTTTGAATTATAATTCTATATAGTTTAAATTCATGCTTAGTTTAGCATTATTCTTATTGATATTTTAATTCTTTTAAATTTTCTTATTTGAGGTCGTTCAAATTATTATTTATATTGTAGTTGATCTTAATAGTACTTTTGTCAAACAATTGTCTATAATATATTATTAATCCTTATTATAATTTGGCAATTACTATACAGGTTCTCATCTCAGTAATTAGGCTGATCCGATGAATATTTATGACTTTTTTATTTTATGAAGAGAAATATATTAAAGATATATGATTTTAATTCAAGAATCAAATTTTAAGAATTTCATAATATAAATAATCATGAAAATCATTATTCTTTGTTTATTGTCTTTTAGTGTTTTATCTCAATTATCAAAGTAGACAGTCACACATAAAATCAAGATTGGAGTAACAATTGATGGCAAGAATGAAGGAGAAATTACTTTGGGTTTGTTTGGAAAAGTTGTACCTAAGACTGTAGAAAATTTCAGAGCTTTGTGCACAGGTGAAAAGAACGGCAAGGGCTATGCAGGATCACCATTCCATAGAATTATCCCAAATTTCATGATCTAAGGAGGTGATTTTACAAATGGTAATGGTACTGGTGGAGAATCAATCTATGGAAACAAATTCAATGATGAAAATTTTAATTTGAAACATGAAATCGGATGTATTTCAATGGCAAACGCAGGACCAAATACCAATGGAAGTCAATTCTTTATTACAACTGCTGATACTCATTGGGTATAAACTTTTATATATTCTTTTAGTTAAATGGAAAACACGTTGTTTTTGGAAGAGTCATAGAAAATATGGAATTAGTAAAAAAGATTGAAGGTTAAGGATCATAAAGTGGATAGCCTAAATCTAAAGTCGTATTTGCCACTTGCAGTGCAGAAGTTGTTTCAGACGAATTATGATGAATTATAAAGAGATTTACATTTATTCATTTATTATATATTTATCTGTCTTTATGTTAAAGATGCCCATATTCTTGATTTTGGTGATTTGAAATGAAGAAAAGCCTTAAATTCCAATTATACCTCTGCTTCTCTAAATATTCTATTTTATAATAGATAAGTTCTTCAACCAAATCATTTACTATTTTCTTGATTAATCCTTATGCTTATAGAATGCATGGAGATTTATTAATGGCCTCTAATAATGTTAAATGAACTTATAAACATATTGGTACAATAGTGTGAGTCTATAACACTAAATTCTTAACCTTGGACATAAAAATAAATAATAGTAATATTTTAAATGATATTTCAAAGATATACTATATTTCAAGTAAAGCATTCTTCTCAGGTCTTGTGTTATTTTAATGAAGAATTAATTTTTAATTCATAAGTTAAAAGTGAAGAAATAAATGTGGAATATTCCAAAATCTCAAATAGAAACTTATAATTTATTTAGTATCTTCCACGAGACATCAAAAGCTTTTTAAAAGATTCTTTTTAACACTTTTGGAAATGAATCAAAGAAATTCTCATTGCTCTATAAAAATATAAATTATCCTTAATGAAACTTCAATTTATGGATCATCATTTTTTAGTTTTATTATTATTTAAATTACTATTTTGAGCTCAGATAGTATTAAATAATTCAAATAAGAGGAATAGAAGCATTGTATAATGTATATTACAAAAAATAGTGCAATTCTAAAATATAACAATATTATCATTTAAAAAAGTACTCATTGTTATTACTTTTATTTTGCATTTGAAAAGTTTTATTGACCTTAGATTTTTTTGGTGTCAACTGGAGAATTTTTAGCACTTTGAGACATCTAAACGAAACTTTATTATTTTTGACGGCTCGATTAAATAGCTTAGATTTTTGGAGTATCAATCAAGGATATCGTAAGTGATTTTGGCAATCTTGCTGTTAACACTTCAATTTTTTCATGCTATTTATGAAATAACAGATGTATCTTAGCTTACTGGGATGTTATTCTACTTTAAGGATTTGCATCAATCATTTTAGATAATAAATCTTAGCACTCATTTGAAATGATTAGTTTCTTCAAATCAATATTGCTTAACATATTTTATTGCAATTAAGTTGCATAATCAATTTTTTCAAACGGAGACTTTCCTCCATTTATTAACATATAAAATACTATACCAACACTATAGACATCGACTTTATAGTCATATATTTTATTCATAATGAGTTCTGGGGCCAAATATCCTGCTGTTCCACACCTAGAAAAGAGGTACTTTCCATCTTTTCTGTAAAAGTCTGCCAATCCAAAATCAGCTATGACTATATCTTCTATGTTCTATGCATATCGAAATATCAAATTTTCAGGTTTCAAATCTCTATGTATTATGCCTTTTGAATGAATATAAGCCAAAGCATCTATAATTTTATAAATGATTGAAACACACTAGTCTTAATTTAGTTTCTTCTCATTCATTAGTTGTTTTAGCTCTCCACCTTTTAACAATTCATAGACAACAAAAATATGTGTTTCACTTTCATATGTTTCCAAAAGTTTAATAACTCGGGGATGCTAGACAATTCTAAGAATGTCAATTTCTCTTAAGATTGCCTCTATTTCTATCTACTTTTGTAAATTGCTTTTGTCAAAAGTCTTAACTGCGTATTCACTTTTATTTTATTTTTGAATAGCTTTGTAGACCTTTTAAATAAAAATAATATATACCTTACCATAGGTGCCTTTGCCTATTAGGTTTCCAATGCTATAATTGTTCAAGAAATCGACTTATATGCAATATAATTTCAAGTGGTCAAACCATTCTGTGATTTAACCATAGAATTCAAATTGAAAATTGCCTGAAGTAATCATAATCCCATCTCCATTTTGATAATGATGAATTTTTTTTAATACACAATTTTTCACATCTAAAAACTTGATTTTGTTCTTCCTATATAAAGAATTATTTTACATTTTTACATTACTTCAGAATTCTTGAACCAGTTTTTATGAGAGTCTTAAACTGAAATTCCTTCTTCTTATTAGAAAAAACATATAATTACAGAGTCTTAAAATCACTTGAAGGTTTTTCATTCAGTAATTCCCATTTTACATTGTGATTAAATAAAGAACTCGGTTAAAAATTCATATGAATTAAAATTAAATTATATAAATTAATACAATATTTATCAAGAGAATTGTTCAAGTTTAGTTGAAGATTGTACAGGCGATAATTAAGGAGACCTATGAGAGAAGGTTAGCATTTTTTAAAATCCTCTTCTAATAGCCTCTTATTTCATATTGTTAATGGGCTTAAATGATAAGTTTTATAACTTAGGTGATAATTGCAAGTACTTATCTAAATTGTTATTCGTGTTTATTATGAGTTTTGGAGTGGATATTTTATCAATGCTTTTAGGAGTTTTCCTGATAATAATAGTGCATTTATTGGCTCTGTGATTTCGAAAGACTTGATGATTCAAAGCTGCTCTTACTGATATCCTTCTAATATTATCAGGTTCAAGCATGTTCTGTAATAGATTAAATGCTGATTCAGAGGCATTTGAAACCAAAGAATAATCTATTAAACTTTTATAATTTTGGAACAATTTCTCCTCTGGATCTGTACTTTTGAAAGGAGATTTGCCACCACTCAACATCATAAAAAGAATGACACCCGCACTATAAACATCTATTTTGTAGTCGTATATCTTGTCTTGTAAAATTTCTGGAGCAACATAACCTGGAGTCCCACATCTAGTGTAAATATACTTTCCATCGACCCTATAGAATTCTGCCAACCCAAAATCTGCTATGACTATTGATAATGTGTTTTTGGCTCTTAAGAGAAGGTTGGATGGCTTCAAGTCTCTGTGTAAGATTCCTTTAGAGTGAATATAAAGGAGCGCTTATAACACTTATTTTATTATTAATAAGGATTCTTCTTCCGAAAGATGCTTTTCCTTTATAAAAGTGTATAATTCCCCTTACTCCACCATTTCATATATTAAAATAATCTGTTCATCACTTTCATATGTTTCAAAAAATTTGGTAATTCCTGGATGGCTTAGACTTCTGATTATTTGAAGTTCCTTTGTTATCAATAAGTAATCTTGATAGTTAATAATTGTCTTCTTGTCAAATACTTTGGCAGCAAAGTCTCTTTGGGTAATTCTTGATTTTATTTTGAACACCTAAGATTTTTTAAATATTTTAATACTTTACTAAATGTACCTTTTCCCAGTAACCTATGGATACTATACTTGTTAGCGAAATCTTGTTGAATGCAATAAAATCTTAATTATTCAAGCCAGGCTATCGTCATACCATATAATTCAATAACCTGACCTGCCTTAGTAATTCTGATTCCAGCACCGTAATTAGGTTGTTCAATTTCACAAATTGTTGCATTGAGAATATCTGCGATTTGATATTACCCCTGAGAATAGGATGAAATATTATTACATTCTTTTTTCTTTTAAAAATGAAATGATTTTACAAATACAATGTCTTAACCTTATAGCTATTGTGTTTGCAAGAGTAAATGTAAAAATTTTCTTAAATTGACTCATTTATATTGCGGGAAGCCGTTGTATTCTGCCATAAAGAGCCTTTTGATATGTCAAAGAATGAAGTTGAGCTCACTTACTTCTTTATGTTCATAATTTTAATCAAAATACCCTAATCAAAATTCTAAATTTATATTATAAGTTATTATAATATCTTAGAAGTTAATTATACTTAATAAAATTTTTGTCCATATGGATATATATTTTATTTTTACCAATTTATTACAAATAGGCTTTGTAATTATATTTATAATGCAAATAGGATATAAACAAAAAAAGTGTAAAATTAGATAACTTGATGACCACAATATTTTATATTGGTATTTATAACTCGATATTATTATTAATTCAAATTTGTATAGGTATTCTTTGTAAATTTTGGGGCTTCCCAAATGGACCTTATAAAGGAGAGAAATTAGCGGCGTTAATTCTAGAGGGTGATTACAAAGGGGAGACACATGATTATACAAATCTACTCTTTTGATCTTGAGGTGATTTAAGCTCTAATTTTGGACTTTATAAAGGTGAAGTTGTTCGGGAATCCCCTTGAGAAGGAATGCTGCCCAAACTACTCTAACTTCCGTATTGTTAGAAAACTGTTATATGTTTTCTAAAGAACGAACTTTATTTAATTTGATCTATAGAATATCTCTTAATAGGGTTTGGATCTAACATTCCTCTTAATAAATCAAGACATTCAATAGTAAATTGAAATTTAGTTAAATCTACCCATCCATTAAAATTGGCCATAACTGTTTAATCATAATTATTTGAATCGAATGGTCCTTTACCTACTAACAAGTAGTAGAACAGTATTCCACAACTATAGATATCAACTTTATAATCATAAATTTTATCTTGCAATAATTCCGGTGCAACAAATCCGGGAGTACCGCATCTTGTAAACATGTACTTGCAATCCTTTCTGAAGTAATCAGCCAATCCAAAATCAGCTAATACCACCTATTCTATCATTCCTTGCTCTCTCAGAATGATGTTTTCGGGCTTTATGTCTCTATGAATAATCCCATGAGAATGTATGTAGTTCAAGGCTTCTATCACTTATTGAATCACTATGAAAGCTCCATACTCTGAAAAGGTTCGAGTCTTCTTCAATTCTTAATGAAGCTCCCCTCCATTGAACAGCTATTGAATCAAAAATATATATTGTTCGTTTTCATAGGTTTCAAGAATTGAAACTACATTTTCATGGTTCATTATTCTCATTAATTCAATTTCCTTAAGCAAAGCTTGTCGATCTTAGGTTTTGAATGTGGTTTTATCAAATAGCTTCACAGCATAATCTTTTTTATCTCGTAAACTTTAAATTTTATAAACCTAAAATGATCAGTTTTCTTCATACCTTCCCAAAACTACCCTTTCCAACTAGTTTAATCATGCAGTACTCCTTCTAAAAGTTTGGTTACACACACCATTTTTTCATACTGGAGAACCAATGGTCGGCGATTCCATAAAATGTGAAATTTGCTCCGTTTTTCGTTATTGAAATTCCTTTTCCCATTTGAGGATGGTTCACGTATTCAAGCAAGGCATTCGTTATATTGTAATACTTTTGAGTTGTTTTCTAAAGAATATAAAAATAGATTCTACATTAGTACTAAATTTGATCAAGTAATTTCGTTGTAGCACTAGAGTCTTTAGCTTGAACTTCTCATTTTTGAGTACGTAGAATTGATCCTTTAAGGATTTTGAAAATATTTCGATGGGTCTTTTCAACTCAAAGGGTGATGTGAAATCAAAGAACGATTTTTGATCTTAATTCATTTCTCGATTAATTATTAATAAATCTTACAATAACAACTTATTCAAAATTTAAAGCAAGCGAATAAACGCAAAAATCACTACAATACTAAACAATAATAAATGATATTAAATTTGACTTTAATACTATGTCTAATAAAATAAATTATATTAATTATTATCAGGGATTTTAAAATGAAATTATCATTTTTATTGATATTTTATATAATCATTACCTAATAGTATGGATGAATTAATCTTCATTAGACTTAGATTGTCTTAACTTGGCGGGAAGGCTTCAGGTTTTTCATAATGTATCATTCCTTTGATGAGACTCTTGAACATTCTTCAAATAAAACTGTATTCAAATTTTGAGTTTTTACTTTTATTTAATAAAAATTCATATTCTCACGATTAATATATTGGTATTAGTTGTAAATAAAAATAACTTTTAGTTTATTAATTTTGAAACTCTCTTAAAAGTTAAACTATATTATTATATCTTACAGATATTACAAAAGTAGAGGTAATTGAATATGATTTGTATATATTAAAACATAATATTGGCTCTTTAATAATTTAGAGGTAATAAATATGAATTATATATTCAAAATATTATATAAATATCTTGATTGAAATTAACAAAGTAAAAAAGAAGTTAGTTGAATATGTGTTTCTATATTAGTTTTAAGTCATATTTTATTAGAATGTAATAGGAATCATTAGCATTTTAATAAAGAAAGATTTGTATTAAAAGTAATAACGGCTATTTTTTTGACAATTAATATTAGTATCACTGCCGAAATATGGATTCAGAGATTGAAGAATTTAGCATTGATAATCATGGGAAAGATTTGCTATTCATAAATTAAAATTATAATTATAAAATGAATTAATTGACAATATAAAAAACATGCAGGAATTAAAGAGGCTCTATAATTACACATATATGAAATAATGTATGATGTGAATATATTTGGATATTAATATTTTTTCATTGGAGGAATGATGATGATGCTTCGTCCAAAGAAGGCATCTCAATATCTGGGTTTTATTGGGGCTCTTCATCGGAGTTCTATACTTCCTCTAATGTGCCATCTCCTTCGGTGACGACTGGAATATAATAGGATTCATTGACATCATCTTAGGCTACATCTGGGGCTTAGTAGTTTGATTCTGCTTGCATCTCAATGTTGGGGACGTTGTTGAAGTCTTCAGCTGTTAATAAGGCCTATTGGACTTGTTATTCGGTCATTAATTCGGAAGAAAGCTAAATATATGACAATACTTACATCTTCATCTTGATTCATGAGAATGAATTAATCAGTTTCTTGTTGGATTTGAACAAATCCAGTTTGTTGGCTGTGTTGGATGGCTTTTTTTAAGCTGCTGTCTTATTTTTTCTAGGCTGTCTTGAGTTATTGAGTTCTGGGACTAGTAAATGAATCAACATCATATTCAATTTATGCATGTGATTATTAATATGCCTTGTTGTCAATGTGAATTAGATTGGGTGTTGCTCTAGATTAGGTATGGTTTATAAAGTACTTTCTCTTCTTTTGAGCAGCCATCACTGAGAGGGCTAATACCGCGATAACTAGTATTCTCATTATCGTTTTTTAGAATAATATATTAATTAAATGGATTCTCATTCGTATAACAATGAAAGAACAATTAAAAAATGGGGCTTGATAACAGTTAGACCGCCTGCTCATTAAATGAATGGTACAAATCACAATATCATATTTCAGACAGATCAATCGTATCAAACGTCCCTGATATGGCTGTACCTGACAACATGATCACAACATCAAAATACTCCTCGATTATTACATTCATCCCATTAAATTTGATAGAGCAATTCTCAAAGTTGGCTAATGTTTACTTTTTGGTTATTGCTATAATGCAGATGATCTCAGCAATTAGCATAACAAATGGTTAACCTGTGATTATGGGGCCATTATCAATAGTTGTTTGCATTTCAATGATCAAGGATTTTGTTGAGGATTACTAGAGACGCAAATCAGACAATGCAGAAAACACACGCAAAACCTACTTAATTCGCACAAATGAAGTTCCCAGAGAAGCTCAATGGAGTGAATTAAGGATTGGAGATCTAATCAAGGTTTAGAAGGATGAACAAATACCTGCTGACATCTTATTAATGCAAACATCAGATAAGAAAGGGAATGCCTTTATTGAAACAAAAAATTTAGATGGGGAAACCAATTTGAAATGCAAAAATATTCAAAAAAATCTAAAGTAACTGTAAGAACAAAGTGAGGATGCTCTATTGGCATTGAGAATGACCATAAAATATGAACGGCCAAATCCGTATTTGTATCAATTCACTGGATCTGCTGAAATTAATAATTAACAAATTCCTCTTAGTGAGAAAAATTTCATTTTAAGAGGTTGTGTTTTAAGGAATGTCAATTATATCTATGGAGTTGTTTGTTATAACGGACATGACTCAAAGATTATGCTTAATTCAATTAAGGCATAGCCTAAGCGCAGTCATTTAGAACGAACAATGAATTGGTTCATTATTGTGATTTTTCTATTATAAGTAAATATCCAGTATGATTAGTTTCTAGATGTTCATGTGTGGATTAGGAGGCTATTTGAATTCTTCATGGTAGCAGATTCATAATTCATAATTATCATATTTGGATATCTTGATTACAGATCCAGAGCATAATTTTGTTAAAAATCTATTCGTAAGTACTCACAATTTAATTTTAGATAAAATGGGGTAATTGGATTCTCATTTTCACCAACTTCGTTCCAATCTCATTGCTTGTCTCATTAGAAATGGTTAAATATTTCTAAGGAATGTTGATAACCCAGGATTAAGGAACATATTCAGCTGAATATGATATAAAAACAGCAGTCTAATCATCCAATCTGAATGAGGAACTTGGTTAAGTGGATTACATATTTTCTGATAAAACAGGAACATTGACAAAGAACCAAATGGATTTCAAATGTCTCACAGTCAATAAAAAGTCATATGGAAAAGAAGCAACCTTAACAAATGAAGAAGTGTCCAAATTAGCTTAAGTTTCAAATGTTGATTTCAGAGATAAAGCCTTCTTTAATGATTTGAATTAAACTCCAGGGAAGGGACCACTTCATGAGTTCTTGCTTTGTCTATCATTATGTCATACTGTTGTTACTGAAAATAAAAATAGTCAGCTACTTTACTAAGCCTCATCCCCTGATGAATTGGCCTTGGTCAATTTTGCAAGATATTGCGGTTATACCTTTGAGGGATTAGATGCATCAAACAGCATGGTAGTAAATATTAAGGGGGACATCAAGAATTATCAATTGTTGCATGTACTTGAATTCAATAGTACAAGAAAGAGAGTATCTGTAATCGTTTAGGATCAAGCCAATCAAATTATCCTGTATACAAAGGGAGCTGATTCTGTTATTGAACCATTAATGAAACCTGTTGTTCCTTAATTAAAAGAGAAAACTTGGAATGATCTATAAGAATTTGCATCGATTGGCTTAAGAACTCTTCTATTAACAAGGAGAATATTGCCTCTGTCCACTTATAAAGAATGGGAAAAAAGCTATCTACAAGCTTGTTCTGCTATATAAAATCGAGAGAACTTAATGATGGAGTCTCAAGCAAAAATAGAATAAGAATTAGAACTTATAGGGGGAACAGCCATTGAAGATAAATTATAAGAAGATGTAGGCCCAACCATTTAATACTTAAAAGATGCAGGTATTAAAGTGTGGGTATTGACTGGAGATAAAATAGAAACTGCTATCAATATTGGTTATTCTTGCTAATTATTGAATGATTCCTTATAATAAATCATAGTTGATGGAAATGATGAATAAGTTATTAGAAATGAATTAGAAAAGGCTATCCAAAAAAGCCAAAATAATAATAAAAATGCATTGGTGATCTCTGGCAACGCTTTAATCATAGCTATGAAACCGGAACTTTCATTAAAAGTAATGTAAATTGCTGAAAGATGTGAGGCTGTAGTAGCTTGTAGAGTTTCACCAAAATAAAAATAAGAAATCGTCTCCTTAGTTAGATAAAATAAACCTAATGTTACTACTCTTGCCATTGGAGATGGTGCTAATGATGTCAACATGATTACAGCTGCTCATATTGGAGTTGGAATTAAAGGAGTAGAAGGCTAGCAAGCAGCTAGGGCTTCTGATTATGCTGTTGGGGAATTCAGAATACTTAAAAGGTTAACACTTTATCATGGAAGAGAGAGTTATAGGAAAAACTCAACTCTTGTAAATTACAATTTTTATAAAAATATGCTTCTAGTCCTACCTCAATATTGGTGGGCTGTAAATAATGGATTTTCGGCTGTTATGTTTTATGACTAGTTACTCTATTAAAGTTACAACCTATTTTTCACTAGTCTTCCTATTGTATTATATGCTATTTTCGATGAAGAATTTTCTGGTGATGTTCTCACTTCAAGTAAATCTATCTCTCTATTGTAGACCCCAGTCTTTATGACATAGGAATTAAACACAAATTATTCAATGTTAAAATATTCTTGTATTGGGTCATTAATGGCACCATCTAAGCTGGCATCTTATCATACCTAACCTTCCGAAGTTATGAAGCCTCATCTATTTATAATGGCATGACGGCTGGCTTATGGACTACTGGTGCCATTGTGTTAGGATATTCAGTACTGAATAGCAATATCAAAGTAATCAATTTCATAAATCAAACTAGATTATTCTATTTAGTAACACCTACTCTATTGGAGTTATTGTCGGGCTTTTCGGATCTGTCTTCATATATCTCTTGTTATTTATTTTAGTTTCAGAGAAAATGCCAAAATCTGATATGTCAAATAGCCAAAGTGCTAGCTTTTGTCATATGAAATTCTACTTGACTTCGTTATTAGCTATCGGAGCTACATCCATTTTTGACTTGGCTCTGACTAAATTAGCTCAGTGGTCTTAATATGCCCAGGCAGTAATCTAACACGATAAAGTATATATGCTAATTTAATAATAGCACATTGAATTACAAGATGAGCAATAATTGCACCAGCCTTCCCCAAATACACAATTTTAATTGAATAACTCCTCAGTTCCCAAATCCCCAATCAAACGAGGCTACACAGGTTTTGCATTTTCTTAGGAAGAACATTGACATTGAAAATAAATGTTGTTATTTTATAAAATTAGTTATTCTTCAAATAGTATCGTTCTTTTGGGTTGCATTAAGAATTCGATTTTTATAGTTTAATTAGAATTAGAATTAAACAATTGTGTTAAAATTGAATAAATATTCTTTATTTAAGGAATTTTTTTTTTTTTATAATTCAATTTATTTAATCCAATTTATTTTCAAAATATCTTTGGATGGAGGTTTTGAACGATGCTTATCAAAAGGGTGAAGTTCTTAATGAAGATGAATACAAAATTGTCAGAAAAATTTACAAAAAAAAAAATGAAAAATAATATATTTCTCTAGAGATTAAAAAGATGAACCTATCAAGAGAAGAATTTAATAAATTAACTTAATTTAGGTTCCTGAATATTCTCCCTTATAAAAGTTGCAAGTATGATTCTGAGATGCCTTCTATAAAATATTAAGATTTTCAGAAGTATTTATTAATGGAAAATCAAATAAATAGTGAAAATGCAAAACTTATTGCCTTATAATTAGGTTTATGTATAATTAAATTTATATATATATAGTGAGTGCTGAGTTGTAAGACAGAAATATGCTTTGGTTTTTAAATTCTATTACTTAATTATATTTGAATGAAAACCAATTATATGTTTCTTTAATCGAATATGACTTTGGCTAATCAAAGGAGGGACAATCCCAACTCTAAATATTATAAAGATTTTTTGAGAAATATTTTTGTGATAAAATTCCAGGATTGTCTGATGTAATACATTAAAGTCAAACCTTTGATACTATTATAGATTTTCTCTTAAAAATTAATGGTAACTTTGATAGAACTGATAAATTAAATATTCCATATCAAAATTTATTGGGATTTCTTTTTAAAGTTAATGCGTTTAGCACCATATATGATTAAAATAAATCTGTGGTAAAATCATTTGCAAAACCTAAAAGCTTTCTTTAGGCAAATGAAACAAGTGATATTGAATTAGTTTACAAAACTTAGAGGCTAGACTCAAGTGATGATTAAACAGTAAGAAGAGAGATAGAAATTTCTTAAGAAATATAAAACTCTTCTTTTCTCATAAAGATATTTGCCTACTTGAAAATTAAAAAGTAAACTTTCATTTTCATGAGAAAATATCAAGGGACTCTAGCAAAAAGATTGGAGACATTAAACAATTTAACTCTTCAAGAAAGAAAAAAAACTGTCATTAAACTATCTTTTAGATTTATAAAAGGTATGTATCTATCAATTATCCTTTTAGCTATAAAGGCTATGTAGGATTTGAAGATTATTCATAGGGATTTAAAACCGGAGAATTTATTCTTAGATAATCTAGATTTATAACTTTCTAATATCATAATCGGCGATTTTGATTGTTCTAAAAAGCTCCAAGATCGTGATTGTGATAGAGATATGAGCATAAACCATTAGAGCAATACTTATAAGTACGATGCTCCTGAAATAAAATATTCTTTTGAATATGATATTTTCTAATATGCATTGATCGTGTTAACTATTGCAAATAATAATAAATATATTGGAAAGGAAATTGTGGGTTGCAGAAATTTGAATGAATAAGACCACGAAGAATACTATAGTAAAGAGTCTTTACTTAAAAATTCGAATCTTTCATAATACCCCTCAGATTTTATCGATATGATTAGTAAGTGTTTAAAAAGAGATCCTCAATAAAGGCCAACAAATAAAGATATCTACGAATATACCTCATCTTTATATTACTTAGGAACGATAAAAGTGGAAAATACTGTATAATAAATCAGTGAAGTTTAGACAAGACAAAATTAGAATTATCAACCATTACTATCAGAAAATCTAACGTAATAGTAATAGTAATAATAATAGTAATAGCAATAATCATAATTGTAATAATAATAGTAATAATAATAACAGTAGTAATAATAATAATAATAATAATAATAATAATAATAATAATAATAATAATAACAGTAGTAATAATAATAATAATAATAACAGTAGTAATAATAATAATAACAGTAGTAATAATAAATAATAATAATAAATAATAATAATAATAATAATAACGAGTAGGGGAGTTAATAATAATAATAATAGTAATAATAATACTAATAGTAGTAATAATAATAATAATAATAATAATAATAATAATAATAGTAGTAATAAGAATAATAATAATAGCAATAATCATAATAGTAATAATAGTAATAGTAATAATTATAATAATAATAACCATAATAGTAATAGTAATAGTAATAATAATAGTAATAACAGTAATAATTACAATAATAATCATTTTTAGTAAGAGAAAACAAGAAAAATAGAATAAAAATATATGAATAATAATGATTCTATATTCTATTTAATTAAATTATCTTAAATTATATATTGTTATTATGTAAGTATAATGATTTTAGTACTGTGCTTGTATATTTTTATAGTAACAAATTGCAGGGGTTTTTCAAATAGAAAGAAAATAAACATTTATTTTAAAAATATTATTATATTTTTCTAATATTTTATGTCAATATCAATTGATTCTGGAGTCTAGAGCTGTGTGGTCTCTTTCATCAATCACTTGTCTTTGCTAATTATTTTATATTGGCTTTCTCTTTTTATACTTCCAGACACCATACGCCACAATTCCCATGATGAAGAGTGCTCCTAAACAAATAATTATAATATAATAAAAAGGTAAACCAGTTTAAACTTCTACTTCATTTGACAATTCAACTTATTTCGTTTCTATACATTATCCTTAAAGCAATGCGTAATTAGATTCACATATCAAACATATATCATTAGATTAACATTCACTGCAATATTCAGGACAAATAAGTACACAATCCATATTATCTGAAAGAGTGTACCCAATTTCGCATTCAATTTCGGAACAAGTTTGATTGAGTGAAACTTCGTATCCTAATGTGCATTCGGTACATTAATTTGGAATGGTACATGATACACAATTCAATCCACAATCTATTTAGCAGAAGTTATTTTCAACATAGTATCCAGCTTGGCAATTTTAGCAAACAGAGTTGCTCAAACAAGATAAACAATTCAGTGGACATATTATTGATGTTTGATTATTTTCTACTGTTGGATTTTGTATAATTAAGCTAGAAATATTGAATAATTGTAGATAGAAATTGTCTAATGTATTATTACCAGCAGCTGTCCATGTGATGTAAAATTCATCATCATTTAACACCTAAACACCTGGGTTTTTGGGATAAAGTCCTTTTCTCGTAACCTAAGTTTAATTTGAGATTTGTAGTCCATCACTATCAAATATCTAAAATACAATATCCTTAGATTTCAGAGACTTATCAACTGTCCTCCAAACAATAATAAATCCATATCCAAATGATGTAACATAGGGATGCTCTTCCCCATAGGAAGGACTAGCGAATAATTTTGCTTCAGACAAAATCTTATCTAAATTCATAATCTGATATGATAGAATATATTAAGGAGGAGATATATTTGTGCTAACAGCTTCAAAGACGAAAACAATATATTTATTCTTCAAATTTGTAGATTTGAATGCTTTAGCCTCACCAACTTCTTTAGGCTCAGTAACGATATCACCTTAGGTTGTAATTTAAGCCAAGAAAGTAGCACCTTCACTTGAAAAGGTAATAGATATCAAACCATCCTCATCACTAGATATCATTGGTACTTTAGATATATCTGCATTATCTAAAATCTACATTTATCCAATGGGTGCTAGACTATTACTAAATGATTATAAGAACATAGTTGCTGTATTTAGAGATTATTCAGCTTGATTGAAGAACCCAATAACAAAATTATTATTTGCAGTTTTTTTGATAATGCAGGGAGCAGCAATACCATCTAGATTCTATTTGGGTATTTCAGTAACCTAAATTGATTTGGTTAAGGCTTGACCAGCGACATCAAACTTCTTAAGATTCACCTTCATGTCTCCAACAATTTAATCCACCCATAAAATAACAAAGTCCTTATCAAATGTGGCAATATCTGAAAACAGTGTTTTTGCTGCCTTACCGGTAGATGCAGATTATAACAATCTTCTATTTCCTAGTTCATCCATGTTAACCTAGGTTTTGGTTCCTATCTTCTGACCACTCTTTTTATACAATTAGAAATACACACCAGCATTAGGTCCTTCTTCAGACCATAAAGCAATGTAATCTCCATTGGGGAATGTTGCAATTAAAGGCTCAGATATGCTGATTTCACCAATCACATCTTCGAGCACAACGCATTCAGTTTTTGTTTTACTCCAATAATAAGAATCATCGCATTGTTTACAAACAGGGGGAGCAGTACAAACCAAGCAATTGGGTCCACAAGTTCCTATGCATTCAGTCATATCTTATTGACTTTAATAAAAGTTTTTAGGACATTATAAGCAATGTTGGAAAGTATTGCATAATGAGCAGCTTTCTTTGCATATATTCTTTTCGCATTGATTATTTGATCTTATTGAATAACCTTCTTTGCAAGATGAGCATATTGTTGGTGAACTGCAAACCAAACAGGTATCAGGACATTATGGCTCACATTTATAGGTATTTGGATTCAAAGCATAATTAGTGATACACGTTTAACATGTATATTCATTTGAACAAGTTGCACATTCTGCTAAGCAAATCAGAGTTGGAGAAGGTAGCAATTAATTTTGATCTGTAATTCTCAAATAATAATATTAATATTTAATTTATAAACTGACTGTTGTATAAGAGGATAGCCATTGTATAGCTATTTAGTTAGTGTTAATGACTTTTGCATAGTATAATTTAATGTTATTACTTATGGTGTTCAATTATTTGGTTTAAGATATAAATATTCCAGATTCTTCATAAAATGAGATACTCAATTATGAATAGGTGATAGAGATGAAGTTATTCCATATTATAGCAAATCTGCCCTGTAAGATAATGATTTGAGGGTTCTCCAATTTTCCATTTGAATCAGCAACCACTTGGTAATCTGTGATTCTTTGAAGGTCACTATTAAGTAGAGTATAATAGATTTGACTCTTCGAAGTCAGGGATTAGGTTGATCCTGTTTTCCAGGTTAATACAAAGTTAGTATTCTTGAGTTTTCTTATGGTAAAGGATTCTATAAAAATGGTGTACTAGAGAGTAAATTAGTTTTCTGTTATTTTAACATCCTTGAAATCTAGGTTGTAATTGTATAGTCTCATTAAGTAGTTTTAATTAATTTCAATGATAACAATGGAGTCCAAATTGAAACAAATTTGTCCATATCTTAATTACCTTTTCATTTCCAAAAGTCTATTAGGACTTGTAATTCTTAAGTAATTTTTGGTTATTTTATATTCGAATACTTCATATTTCATAAAATCTGAGATTCGTGAATAAACAACCTAATATTGGGTATTTTGATAATATAAATATAGAACAAAATCGTTGTATGCATTTTGATAGACAGAATCATAAGGAATAGTGTCAATCTATATTTCTGTATCAACAACTACCAAATCATAACTAATCGTTATTAATTTAATCATTAAGTATTCTTTTTCTATCATTTCTACCCAATATACTTGTATTGAATTGTCTTCTCTTACTAAAACATTAGATTGTAAGACTTAAGATTTTAAGGATATTAATTTTATTGAATGTGAGAAATCATGTTGATTTGTATTTGCAATTAATTGTAGATTGATGTTTAAGAAATAAGAATCCCCTTAAAATGTGACTGTTCCAGAATATATCAATACATCACTATCTCCGATTGTTATACTTGATGAAAAACTTGGTAATTCATCAAATGGAGTACTTAAGATAGGATCTTCAGGTAATAGATTAGAAGTGATTGTAGAACATAGACCTGATGGATCAAGTTTAAATCCATCTTTGCATAAGTCACAGAAATTAGGTTTTGAACACTTACTGCAATTTGAAGGACATTGAGGTACACAAAATCCTTCTATTAATTGATATTGATCTGAACATTTAATGCAACTTGTTGATGAAGAACAACTTCTACATTTATTTGAGCACACTGGACTATCTATCAATTCTTTTAATCCATTGGATCCGAATTTCATCATAAAGATACCTTTATTCTCATCTCCTATTGGTTTCAATCCATCCCAAATAATTAAAAATTTATCATTATTTAGAACTGAAATTTATGGATATTCAGGTTGAATTGTTATTACATTAACTTCAAAAGATGGGCCTGAAGGAACTCCATTGATATCAAATATCTATGCTCTTAATTTTCTCTATCTTGATGTTCCTCTATAGTAATTTTACCAAACAATAACAAAACCATTTGAAGTTGCTGCAATATCTGGATTAATTGCATCGGTATTCAAATATTCCACTTCCAAAATTGATCCTAATAAGTTAAGATTAGTGTCAAAAAGTGAGTATTTAATCTTCTCTGATTCTCTCCAACAAAGGACATATTCTTATCTTGCATTAGATGTGATACTAGGTGAAGCTATCCAAAATATTGGATGAGTTACACTTGCTAACTCTAAACCTTCGAAATCATAAACGGTTGCAGCTAATTGATTAGAACGTCTATACACAACAACAAAGTTGAGTCCATTAGAATTAATAACAATTTCATTGTTGAATTAAATATCTGTAATTTGATTTTATCTTCTCAATACTCCATCGTTATTAAACAATGATACAAATATAAAATCTTTATAGTCTTTATTATTGACCCATGCAATCACAAATTCATTATTACTCAATCCTTGAACTACTAATGGTCGATCATAATACTAATAGTAATCGAGAGCCAAATAATCAATAAATGTTGGTGTTCCTATTCTATTAAGTTCTTAATCAAATATCTAGAAATAAAGTTCAGATTCAAGACTGATATCTCCATCTGCCCAAACTATAATAACATTATTATTAGGTAAAATGGTGACGTCAGGCAAAAATTAGGAGTTCTTTGTATTAACATTCACTCGAATAATCTAATCGACTGGAACTCCTTCTGGACTAATCAACTATGCATAAACTCCAAAACCACTTCCATCTTATAATTTACTCTACCAAACAATAACACAACCACCATTCAAGAAAGAAGCTACTCGAGGTAAATCCTCAGCATAATCGAATGTACTATCTAATTAAGTTTCAATAGGTTATCCAGCTAAGCTTACACAATTGAAAGAATCATCAATGTAATAATCTGGTAAACAAATATCACATGATAATGGCTATGTACAACTCTTACAATTGGATGAGCATATGGGTACACATTATTGCTGCGCCAATTAATAATTATCTATACATCCTTAACACTTACTAATAGCAGTACATGATGTGCAAATAGGTAGACATTAAAA